TATATATATATATATATATATATATATATATATATATATATATATATATATATATATACCTTTATACGTAGTTTATGGTATATGTTACTATTATATAGGTAACTGAACTAAATATGCTTACCAGGAATATTCGTAAATGAACTTTCTATAGCAATTACTTTCTTAACATTCTAAGCATATGTTTAGACTCTAAACTTTAGAGTAGACTATTTTTTACCACTAAAACTTTGCACCTTTTAAGAACCTGCCTATAGGCCAGTAATACTATTCTTAGGATCATGCTATATGCCTTTTAAGCATGTTCTTTAGAAGAAATATAGCATGATCCTAAGAATATTCTCACTGAAAGGTTTAAAAAAACATTCTTAGAATAAAGTGTGCTGTCAGGGAACTGATTATATAACTAGCATTCTAAGTAATAATTTACTTAGTAAGTAAAATAAACTTGTTTTTTAACCAATTAGTTGTATTTAACCATAAACAATTTTCAAGGTTACTAAGAACTAAAAAATAACCCTTTAAATTTACCAACCTTAAGGTAAATTCAAAGGTTATTTTTTAGTATAATTTAGCTAATTATTAATATTACCAACTAGTTAAATATTTGGTTTATTTATAGCCAATTTAAACACTTAAATTAACCCATATAGGTAAATTAAGCTTATTTTAAGAGTTTAAATTGACTACAAATAAACCAAATATTTAACTAAACTGCTCACAAATTGAAGTGGAATTTTTTAAAATAGGGTTGTGTTAAAATCGCTGTAAAATTTTCAAAAAGCATCCGATTTTGAAACAGCTTTTACTTATTTAAAGAAAAGTGTTCCTATTTTCATAAATTGATAAAATCATTTAAGTCATAACGTATATATGTCTAATATAGGGTGATAAAAAAAGTCCTACAATTTTGTTCTTTTTAACTCTAGTGCAGGAGTTTTTTTTAATCACCCTGTACACTTACACTAAGTTGCATCTTACAACCTGTAGTTTGTGTTACCAATATTTTTTTAGTTTATTGCTCTCGGTAGCATACTTACAGAAATGTGATTTTTTTATAAAAAGTCATTTTTTAATGAATACAAATTTTAACAACATAAGTTTATATTTATTGTAAGTTATACTTTTGATATAAAGTCGGCAGTTTAGTACCTAGTAGGCCCCCCTCGAGCTCTCATCACTGCTGCAACTCGTCTAGGCATACTATCTATTAGGTTATTAATTAAAAGTTGTGGTATATCTTGCCATTCTTTTACAACAGATTTGCAAGCTGCTCCAAATTTAAAAAATCCTCATTACGATCGAGTAATCTTTTTTTTAAATGAGACCAAACATGCTCTATTGGATTGCAATCAGGCGATCTTGCAGGCCAGGCCATTCGTATGATGTTGTTATCCAATATCGCTTGATTCTCAATCCTAGCCCTATGGGGACGAGCATTATCATCCACAAAAACCTAATTTCTGCCATGTTGTTCAATGAATGGTGCGACGATAGGCTGGATAATCCGATCTCTATACCGTTCACCGTTCATCGTAGAGTTGATGAACACTACAAGGTCAGTGCGACTATCATGCGAAATACCACCCCAGACCATCACTGATCCGCCATTGAAAGGTTCCTGCGGAGCCATGTTTCTTTCTTGACAACGAGCTCCAGGCTCCCTCCAGACGAGAATACGTCGATCTGACTTATACATACCGATCCTGCTTTCATCTGTAAAAAAAAAAGCGTCTCCACTGTTCAATTGTCCATCCGGAATGCTCGCGAGCCCATGTCCTTCGGGCTACACGATGAGCCACGTCTGCCTGTTTTTAAAGCCCCCTAGGTAAAAATTATAAAAACGCAAATGAAAAATTACGCCATTAATAAAAAAAATCATATTTTTGTACGTACGTCATTAAAAGGAAAAAACTAAAAAAATATTGGTAACACATACCACAGGTTGTAAGATGCAACTTAATGTAAGTGTACAGGGTGATTAAAAAAACTCCTGCACTAGAGTTAAAAAGAACAAAATTGTAGGACTTTTTTTATTACCCTATATTAGACATATATATGTTATGACTTAAATGATTTTATCAGTTTATGAAAATAGGAACACTTTTCTTTAAATAAGTAAAAGCTGTTTCAAAATCGGATGCTTTTTGAAAATTTTACAGCGATTTTAATATAACCCTATTTTAAAAAATTCCACTTCAATTTGTGAGCAGTTTAGTTGGTAATATTACTTTTAAGTTAAAAAGTAGGTTATTTTGAAAGTTACATAAAAATGGTTAAGACTAGTTATTTTTTTAGACATATTTTGGTTTAGTTTAACTTTTGATAGAACTTTTTGGTAAATTAACCACAGCTTTGGTTAATTTGGATATATTTTTTAACCAACAAGTTATATTTTACCAAATATATTTTAACTCGCTTAATTTTTATTTTAAACATTTTTTCGTAAAATGCATACTCACTGAGATATTTCGAAGTTTCAAGTTAAATGATTCACCCTGTATATAAACCTATAGGTTGTGAGTTTTGTGATAATGGAGCCTAAAAGAAATTAAATTTCTTTTCACACTTCTGAAGCAATTAAAAAATACATAGGTACATGCAAAATATAAGGATTTCTAAAGATATAAAAGTAAAAAATGTGTGTGATATAATTTTTGTACCTGCAACAAAATATGTTTTCCTTAATTTCTATCAGGCTAAATACTAAATCGTGTGTTGGGTAAGTTTTTTTACACTACGACTCCCTCGTGGATTAGACCTCCAGTAGTTTAATCCCACAATTTAAAAAAGGGCAAGACTTAAGTGAGTTAATGGAATACAGTTTGAGCAAAAGCAGAAAAAAATAACTTAGATTTGGAATCATTTAAATCCGGGTTTCAGTACGCATCTGATGAAGTTTATTTGTCGTGGAAGATAAAATTTTATGAACAATAATTGAAGAAGTTTTACGATCCATAAATGCTGGATTAGCGGTGATCTTACAAAAGAACAAAAATACGGCCCAGGATACGGATGCACCTATAAACCACACTTTTGACACTTAATTTTATCGAACAAAGGCCAATTAGGAATTAACATCACGTTTATAAGCTTATCCGAACAATGGACCAGCAAAATTCGGAAGAGATAAGCATATCATTACTATTAATTTATTTTATGCGACTTAAACGAAATGGACCTACGTTTCGGTCGTCTTTTGGCTAATAAAACACTTTTAATGAATAATAAAAGTTTAATATAAGTTGCAACCTCTGGAAGATAGTGAGATTGCGAAGTCAATAAAAAAGATGTTAAATGTTAATGAATATTTACATTTCATGAAAAGTTACTCATAAAATATACTATTTTATTCAAATGTTTCTTAAAAAAAAATGAATTTTTACATGATTTGGACCACAGATAAAAAAAATAGTTAGGTGTAAACGTTACCATAGAATAAAACTACACTGTAAACAACTGTATTCATACAAACATTTTCTAGATTTAACAAAACATATATGTCAATAATTCAACCATAATTCTTTTAAAAATGACCTTATTTAAATAAGTTTTTAATAAAACTCAGTCTATTTGTTAATAACTGAATTTTTATATTATACATTCATAAAACATTAAAATAGGGTAAAGTAGACAGTTATCGGTCAATTTTCTAAAAAGTGTACAGATCAGTGTGTGGTATAAATGTGTTCCTCATTGTTTAACCATTGTCACTTTAATGCGTTTTAATTTTATTTCTGAAAACAAACAGTAAAATGGCCAGTGTCCAATTACTGGTTGGTACAAAATGTAAATTTCTATTATTGGACATATGTCAATATCAAACTCTATTTGTAGGTATTCCGGACATTTACCAGCCAATTCTTAAGTAAAATTGTCCCATGAATCCAAAAAGACCGTCAAAACTATAAAAGTTAAGCAGTTTTTGAGATATAGTAAATTTCACATTATTGATTATATTTCAAAAACTGTTCTACTTTTATAACTTTTGACGACATTTTCGGATTCAGCGAATAATATTTCATAGGAATTGACTGCTAAATGTCCTGGATACAAATTGATGTTGGGGAGAATAATTAGTTGCTGCTTTTTCGCTATGACATTTTTGACTACCTAATTCATTTTTAGAAAGTAAGTAATATATAGATTTCTTCGTCACAGAACATCTTGCAGAATAACAGTGATTTAAATACAGTGCATGATAGAGAACATAAAAAACTAATGGCAACAAAATGAATAAATTTGGAAAATACTTTTAACGTACCACCCGAAAAAATATTAGATATATATATAAATCATAATGTTACGGCTTAAACATTATAAATGCTTTACAAACTAGAGATACCACACTTAATGATATTTGCAACAAACTATTTCAGAAGTCACACCAAGGAATTAGTAGTTACTTTCAGAATCCAGAAAAGGGGTGAGGAATCCGAGAAAGAAATATATGAATTATATGATATTTACAAAAACGGAATAAAAAATTACCTAAAATAGCAATTTATCTTTAAAAAATATTTAACAATTTATGTTATTTGATGTAAAGTTGTTACAAGACCTGGTTTTCTACAAAAAATTAGGTTTAAATTTTACAAAATAAAATTAACTCATGTTAACAAATCTGATTTTTATAACAGTGTAACTAACTTTTTTGTTAATTTGTAAGTATTTTATTCAGGGTTTATTAATATGTTATGACTGCATGCAGTCAAAGATTTCATGAACTTACAATAATTGTTACAACACTGTTGATTTTAATTGCCAAGCTTGTTATGAAAAAAAAACAGTATGCAGCTGATTATTTTCATCGACCCACTTGACATACCCAGCAAATACTTTCCTTAATTAGCCTGTTACATAAAACCGCCCCGACAGGTTCCGCTCCCATTTTTTGCCTAATACAATCATTAATCTTCCTCCGATACCATCCCACTTTCTGGCGTATTAATCCGACGCACGATGCCGCTCAATTAACCTTGTTGCCTTGTTTCCGTCTGCAGGGACATCCGGTGAGCCAGAACATGTCTTCCGGAGTGATCATCAGCACCCAGAGCCTGGTGCTGCAAAGCGTCACCAGGAGGCAGAGCGGTGCTTACACCTGTATGGCGGCCAACAACAGAGGAGAGACTGCAAGTACCCCTGTCCACCTTAGAGTCCGATGTAAGTGCTATTTTCCATGTCTGTACTTCAAAAACGAGAATCCTTCTATTACCTTCAAGACCCAAACCTAAAGGTTTTATTATAATAGCTTTAATGAGGTTGTCACAGCTTTCATAAATCCTCTTCTGACACCTCTATAAAGCTAAATGGTAGCTTTATGTTGTCCTTAGACGAAGAGATCCATAAAGCTAGTTAGCATGTAAGCAGTATTCTTTTGCCGTAGTATATACAATATTGCTTTGGTTTAGAATAATATTAAAACTATTATCTCTCGAGCAAATACTTTAATATTTTATGAAGACCCAAGTACAACTAAATTAAATTTGCTTGTATGGGAAATGAATGAAAGTCAATGAAATACTTCTTAAAAACGAATGGTCCTTCGCAACAAGCTAATTTTGCAATAATTTATCATATTTGTTTTTATGGTATTAGATAGAACATTAATATTATTTCCTAAAAAAAGGGCATTTTAATCAAAGTTACATATAATAACATTTATTTATTAAAGTAATATGGTTGTTAGAACCCTTGTGATACACTGTTCAAAATTTCATGACCATTTTAACACCAATTTAACACCATGCATGGTCTATATCGATACAAACCAAAATGGTGTTCAATATGGTTCGTTGGTCCAGTGTAAATTCAAATACTAAAATGGTGTAAATTTAACTTTCACACAGTATTAAAATAAATTTTACCTGGTGTAAATTGAACTCCCATTCAGTGTTAAATATTATGTGTTTTTGGTTAAATTAAATCATACTACACAGAAAAAAAAGGAAACAGGAAGTTCCTTGACCCATTACTAGTATATTACCAGTGGTATTATTCCAGAAATTTAAACCTTCAACTCGCTAGAGATAATGTTTTTAGTGCGTTCCACCAACTTAAAATACTTCAAGTATTGACAGCTGTTTCCACCTATTTAAGGTTTCTTTAGTATCGAACAACTTGTAGTGTCACACCAAGGCAAAGGACTACCTGAGCTTATATACTCTTCATGTAAGTCAACAGAGGCGAGATTTAAGAACATCACGTGATCCACACCGCCTTTGCCGCGATCGGTACACACAATGCAACCAGGAATGCACGGCAAATTGTTTTAATCGTTTTAACAGAGTGCTTTAGGTTGAAGTAACTCTTATTTTACAAACAACGTATTTCGTAAACTGAACCATACAGCGGGTTGGTTTCACTAAAGTTTTCTGGGTTAATTTATCCAATTTAAAAAAAATAAAATAACTATCTGGTTTAGTACCGTCAAACAAATCTTTGTTTATAATAACCTTCCCACTATTCCTTTTTTTCTGTGTAGGTGCATTTCTCAAATATTTTTAGATAAACACCGTTTTGGTGTTTGCTGTATAAAACATTTTCAACCATAATTCATGGTGTTTATATTAACACCATTTGGTGTTGGATTTTGACACCATTTTAAGATTACTCTTTACACCACAGATATTTTAAACAGTGTAACTCCCATAAACCCAAACGTCTTTTCAAAAAATGTGATAAAGCTTTGAGAAGTCCATATTGTCATAAATTTTGGATGCACCGCACATGTTTCTGTATCTTCGCAAACTATATTATATTTTGTGACCGAGCAAGATCGATACATCCGCACAAGTAGGTTAAATAAATCCGAACCGTAACAGTTTTGGTTTTTGGGCTCGATGGTGACGGCGTGTGTTGCTGTGCAGATTGCAGTATTTATTACGCGTGCATCCCACTGTGGGGTTCCCACAGTGCAAGCAGGCATTTAATTGCATAGCTCAGTTTCCGCGGCGTACATTAATTGGAGCGACTAGCGCGCCATAGCGTACATCTTCCACCTGCTGCCACAATTATTTTAACTTTGCAATTAAATATTAAGTTTTATATAGAATTTTATATGTTCTAAAGCTTCTGTATACTGTTTCTTGGGTTGATGTAGTTGGTTTTCCTTTTTACAAGCTTTTATTATTAGATTTGTTCGCGTATTTAAATTGATACCGGCGCATTCGCCATTATTGCGACTTTCGACGATGTACTATATAATAATTATTAATAATTTATATATAATAATTATTACACTATGATAGTTCGATTTACTAACATTGAGTACGCCCACCTATATTACCTAATTTTGGGCTGCTGATTTAAAAAATGCCACTCGTTTTGCTCCAGGACGTCTAGGATTCGAAATAATTGCGTAATAAAATGCTCTGCCCAATTAGTTTTTTGTTAATATTTTGATTATTTATTAAATTATTTTGCCTTAAATCTATTTTGGATGTTCAGTATATTTTTGACGTTTTTTGTCAAAAATATGCAGGGACGATTTCACCAAGTAACTGCAAATCTAGAGCATTGGTAGATATCTATGGCTATATCGGAAAGAAGTTGGATTCATTGCTGGAAGACATTTGCTGGAATTTGCAGCAAAAGATGTACGACGATGATGAGGATTAAGCACAATAATACTATAAGTCAATTCGATATTTGACACGATTTAATAAATTTAAGGTAGAAAACAGCAAAATTATGCAATGCATTAAATTTTGTGGGCTTAATTTGGATAAAAAAATACCAAAACTTTGTTGCCCTTTTAATTCAATAATTAAAATAAACGACCAAAAATGTCAAATAATGGTTGTTTTTTTACATAAAATTCTTTAATATTTTAGTTTTAGTATTTAAAATATCATATTGTTAAGATAAATATGATCGATTTGTCGTATACCAATTACTTCAGTAGGTACATTCAAGATAAATTTAAGCCAAAATAATTTAATAAATAATTAATATACCAACAAAATTTTAGGCCGTCTGGCAGACATAAGGGTGGTAAAAACGTAAAATTGCAAAACAAAATCATTAAAAACCTCTTACAGAACTTGCTCCATAAATAGGATGTTAATCATGATGATTTAGGGCATTTGTAAATAAAGAAATTGAACCTCGTCAGAGTTTATGTTTCGAGTGCGTTCCACCAACTTCAAATACCGACAGACAGCTGTTTCGACCTATATCGGGTCTCATCAGTGTCGAGCTTATATACTGCCCAAGTAAGCCCACAGAAGCGAGATGTAAGAACGTCACGTGTTGGTGGAACGCACTCAAAACGAAACTCTGTCGAGGTGAAGGTCAATTCCTTTGAAGAAACTAAGCATTTGTAAATACTTAAGAATTCAATAGAACCTTATAGCTTCAGGCAAAGATTGACGGTAAGAGTCCTTTAACCATTTGTATATCTCTTTTAGTTGCTCCTGTGTGTTCGAGCGCGGAAATTACAGTAATTGGGGCATCTTTGGACGAAGTGCTAAGGGTGCGATGCCAGGTGTCGGCAGATCCAAGCGACGTAACTTTCGTGTGGCAATTCAATAATAGCGGGGAAAGTTTCGATGTGTCACCGGCGAGATTCGCCACCTCCAGTGGAAACGTAAGCGAATTGATGTACACGCCGGCATCGCAAAGGGATTACGGAACGTTGACGTGTTGGGGAACTAACACCATCGACAGGCAGAAGGACCCATGCGTGTTTCAGGTTAGTATTACACCATGGTATTACCTAAGAAACTTTAAACAATATAACTTACCCTGATAGCAAAATTTGATTTTAAGAATCTTCTAAGAAGATATGACCCGGAATAATGGAATATTCTTAGAACCTTCCCTTATTGCTAAGAATGTTCTTAGCGACTTTTAAAACATTCAATAGATACCCTTTTAATGATGCATTAGATTCTTAAAAGCTTCTTAAAACCTTCCTAAAAAGCATCCTAAGAACATTTTAAGAATACGTTTTTGGAATGTTCTTAGAAGGTTTCTTATGGAGCTTCTAGGAAGCTTTTGAGAATATTTCCAAATATTTCAGACACCCACGTTCTAATATGTTGTATTCTACATTCGTAAAATTCTTCAGGAGACGACAAATACGCCTCACTGTCATGATATGAAGGTGAAATGTATTTGTCGTCCCCTTAAATTTTGCGACATATTAATATATATTTATTTAAAAATATTAAATAAACAATTTGACCTCTAAACCATAAGTTGTATGACATTATTTCATAAAAAGTAAAATTGGAAAATTTTGTGGGGTAAGTCAGATTAGATTGAAGTTGAAGATAGTTAGGATTATTATACATAAAAATGTTAATTCAGAAATAAAAAATCGGTATACAAATTAATAAATATTTATTTTTAACATAAAATAAAATACCTATAGTAAAAGTATTTTTGTTATCGAATATTGTTTAATTTGACAAATAACTATAAAAAAATATTTTGGATTGTGTTTTTTACTTAGTATTTAATACTAATTAGGTACTTAAGTATAGGTTTATGTACGTAGTTTATGGTATATTTTACTATTATATAGGTAACTGAACTAAATATGCTTAACAGGAATATTCCTAAATGAACTTTCTATACCAATTACTTTCTTAACATTCTAAGCATATGTTTAGAGTAGACTAATTTTAACCACTAAAACTTTGCACCTTCTAAGAACCTGCCTATAGGCCAGTAAGAATATTCTTAGGATCATGCTATATGTCTTTTAAGCATGTTCTTTAGAAGAAATATAGCATGATCCGAATGGAAGGTTTAAAATCAGGGGTACCTACACCTGAGTTTATAAAATTATCATATTCAACTATAATCAAAACCAAACAATTTATTTTAGGTTGTCCCAGCTTCAAAACCAAGCCCCTTGAGCAACTGTACCCTCCATACAGTTATTAATCAAACGGCGGACGTAGTGGAAGTCGAATGCAGAGCCGGCTATGATGGAGGTCTTCCTCAAAGGTAAAATATTTTAATTAAATGACTATAATCCACATACATAAACGTGGGACTTTGAGGTGTGGAGCATAGTACCTAAAAATAGCTGAGTATGCAAAACAAAAAACAATTATTAACAAAGTAATCAATGATGACACAAATGTAAATTTTTAATGAATGTAGACTATCATCCCTTTAAACTGTGACAACTTATTTGGCGACAAATGTATTATATAAATCTTTAAAGTGATATTCAATCTTGAACATTTTTTTAGATTTGTTTTGGAAGCATTTGACGCCAAGTTGTTGAAACTGCGCATCAACCTGACCGTCGATGACACCGATGCCCCGGTCTTCAGACTGGACCTTGGGGAACTCCTTCCCTCGCCGCCATCGCTGAGGATCTTCGTGTACGCGCAGAACGCCAAAGGCAAAAGCGAAAAGCTGGTTCTGGAGGACGTGATGCTGAACGACGCCGAAAAGAGAACCGACGGGAGCTCGAACATGAGCATAGTTCCTTTGGCGGGACTATTAACGGGATCGCTGCTGACGCTAGGCTTGGCGGTGTTGGTGATCGTCGTGATAGCCGTCAGGAAGCGACGGGGACAGTGCGATAATCGGCAACATTGCACTCACCATATGAGTCTCGATCAAGCCACCAAGCACCAACCCAAGTCCAGGCACGGATCCATGCTTGAAATTAATACTGGAGACAATAGGTAAGCCTGCGTTTTTATTAGGACCTGTATATTTTTCTTTTTGCTTAAATTTGTTTGGTTCACCCATACGAAATTTTTTAAAAATGGACAGAAACATCGTTTTTTTTTTGAAAACGCAAAAAGTATAATAATTGGACATTTTATATAGTACACACATGGACAATAGTTATTGGATCCGACTTCTGAAATAGTTTGTTGCAAATATCATTAAGTGTGGTATCTCTAGTTTGTGAAGCATTTATAATGTTTAGGCAGGAACAGGATAATTTATATATATATATCTAATATTTTTTCGGGTGATATGTTAAAAGTATTTTCCGAATTTATTAATTTTTTGCCATAAATTTATGTTTTCTATCATGCACTGTATTTAAATCACTGTTATTCTGCAAGAAGTCCTGTGACGAAGAAATCACTATAATACTTACTCTCTAAAAATGAATTAGTCAAAAATGTCATAGCGAAAAAGCAGCCACTAATAATTCTCGTCAACAGAAATTTGTATCCAAGTCATTTAGCAGTCAATTCCTATGAAATATTATTGGCTAAATCCGAAAATGTCGTCAAAAGTTATAAAAGTAGAGCAGTTTTTGAAATATAATCAATTTTACATATAATATGGAATTGATTATATCTCAAAAACTGCTCAACTTTTATAGTTTTTGACGGTATTTTCGGATTCAGGGGACAATTTTACATAAGGATTGATTGGTAAATGTCCGGGATACAAATAGAGTATGATATTGGAAATATGTCGAATAATAGAAATTTACATTTTTTACCAACCAGTAATTGGACACTGGCCATTTTACTGTTTGTTTTCAGAATTAACATTATACCACACACTGATCTATACACTTTTTAAAAATATTTTTTATTGTAATTTAAACACAGCCCTGCTCTTAACAAAAAAAACAAAATTCTTACCACCAAAGTAACGTGCGAACTTTTTTGTCCTATATTGGACCCAAAATAAAGTAATTCTATATTATTACCGACTGAGATATTTATAATTGTATACAGCGTCATCTAATGATTTGACTTTAAGGTATAGAAGTCTTGTTTTTACAGTATTAATGCTAATTGTCAAATAATTATAAAGTTTCCGATAACTGTCTACTTTACCCTACGTATAATTTTTTTACATGCAAACATATTAGGAATTTACATTTTACTCTAAAATCTTTAATAATTTAATTTACTTACTTAAGAGCATTTCCGGTGAAACCAGAAGTGACAAAAATATGTTAAAAAGTTCTAAATTACACTTCATATACATACTCCAGTTTCGTGACCCTAGATAAAAAACCAAATTTTTGCGATGGACTACAAATTTACTAGAAAATGGCATTTTCATTAAAAAAAATAATAATTTCGAAATGACGAATTTAGCCAACTCGGGTCTTTTAGTAAAAGTCTTCATTTTTTTTGCCTTTTTTATAAAAAAACAATTAAAAAATGTAACTCGTAAAAAGAGAATTCCTACAGGTGAACAAAACAAATTAAAGCAAAAAGCAAAAATACGGGTCTCATCGATTTCGGTCGAGAAACTGTACAAAAAAATTCTTTGAAAAATAACGACCTACCTCTTTTTGCCTGGTCAATTCAATCAAACGGAGATACTACAGTTCATTTTTTTTTATCTGGACTCGTGTTTTTTTGTTAGGTTGGTGGCTTATGCCAGTTTGACTTGGTATTTTTAGTATTTAAAAATGGTACTTCTGCTAAAGAATTTAATTAAATACTTTGACACTTTCAAATTGACAATAATATTTATTATTGATAATTTACTTGTCAATTATAAATAAAAAGATAATAATGCCAAAAATAATAGCAACGAATTCGAATGTAAAAGCCCTTTTGAGGGCAAAACTTCATTTTGATGAAATTATGCCTAATGCCACAATGGAATAAAAAGTACATCGCCTTATGGACATTTTTTGAGTAAAAACGTAACGAATTTGGTTTTATAAATATTACATCACACATTATTTTCACATTTTTCACAATTGGACAACATTAACGTTCACAAAAAATTTTAATTCCTTTTATATAAATTCTTTTCAAAGCGAAAATTATTATCCGCTAGGAATACTTTCTCTTCTGGGCCGTAAAGCAACCTATATTTAACTACTTTTTTATATGATTTTACTCATCCAAGCACCACCAAAGCCAAATTAATTGCATTTTGAACCACGAATTTCGACAACTCAACTTGACAACTGCACAATGTAACCTACAATAATTTACACATAACCACAATTAGATTTACAACTAGCTTAGTTTGTTTCAATCAGTGCGACCAACTTGACAACTGTATTTACCAACCAAAACCCTAAATTTGCAACGTTGCCGCAGTCCAGATAAAAATAATAATTGTATGAATGTCTTAGGTATGTGGTTGCCTACACACTGAAGCCAGCTGCGGACTGTCAAGCGCCGAATCTTCCTACGCCGCCTTCCCTTAGTTCGCCGCCGGATCCAAGACGGCAACCTGACATCCTTAATGCCCCCAGAGGTGAGTGTCTGTGTAGATGCCACCATCATAGGTTGCCATTTGGGACCACGTTCGGTAAAAGCTGGATTTTCAATGGAGAACACCAAACCGAATGCTAAAGTTTTAAGTTTGGAGAATATTAAGTCAAAATCTATGTTTGACCTAATATAATTTATATAAGTACACTTGCAGATAAAGTGTACTTGCATGCCTTTAGATCAACCGTCCATATAACATGATTGTGATTATTTTGCATCGTCTTATTTTGTATATTTTTGTAATAAAATAAATTATTTATATAAATTCGTTAATTTTATTTATTTTTTCTGAATGCTATCATCCCATTATTATCATTATTATTATTTATTCAAGCATGATTGTAGCATTGTAGTTGTTAACTCGCAACTACTGACATTTGAACCAAAAAACATTTTACCAGGGGCCGACATTACTCCAACAGGGCTGTCCAGACCCGAAACGCTATTCACGCCACCTGGTGGTGGCGGAAGCGATCACCTTCTAAGCAGACATCAGCTCAACTGTAGTCCACCAGTCTTCTCAAACACGCAGGTAAAACCGGCACAAATGTTTTACATAATATACAGGGTGTTTCACAAAATACCCCTTGCATTATAAATGTGGAACACCCTGTATACATAGGTCATAGGTCAAAACTGATGGCATAATCTGATGATAGACTCTTTTGGTAACACAAAAATGTATATATCAAAATCCCAGCTGATCCTTTATTAAAGATTTGCATATTTCTTAGTATTTTAAAATTGTTTATGCCATTTCGATAAAATACTCTAGTACCATTATCAAATGTTTTTAAAAATTTGGCTGATACATGACTGAAATATGGATAAATTACATTATAAATACAAAATAATGTAAAATACAGTTTGCAATATCTTATTTATTGTTTTAAGGTTTCTAATACAAAACTAATAAATAACTAAAGATTCTTTGAAGCAAAATCGATTACTGCTTGCCTTAAATTTTCAGTAAAAATTTTTCTTGGGTTTTACATGGAATTGTTTTTAACATGGAAACAGTATTTTTAAATTCTTCAGTCTCTGTACAAACATTCTTCTTACATCTAGCGATATCCCCTAGAAAGGAAGAGCATATCAAAACTTTAGTTCGTTCGTCCGTCCTCTTCCCTTAATAATTTTTTATGCCCTTTATATCTTGCCATTTTGCAGATAAAGCACATACATTCTTGGCTGCCGCGAAATTCTCTAGCAATTTCTAAATTTTGAAAATTTGGCAATTGTGGCTATGGAAAAATACCGTTTTTACCATATTGAAGTAGGTAATTTTGAATCACTTAAGTTAAAGTGTTCGTTTGAAAAAGTCTGCAGTAATTTTTATATTTACTCAGAAACCCTAAACTCTGAATTTTTCGATTACCAAAAACCATTTTGTCTCCACAGCCAGCACATACCTTTTTTCGATTTTCTTCATGGCTTAACTTGAATTTTGGTTTAATTTTCATTTTTAAATACTATTTTTGTTTTACAAAATTTGCAAGTTGGAATTATTTCATAGACAAACTTCCAGTATTTTTTGTTATAAAAAATATTTAAGATATAAATCTTCGTTTTTTTTGTTATGTTTTGTTTTGAGTGGTAAAAAATAATAGGTGACTCAATAAATTAATACTGGGGAGTAAAGTAATTTAAATGATACAAAGTTTATTATTTTGCTTAATTTTATTAAAATTGTACAGGTAGTTTTAGTACAATAATTGCAAAATAATATATAGAAATAGAAAACCAAAAAGTTTGCAAAACTTTAAAATAGGATCAGCTGGGATTTGGATGAATACATAGTGTTACCAAAAGGGTCTATAATCAAAATATGCTATCAGTTTTGGTTGGCATTTTTGTTCGTCCTATACTTAAGTTTTGACCACCGTGTCCTCTTTTTGAATAATAGACCACCATTCCCAAAAGTAACCTCTAAACAAAGCTTATATTTTTCAGTCTCCCATAGGAATGAACAATGAAATCTGCAATACCTTGGGTAGAACTAGGCCGAGGCCTAGGGACAATTCCTACTCGAACTTTGCAACCATGCGCAGAGATCACCACATTATATCGGATTCGATTCCAGGACCTGAGAGCTGCGTTTAATTTTATACAGACAGTATTTGCGTCACCCAGTGAAATAACTAATTATAGTGCGCGAAGTAAACAATGTACTTGTGCCATTTTATAATTCCACTCGAGCTTAAATTTTTCCTTGTATAAATCAACGAATAAATAGTGTATTAATTTAATTAAAGTTTTAATAATACAGGATTATTATAACGACAATCAATACTTTGATGCACAAGGATGAATTTTCTAAAGAGAGTCAACAATATACTTGGGTACTTCCTTCTAAAAATATAGATGCATCCTTGTTGCACACTTTTTAATCTCACTACAGGGTGTTATATAATTAATGTAATATATTAAAATGGGTCCATAAGGAAGCACCTGAAACTTTTTTTTCTAAATTCTAAACACTAAAATAATTCGGTAGGATAAAGGTTATTTAAATAACCTTTATCCTACCGAAATCTGGTTGCCTAATTTAATTTATTATGTTATACTAAGCAGCGTTTCCAGATTCTGTAAAAAAAGTTGCCAGATTTTGTTTAAATTTAGCCTTATTACAAAAATGACAAAATCAACAATACAAATTGTCAATTTGGCGTTTTTATTAATTGTTTATAATATCATTTTATTAATGAAGGTAAATTCAAATAAAATCTGTCATCTTTTATGACACAATCTAGTGCATTTCTATCAAATTTTAGGTTATGTGCTGAAATTGTATATACATGTATGTATACATGTAATCGCACAATAAATAAAGATTTTACAGGGGTGAGTCGCAAACAAATGGGTCACACTGCAGTGTGACCCATTTGTTTGCGACTCACCCCTGTAAAATCTTTATTTATTGTGCGATTTTAACCGAATTTGTTTTAAAGTGTAGATCTTGATAAACTGTATTTTTGGAGCAAAAGACGCCATATTAATACAAAATACAAGGCCTACTATGTCAGTTTTTAAGAGTAAATTTTTAAGAATTCATATTAGCGATTTTTTTGAACAAAATATAAGCACGGCACTGGATTCACCACCCCTCAAAACTATCCTATACTAAATTTTATTGAAAAATTTTAAGAAAAAAATGCACAAAAATAACTACAAAAATTTATTTTGTCAAGTTATCCATGAAAAAAACATTGAAATAAAATTAAACTAATATTACCATGGTACTATAACTAAAAGTTTAATTTTATTTCAATGTTTTTTCATGGATAACTTGACAAAATAAATTTTTGTAGTTATTATTCTACATTTTTTTTCTTAAAATTTTTTAATAAAATATAGTTTAGGGTACTTTTGAGGGGTAGTGAATCCAGTGCCGTGCTTAGATTTTGTTTAAAAAAATCGCTAATATAAATTCTTAAAAATTTACTCTTAAAAACTGACATAGTAGGCCTTGTATACAGTTTATCAAGATCTACAGTTTAAAACAAATCCGGTTAAAATCGCACAATAAATAAAGATTTTACAGGGGTGAGTCGCAAACAAATGGGTCACACTGTATCTTAACTAAGGGAAGTGCTTTTGGATTTATTTACACAAATTGAATGTTTAAAGTTTAACCTGTGAACTTGTCCTAATTTCATCTGAGTATCAAAAAAATATAAAAAACTTCTAATGCATATTTTTTCTTTGGCTTTGGGAAAACATTTGTTTTAAATATTTTTCCATTATGTCAAAAGGTATTCTAATATATTACATTAATTACATAACACCCTGTATATAAGAGAATAAAAATTGGGTTTTCAATTTTGTCCAAGATCAATATAGGTATGCATTTTCATTTTATACTTTTGTTTTATCCTGGTTATTAAAACTTAAAATAGGCCTAAAGTCTGCGATTGTAAAAATATCTATCAAAGCATTGTAAATTAATGTGTATAGTAATCAAATCCAATCATACTGTGTATGATTAAGTTGTGTCGTGGCATGAGGATCTCCTCTATAAACGGTTGTGTTAAATTATTTATTATAATGAGTGTTAAATTTATTGAGACAAATAATTATTTATGGTGATAAGGGTATTTGTAAAATAAAACAATGTTATTTTGTTAAATTAATTTTTTTAACTAATTTCCTAATACTTATTTTACATCTACCTTAGACTGGCAAACGACTAATAATGTAAAGTTGTTTCCCCTGTACATATAATAGTAAATAAATTAATATAAATTTTATATGTATGCTTTGTTGCTGGGCAATAAAAGTACCAGTGGGTACTAGAACTGTTTTCAAAAATAAAACTAAAAAAATTTATTAAACAAATTATGATTTAAAAATTTCAATAATATAACTTAAACCAAACTACTAGACAAAAAAACGCTATTCCAACTTTGTATGTGCGACCAATTTTTCAGAAGATTGAATGTAACTATTATTTAAAAACAAATAAAAAATAAGTTTGTAAAAAAATTATCAATTGAGTTAAGACAAATTTTATACAAGTAGATTTAACTAGGTTGCAACTATTGTAAACGGTATTTGTTTACTGAATAAATGATTTCTACTTGTTTGTCTTTGTTTTCTTTAAAAATATATATGTCTATAGTTTTTTTATTGGACCATTGCTTTTCTTAATCTACGTCAATGATTTACCCAACTTTAACCACACAGCCAATAACATTCTGTTCGCTGATGATACCACCATTATTGTAAAAGGAAAAGACTCAGAATATTTAGTTAATGCGTCGGTGAATGCACAGTCGAGAGCTACTACCTGGTTTCAAAATAATTATTTGACTTTAAATGAAACAAAAACAGTAAATATGTTTTTTACGTTAGGTAAACATATAAATAATCAAGTTGCTTTTAGCGAGCACGCAAAATTTTTGGGGGTTATTATTGATAAAACACTTCAGTGGAACTATCATATAGATGAGGTTGCCAAGAAATTTGGAAAGCACATCTATCTTTTAAGGAATATTGCAAACTCAGTCTCAAACAAAGTTCTTAAGACAGCCTATTTTTCATTGGGCCACTCTCTCTTGTCCTATGCCATATTGGTGTGGGGGCAATCTGCGGGCTGGTAAGAATAGTTGGCAAACTAAAATATTTGTATACAAATTATAAATCCATCAACATAAGGTTATGGGCCCAGAACGTGGATGAAGGATTTATACAACTCTGAATTTAAATTTGTCAGATAGCAAGATCTTAAATATAATATAGAAATAGATAGATAGAAAGTCAGACAGAAAAGTTAATTAAAATATTGATATGGATTCAGGAAAGTCGCAAATGGAAATCTTAAATCAAGAAGAAATAGAATTTTGGAAAATGTGCCATGTAACAACAAATGTATTCTTTATTTTATTACAAGAATCCAAAACTTTTTTGGATTCTTTTTGCCAGGTCAAATCTTGTTTAAAGTAGGAGATGAAATCAATTTTCGTTTCACCGCTACCGTAAGGCGTTAGTTTTTCGCGCTTATTTACTCGTCTAGCAGTCCCTTATCCAAGCAAGGTTTTTTCTCCGCCAAATAATTTTTTCTTCTCAACTGTCTCATCTTTTTTTTTAGAGACTCTACTTGTTCTCCCCCTTGCCGTTGTGTGCTTTGTGTGGGTGTGGATTAGGCCTATAGGGGATACCACCATAAAAAAACGCGCCCGATACTCTACCTCAAGGGTGGTGCGGAAAAGAGTATTACATGGATCTAAATATTTTATTTTATTGCAAAATTTATGCAAAAACTTCACTTCATTCTTTCAATGTTTGTTGTTATAATGTTAAGTGCCTTTTGTGTATCGTTTATTAAATTAAATCTAATATAAAAATATTTAAAAGCCAATAGGTTCATTCCAACCAGCAGTAATATTACCGTAATATTATCGTCCGTAACAGCGTTAATGCGACTGCGCGAACAAAAATAGTAAAATTATTTTGAATAATGTATAAACTGGTTGGAACCTTTTTTTGAACTAGTAGTACTCACAATCAGAAGAAAAAGAATATAACCTTAAACCCACAATTGTATTGTGCTAAAAGCTAAGTAAAGCGCATATACTATATATATATATATATATATATATATACTATATATGCCATATAGGTATATCTATTTCAATAAAGTAATAAATATGGCAGGTTTTTTAAATAATTACTTGTATGATTCTTCGGATGACGAGGATTTAGATTTTATTGGGGACATTGCTACTAGAAATAAATATAACCCAGGTTTGTTGAGTTTATAAATATATATAAAAGTAAATTTTAATAACATCGCACATTGATAATAAATTCTTCCATTCCTGCTCACAAATGATAAAAATTAGATGTATTAACATTAAAAATTAATAAAATCACCTTGTATAGCAGTCATTTTTAAATAATATGTCCACTTTAACAGAAAACAAACTTACAATATTACAAACGTTAATAAATAAACAAAAAGATGAGGTTATGTGCCCCTTCTACGCATGCGTCTAATTTTATTATCAACAGTTCTTGCTCTCGAGCAAGAATCGTTTGAACCGTAATTTAACTGTTCGTAACTCTGGTTGGAACGACGAACTGACAGTAATTGCCAGTTCTAAACTAGTAATTTTAGTTGGTTGGAACGACATTTTACAAACGCGCATGTGTATCAGTAATATTACTGGAAATTACTGCTGGTTGGAATGAACCTAATATGTTTTATATTTTAAATAATAAGTAGGATTTTTTAAATTAATAATCCTTTTCGTACCTAAATAGTAGAGAAGGTAAGGTAAAATAAAACCTTTGTTTTTTTCGATCAAAATATGGTTAATTAAACGTAATAAGTCTTACTTAACACAGTTAAAAAGAAAAGTACAATCCCAGATAGCACAAAGGTATACTATGGACGTCCAATGGACGTATGCTCGTGGACGTCTGTATGTACATAGGATGTCCATACTATGGACGTCCCATGGACATCCGTTTAGAGTCCAGATGTCACAACTTTGGACATCCATAAGTCGTCCACCGATGGACGTCTATAAGGTGTTTGAACCATTCCTCCAGCATCCAGGACCTGCTTTTTTGCTTACTTTAACTGTTTTTTGCGACTGTATTTTCATTGCGATGTTGCAGAAAATTTTCTGTCTGGCTCAGTAACAATCCCACTAGGAATATAAATATTCTAAAAGTTGTTAAAAGTTACAACATTCAATGTTGAACATTGCAGGAAATCCTTGTATTCGAATCAGGAACATTACATTTGCAATACTACAAGTGTTTAATATTTCATTGATAGCTTAAGTCCTTTATAGCACGCGCTTGCTTGAATGTCAGTGAGATTGATCATAACTGTTGTTATGCAGCCAACAATACGTTTTAACTTGCATTTCTGTAATAATAATTATGGACGAAAAATGAAAACTATATGGACGTCCATTAAAATCGTACAAAGGATGTAAATATATGGACGTACATAGTACATCCATTTTTAGTCCGTGGACCAATGTACTTAAAATGGATCTTAAACGGACGTCCATTGAACGAATGGTGCTATCTGGGATTATTTATTTCCCACACAGCACATATATCCATTGGACGTCCAGTAGACGGCCATTGTACATTCAAACGTCCAATGTAAGTCCATTTGACGTCCATTTGACGTCCATTGGACATCTTGTGCTGTATGGGTTGTAACAAAAACAAAATTGAATTATATCCGCAATTTAACGATCATAAAACAAATTTAAAAAAATAAAACCTTTATTGTTTTCAATCAAAATATGGTTAATTATAATTATAAGTAAGACTTATTGCTATATATGTATATAGGCAATAAGTCTTACTTAACACCATGATACTACATATATGTAGTATCATGCTTAGCACAGTAAAAAAGAAAAAAATAATTATTTATTTGTGGATCAAAATATTGTTAATTATAGTTAATTTATTTGTAATAAAAAAATCGGTGCTTTTTAACGATCTAAAAACGCATTAAAAAATAAAACCTTTATTTATTTTTAATTAAAATAAAATAAGGTTTAAAAAAAATAAGGTTCTCCACTGTACCTACTTATAAATTATAAGTAAAATAATAGAAAATAAGTAAGGTAAACGTCCCAATTATCGACACCTTAAGAGATTTTTCTAAATCATATCGTTATAAAAATTTGCATATTAAAGTTACACGTTTAACAATTTTACTGTGGATTGTTATAATATTGATTATTGCTTTGCAATGTTTATTTTTTAAATAGCAATGCGTAATTTATATGCAAAAAATAAATTTGTTGAAAAGTACCATTTGACCCAGTTATCGACATGGGAAAATTTGTCTTGAACCAAATATCGACACCCTTGCGTACGTAATATCGACACTCGGAAAAGTCGATTTAAATGGTTATAATAAGTAACAAAGAGTTTATCATAAAAGTTTATTTATTATAAAATATAAGCAGTATTTATTGCAAACAAAAATGTTTGACGATAAAAGTATTTTAATCACAAATCTCCAGTACGCAGTAAAGTCCGCGTTTTTTTTTGTTCCTTAATTTTTTAAGGACCTCTTCTCTATCATACCAAAGAATATTATCCCTTTGTCCCATATGTCCCATATGGGCCATATCCCATATCCAATTGAGCCCATTTTTCTCCATATGTAAGACTTGGTAATCAAACTCATAATTTTCTTTACAATGATATGTCAATAATTTTACCTGGTATATAGTGATTGATCGTTATAATTCACTATAACATAATCGTTTACAAATAACTTTTCTTAAGTCATGTTTGTAAATGTTTTTTTCCCATTTTTCACTATTTTCAATAATGTTCATTTTAAAACATTCTTTCTGAAAAAAAATAGGTTGAACCAGTTATCGACATTTTTGGTACCAAATATCGACATATAAATTACATCCACTCCACAGACTTTGATCCACTCTAACGATGTTACCAATGGAAAAAATGGGTGTCGATAATTGGTACAGCGGTAGTTTAATATAATTTCCTTTAAACTCTTCAGACAGAGTAAGAATAAGTTTGATAGACATTTAAATATTCATAAGAAAAGAGAAAGCTACATAGTACCATTTATCGACACCTATGTCGATAAATCGTACAAAGCCTAAAAATGGATGTACCTTTTATCGACACCACATAATTTTACGTTTATACTGATTCTATGCCAAATTATTGGCAAAAACCATACATTATAGATTCTGTATATAAATTACATCCACTATACAACTATCTACATAAAGAAACTTAAATATTTTAAACTAAAATTGCCATAATTAACTTACCTGTTTCTTAACACTTTTCTTAAGGATTTGCACAAGTTCACAGATGACTGCGGAATGGCGGGATTAAAATATTTTTTCAATTAATATTTTCTGCATAACCGACCGAAACTTTTTAGGAAAGGTAGGGAAAACCTACTTGTTTCTTATTTTAATATGACAATAGATGTCCAAAGCATCAAATTCTTATTTTTGAATGTTTAGTGCACAAATGTCGATGATTGGGACAGTGTCGATAATTGGGACGTTTACCTTAATAACATATTTTTTTAACATAAAAAAAAATAACCTTAAACTATAATAATTTTATCAGGCATCCTTGAATAGGTATATTTAGTTAATAATATTTATTCAGTAACTCTATATAGGTATTAAACTCTCTATAATATTAAACTAACCAATAATAAAAGAAATACTTACATGTAAATAGTATTTACTAAATACTAGACCACTTTGTGCTCACCACAGCTAACCGGCGAGAAACGCATGTAAAACAGTGGAAAAATAAAATAATCAGAAGCAGTCACAAATAAGAACCTACTTGAACCAATACGAATATAAAACAAAACCAAACTAACAACTTGTGAATCACAATCGTCAAAATTTTAGAAATTAAGGTTGATGTTAACATTTTAACATTTTAAAATTTTAAAATAATCAACGGCCATAAAAAGTTTTAACTTTAAGCCCCTGAAACTCGGCAACCAATTATACTTTGCGACCGACCTCCCGATGGACACGGTGATTGGATAGTTTGAAGAAAATCAAATCGCAAGTTTGTCAAAAACCAAGTTGACAACTTTTTTAGATGGGAATCATCTCTCGTTGATTAAACGGAAAAGAAGGAAGAAATATCTAAGGTAAATCAACTATAGTTGGATAGATGGCGCAGCTAAAATGTACGCCTGTATAGCCGCAACTAATATGACATTAAATACAATAACGATTGAATTTTACACAATGTCTATGGAATAAATAGTTTTTAGCTGAAATATTAGGCTGTTTATATCACAGACCATATCTGTGGTTTATATTAATATAAAAGCGTAGACCTCAAACTGATTATGATTACAGTGAATGTATTTAAACTTTTTTCATTTTTACATAGATGTCGTTATAGTTTGTCAGTGTTGCTAACCTCCTCACCAAAATGTGGGTAGATGAACCGATTTCTAAATAATTATACCTATCTACACATATTTAAATATATACCTTTCTAGGTACCATTAATCTATCACACATGCACAAACTTAAAAATGTCCCGAAATTTTCGGAGAAATCTACCGAAAAAGTGTTGGAAGAGGTTGGCAACACTGCAGTTTGTGCAACTGGCGCCATTTCTTCGTTTTTGTGTATATTGGCTTAATATTTGTAGAATACAACTTTTGTTAAAGTGTTATCTAGTTTTAGGCGGTATGTTAGTGTTTTGTAGGATTTGTTAGTTTAAGAGAAAAGAAAACATCGCGTATAATAATATATTTTTAAAAGTTAGACTGTACGTAACCTAGAAAATTTAAATTTTAACGGCCACCAAACGTCAACAACTTGTAATTTACAAGCACACAATTACAAAAAGGTGATTTTTTAAATTATCAGGCATGGCACGAACGAAAGCTGCAAAGAAAAAACCAGCAAGTAAGGCAAATACATCCATTAAGAAGGATGTGGAAGAATTACAGTTGCGAAGTAAGTAATTTAGATTTAAAGTAGATTTTAAATTGGTAACATAATTATTGTTTAAGAAAAACAACTGTTCCAAAAGCTGGACCAATATAAAGAAACATTTGATATAAAGGTAGAAGCTATTTTTGCCAAGTTATTAGTAAATATACCTGCACATATTAAAAATTCAAGGTTTTCGGACTTGGTAAGTGAATTAAAACAAAAATAATATTATAAGAAACAATTGTTATGATTTTGGATTTAAATAAATAAATGATTTTGTATTTAATTATATCAATTTTATAATATGAAATTTTATAATGGATAATTTTTAGAAGAAAAATGGTGTACATTTACACAATACAACTGTATCATATAATTATTCTTCAGTGGATAATGTCTTACACAACCACACAAACACAGCCAAAAAACGCAAGAAGGCTTTAAGAAGCTCGTCTTGTCATGAAGACGATGGTAAGAGCCTTTTTATTTGCTAGTTCTATGGAGTTGGTACATATTTTTCATACACTTCTAAAGTTACAGATAGTTACAAAAATAATATCTAAATTTTCATTATACAGGGTTGTCCAGTTAATAAAACATTAATTTTAGGAGGTATAGCATAAAAAAGGACTTTCATTAAAAAAAATTGCTCAAAAATTTTTCCTTACAGATACAGCCTGTGAAAAATATTTCAAGGGTTAAGAAAACAAAATAAACAAGGCATTTTCTAAAAACATCTTGTGTCAGATTTTTTTCTTGAATTAAGTTAAAATTTTCTTAATTATACAGTAATATTTCAGGGTTTAAATATTCTGCTTATTTTGTATAGAAAAGTTTATATAAACATATAATGTCCTTAAATTTTATATTCAAAAGTTGTGTGATTTTTTCAACTAAATTCTTATTTAGTGCTAAGGACAACCATTTCACTCCTCTTTTGTAAAATAGTTATTTATGTATCAAGGCAGTAAAGTCGTATTTTTTATTACGAATGTGGAAATAACCACTTGAGTGATAAAAAATGACTTTAATGCTGAGGTGCATATTATCCGAAATCACATTTAATACTTATAATTAATATTGATGATTAAATCAAATGTCATTTGATGATCAAATCAAATGCTATTTGAATGTAGGAAGTGTCTACATATACTGTTTGTTGCGACGGTTATTATATATTTGCCCGCCGTGGCGATTTTTTAATCTAATTAATAAAATTAACTTATTATTTTTATTAAACAACATTTTATGAAAGGGTCCAATTGACTTCCGCGAAGGTGCTTTTTTTAAAATATTATTTAGTTGCTGCTGAGAAGCAGTAGACACATCTTAAAATGTATAATGGGTTGCATACAATACTCGTATTAAATCGGCAGAAAAGTTCTACTTTACTGCCGATTGTTGACTACTTTACTGCCGATTTCGGATAAAATAAACTTATTCTATCAGGGCTGTCATAAAACTGTAAAATGTCAATTTTAAGGTTAATTTACCATAACCCACAAATTGTAGTGCTATACAAAGAAAAATTCTAAAAATTAATTAAATTTTAAAGTTAACTATCTGTATACTATATTAGTGGATTGGGACTTTGCTAAGTATTTTTTAAACTTATGTGATTAGTATTTGTAAATGTAAAATCTATATTAAATTAAAATCAATTTATATAGAATAATAACACAGGCCAATAAAATAAATATTTTTTTTGTTGCCCAGGATTTTGAAACTGAGTCCAAATATGAAATCAATTTTTCTCAGCTCTACTTTTTATATCTGTACAGGGTGATCCCCTATAATGTCCCCCCCTTTAACTTTTTTATTTTTTATTTAAAAAAAATGGAAAATTGATCATAAAACAAAAAGTTTATTTTTTTTCAATGCATGACCCTATATACGAATTTATTTTTCGATTCCTTGTAAAATTCTGAACATATAACAAACCATATACCTAAATTCAACCGTTTCTGAAATATTCGCATTCAAAATGAGAAAGACAAACTATTTCAACTTATTATCTTAAAAATAATTTAAATATTTCAGAAATGGTTGAATTTAGTTATATGGTATGGAATTTTACAAGGAATCCAAAAATAAATACATATATAGGGTGATCCATTAAAAAAAACTAAACTTTTTGTTTTTCCCTGTATACTGATCAATTTTCCAATTTTCTTTATACGTAGAAAAAAAGTATTTTTTAGTACCTACAATGTAGGTCCTACATACCCACACTTTTAAATTTTTTGGGACACTTAAAATAAAAAAGTTAAAGGGGGGCGACATTAGAGGGGATCACCTTGTACAAGTACCTTGTAGACTATTGACTATTGACTAATTCTTAATCTCATTAAATAACATTTTGTTTGGACAAGTTGTAGTAATTAAATAAAAATAATAATAATAATAATATAAATTTAAAAAATAAATATTTTTTGTCTATTTTTTATTGCTTTATTTTTATAAAACGCATCAGTTCTGTGATAAAACCTATAGATGCTTACCAAATTAATTAAATGTGAGGGGACTGTTTTAAGATTTGTAGATATATAATTATTTACAACTTAGTTAACGCTTCTATAGTAAGTTGAAGAAATTCTATATTTTTTAAAATAATTTCTATTGGGCTCCATTATCACACAAAACTCACAACCTATAGGTTTATACATAAAGCTTTATTGAGACTAATTTTTCTATGCAGGTAACAAGGAAAACTGAAAAACCATCACTTTTTTAAACAGTTTATTAATTAACGTTAATTTACCAGCTAGTTAAAATATATTTGGTATATTATTTGGTTATTTAATCAGTTGTGCTACTTGGGTTAAGTGATTTCAGTGTTCAGTGAAAATTTGACCTGATGGGCCATTTTTAAATACTTAAAGGGTATAAAATTAGCTCCAAATATCCAGGCACCAAAACAGCTGTTGGCCCGTGTAATTTTTACAGTTATTCAGGTGATTAGTTTGCAATTTGTTGTAAAATAAAATCCTCCTACGTTTGCAAATAACTTTTTCCGCGCATTTTAACATCCATCCATCATCTAACTCTCGCGACTCGCGAACGACTTCATAGGTTACCTTACAGCAGAGATGAGCGACGCAAGCTCAGGGGGCCGGCAGTCCCGCTCCCGCAAACCGGCGCCCCCGAAGAGCACCAGGGTGTCGCGTTCCTTGAGCCGGGTCCAAGTATCGAAGCCCGCCCCCCTCTCCATGAAGACGCCCGCCAACAGGAACCCGCCCCCAAACTCGTACGGCATGGTCACCCCGAAGGTAAGACTATTGTTACCGTTTTTTCATTTTCCTGTAGGTTTTTATGAGTGGAAGGATAATTTTTAAGAGTGGGAAACGTAATTCAGCAGTAGACCCTTCACCGGCGTTGGGTGATAGACGAAGTTTACTCTGGATTATTAATACGAATTACGCATTAAGTTAATTTACTTTAAAAAATGATTCAGATACTTAAAATGTAACGTAATCACTTTTAACAGTAGGTAAATTATTAATTAAAGGTGTAAAATCATTATTTGTTTTGCATTTAATTTCAAAAAAACGTTTAAGCATACAAAATTCTCTTTAAAAAAATAAAAAAATAAATTAATTCCCTTGAAAACAAAATAAAATTTCCGATTAATTTCAATCGCAAATAACTTTTTTATTTGATGTCGGATTTAAACAAATATTAAAGAATATTGTAGATAAATTAATGGACAATCGCTCACATTTTAAAAAATTACTAAAAAATAGATGTACGTTTATAATATACAGGTTTAAACAAAAAGATGTTTTTTACCATAAGTTTAAGACACTCTGTATATTGTTCTAAATTAAGTTTTATTTATCAAGTCACATCTATTCTTAACAGTTTTGTTTTTGGTTCACCTCGATATATTTATTTTTGTGGAAAATATGGATTTTTTTAAAAAACATTGCAATTTCCAATATTTTTCCTGTATGAAGAACTTAGGTTGCTATGGTCCATCCATAGCCTAGGGAGGATGACAGTGACAGTTTTGTTGAATCATCCCATACTTGGACATGTCATACACAGCTTTCAAAAGCTATCGAAATGTTTTTTGCAAATTAATGTTTAAATTTTGAGGTGTCTTCTTATTTTAAAAAATGGATATGTCTCCGACTGATGTTGCCAGAGCCATTAATTTAATCCAGGATGGACGGTCACAGTATTACGTGGCAAGTGTTTTAAACGTCACAAGAAGTAAAGTACAAAGGGCAACATCAGTTGGAGACATTTTTAAAAGTAAGAAGACACCTCAAAATTAACACATTAATTTACAAAAAACAATTTGATAGCTTTTGAAAGCTGTATATGACATGTCCAAGTATGGGATGATTCAACAAAACTGTCACTGTCATCCTCCATAGGCTATGGATGGACGATAGCAACCTTAGTTCTTCATACAGGAAAAATATTGGAAATTGCAATGTTTTTTTAAAAAAATCCATATTTTTCACAAAAATAAATATATCAAGGTGAACCAAAAACAAAACTGTTTAAAATAGATGTGACTTGATAATTAAAACTTAATTTATAACAATAAACGGTTTTGCCACTCTACAGAGTGTCTTAAACTTATGGTAAAAAACATCATTTTCTTTAAACCTGTATATTATAAACGTACGTGTATTTTTAAGTAATTTTTAAAATGTGAGCCATTCTCCATTAATGTATCTACAATATTCTTTAATATTTGTTTAAATCCGAAATCAAATAAGTTATTTGCGATTGAAATTCATCGAAAATTTGTGTGGATCGATTATTTTGCCTGTGAGTGTATATATAAATAAATAAATATAAATACACTAATTAAAAACGTTTCTTATTTTTCTAATTGACGGAATAGAACTATCCGGATATTTAATTGAGAAGTGTATAAAGTTCATTTTTTGTATCTGGACTGCGGCAACGTTGCAAATTTAGTGGTTTGGTTGGTAAATATGGAACCAAAATTGGTTGAATTGATTAAAACAAACTAAACTAGTTATAAATGTAATTGTGGTTAAATTATTGTAGGTTACATTGAACGGTTGGGAAGTTGAGTTGTCAAAATTCGTAGTTAAAAATGCAATTAATTTGGCTTTGGTGGTGCGTAGATGAGTAAAATCTTGTAAAAAAGTAGTTAAATGTAGTCCAAAGGTGAATAATGTGAAAATAATTTGTGATGTTATATTTATAAAACCAAATCCCTACTTTTTTACTCCACTTTTTCTTCCATTGTGGCATTTGGCATAATTTCATCAAAATGAAGTTTTGCCCTCAAAAGAGTTTTTACATTCGAATTCGTTGCTATTATTTTTGGCATTTATGCCAAAAATAATAATAATTATAATTATCTTTTTATTTATAATTGACAAGTAAATTATTAATAATAAATATTATTGTCAATTTGACAGTGTCAAAGTATTTAATTAAAGCAGAAGTACCATTTTTAAATACTAAAAATACTAAGTCAAACTGGCATAAGCCACCACCCTAACAAAAAAACACGAGTCCAGTTTAAAAAAAATGATCTGTACTAAAAACACAGACCACCAAAACAAATGGACGGATTTGTTTACGTTTAAAAAGCGAGTAAAGCATAGTTTCACATTCTAAACACCGTCGAAAGAAACAAGACTTCCAACGTTGTCAGAAGTATAGATTACACGCCTTTTTGGACGTTCATCATAACATAATGAACATTAATAATTACCAGTAATTCGTTTGAATAATAAAAAAATTGTAAAAAGGATTTGTTCATCATTTTCTTTAGATATTTTTCTCTATTTAAAGAAAGTAAAACATTTAATAATTATTAAAATTAAATATTAACAACGTTGGTAAATTCGTCATATTTGACAGCATAGAAAAAGGTTGACAGCTTGTTTTGTGTTTTAGTTTGTGTATTTCTATCGTGTTTAAGTTAATTATGGAGTTTAAATACATTATTTTTTATAACAATACATGGAAATATCGTTTGTAAGTACCTACCTAATTATTATTTTTTTAATCCCAATACGTCACTGGAAGAAAACATAAAATTCTACCGCCAATTTAACGCTTAGACTTTGACCGTTTGTTGACCGCAAACAAAGCATTGTTACTGAATGGCAATGCGCCGTCCATTTGTTTTGGTGGTCTTTGACTAAAAATACTAAATCAAACTGGCTTAAGCTACCAACTTGATACAAAAACACGAGTCCAAATAAAAAAAATGAATTGTAAAAATTACGCCCATAAAACAGCAAACTTTCCAATTTAAAGTTGGTAATTCTGACGTTATATCGCATTGATGGCGTTTTATTTCTTCTTTGCGTTTGTAGGTAAAACCCAACACTCCTCAGGTTCTTCTGAGGAGGCCAAAACAGGGAGAGATGGCGCTATCTCTGCAAGGAAGTCCTCTCTTCACCGGAAGTGTGGTCAGTGAAAGTGTTGCCAACATAAACATCCCCCTGAATGATGGCAGGATGTTCACCCTGCAACCGGAAAGGGGGCTGAGAATGTCGCAGGTTCCGGACCTTGACCCGGAAACGAGGCGTCAGCTGCAAACCTTGAGAGACAATCTCGCTAAAGTTTGCGGACAGCGCTAGATAAGTTTTTAATGAATACTCAAGTAAATAAAGTCAAAATTTTAATATTTATAACCAATAACGAAAATATTTGCAATGAACCGCCAAATGATTTGTAGAAAGTTGACATAATAGAATTTACTCGTTTTTAAATTAAGCAATTCAATTTTACAACTAAAAACATGTGTTTTATTTAATTTGTGTTTCCCTATGGGTTTTATTGCATGCAATGTAATATATCCTATATTGTATGCAATAAAATAAGGGGACTTTGTGGACAATTTCATTCTTAGAGTAAACTGTGGGATTTCCAAAATTTTTAAACTTAATATGTTGTATTATATCTCCCACTAATTTTAAGATTTTATTTTGATTATTATATTATAGTTTTTGTACAAGTATTTTAAGTATCACTATGATGTGCCTACAAATAGATATTAAAGCATAGGTTTTTATTAAAATACATATTGTTTTATTTCATTTTAAATAAATTGTGTAAAGAATATTTTTATTTCATTTTCAGCTGATTTTGAATATCTTGAATGTAAGCTTCTGGTAAGTTGCACTCCCTAAAATAACAAATGTATATAATAATGTTATATTTAAAGGTTCTTTTTGCATTTTTTTACATTTGATGTTTTTTTTGTAACTGTCTTATATTAATCTAATCAAGTTTTGGCCTTTGGCCCCGTCTTCGCAGAAAAAAAATAAGTTTAATTTAGCAGTCAAATATAATTTAAAATTTTAGCAAAAACTTGATAATAATTTTTGCCTAGACTTTAAACCACATTTTGAATGTACTATACGCTAAAGAAGTATCGCTAGTAACGCCACCAATAACAAAAGTACAACTTTTGATAATCAGCTGTCAAACGCGTGTGTTACAAACGAGTGTTTTTGAGAATAAAGCCGGAAAATGTTAAAAAATATCGAAAAAAAAACCGTGGCACGATTTGTTGTCTTGTTGGGTGTATTTCGAGAGGAAATCCTGGGTTGAGTTTTTATCGGTTTTCCAATAAACAGTGTTAATCCGAATAAATAAATTTCATACGTCCCTGTAAATTCTATCTATTAGATACAATAAATACACATTTTAGTAGTGATTAACGTGAAAAGTGTATCCTTTTTCTATGGTGTAAACATTTCAATTCAGTAAAAACCGTCAAACAAATAAGTCGTCTAAATTTAAACAGCATTTAGCATTACTAAAAGCGTTGATTAAGAATTTTCCACTCAACGGTAAAATACCATTATATTATGTATTATATATAATATTATGTTGCCATGAATTCGAAGGTATATTTTGTTGTTTAAAATGCAGTTGTCGGCGTTTTTTAGAGAACTCAAATATAAAAATGGTTGATTTTAAGGATATGTTTGTGCAAAAATTATGTTTTACTAATTTCTTAAAAATGTCCAAAATTAAATATATATTAGGTAAAGTTATCATTAGTTAATTCTGCACCAACAAATGTACTTACCGAATTGGATCCTTTGGCAAAACATGAAAATGCAACGATTTAGTTCTTGAATTTTATTTACAATTAAAAACACAATAATTCACCATGATCCCTTAGATACACACACTAACGTAACTATACAAGCATTTAAGCGTTCAGTTTCTTAATCAATGATATAAAGAATAATCAATCGAAATCGCGAGTACTAAACCAGTTTTTTAGTTTTTTCCTTGCAACGTAAAACACAAATAACGTGCGCAATTTAGCTGTGCAATTGAACAAAACTACCTATTTATTTAAAAATGATGTACAGTTCGTATGCTTTAAATGTATTGTTGACAATTCTTAAATTCACGCAATGCTTTTGAAGTCCACCAGATGGCGCGCGCGTTGCGAAAACCCGATACTTCTTTAGCGTATAGACGTTTTTTATTTTTATAATAAATAAATTTAAGTACATTTACTTATGATATTTTACACTCAATTTATGATCTAACCTAATAATTATTCATAAGTTTATGTGTAATCCTAAGAATACACAGATGGTTGTCTTTTAGTCCAAAATGTTTTGAAAATTATATATAAGAAATTAAATAAACAATTGAAAAAAAATTAAAATAATATATTTTCAATAAAAAAAAATATAGGAAGAAAAGTCTCTGGATTTAGCAGCAATATTCGCAAAATTAAACGAAGTTATTTCATTAAAAAAATAAAAATGGCAAACCTAAAAAATTGATGGTTTTTTTCAAAAAGCTGAAAAATTTTATAGAATTTGACATAACAAAATTTGCAGAAAATTAAATCTTCTACTTTTCATCTACAGTTTACAAGTTAACGGCAAGAAAGACATAACTTTTATAGGAAACATTGAACCAATTGGGGTTTTAAAGTGTAGAAAAAAAACGGAAAAATTGGGGGAAAACCTGTTTTTATTCTTTCGTTTTTTCCCTGACCTTGGAAAAATTGACTTAAGAAAATATGGAAATTTTCAGAAAAAATGCCTTTGCCATTTTTTGCATTACCTTTTGAATAAAATGAAAAAAATGCAAGTCAATTTTTCTAAAAATTTCACAATTTTTCCGGTTAAAAAACGGGGTTTTCCGCCCTAAAACCCCAGAACTAATAAGATACTTTAATGTGTTTTAAGTTTAAGTTCAATCAAACGAAAAAAAGCAAGATGCTTTTTGATGGAAAAACTTATTGTGGTGGTTGTAAAAAAACGAAAAAAAAACGTTTTTAAAAGTTTTTCATATTTCTTGTTATAATACTTACCTTAATTTCTGAATCTTATTTTTTAAGTACTCTTCAACTTGTCTTTCTTTCATTTCAGCCTCCAATCTTTGAGCTCTTCCCTCCTCAAACTTATCTGCAAACTCTTTAATTTTTTGTTTCTCCTTTTCGTTTATTTGCAGCAATAATTCTCTGGAAAATTTATGTGCGTCTTCTTGTTTTGCTGCCTTTTCTTTTTGGTCCTTTTCAAATTGTTCTTTTTGAATTTTATTGTTCTAAAATTAAAGTAATTTTCTTATTTTAATATTGTCTAAACTGATCCCTGATAGCACGCTTTATTCTAAGAATGTTTTTTAAACTTTCCAGTGAGAATATTCTTAGGATCATGCTATATTTCTTCTAAAGAAAATGCTTAAAAGACATATAGCATGATCCTAAGAATATTCTTACTGGCCTATAGGCAGGTTCTTAGAAGGTGCAAAGTTTTAGTGGTAAAAATTAGTGTACTCTAAACATATGCTTAGAATGTTAAGAAAGTAATTGCTATAGAAAGTTCATTTAGGAATATTCCTGTTAAGCATATTTAGTTCAGTTACCTATATAATAGTAAAATATACCATAAACTACGTATAAAGGTATATACCTATACTTACAATCCATGTTGTGTGGATTGTGCCTATACTTAAGTATACCTAATAAGTAATTAGTATTAAATACTAAGTAAAAACACAATCCAAAATATTTTTTTATAGTTATTTGTGAAATTAAAACAATATTCGATAACAAAAATACTTTTACTATAGGTATTTTATTTTATGTTAAAAATAAATATTTATTAATTTGTATACCGATTTTTTATTTCTGAATTAACATTTTTATGTATAATAATCCTAACTATCTTTAACTTCAATCTAATCTGACTTATTCCACAAAATTTTCCAATTTGACTTTTTATGAAATAATGTCATAGTACTAATGGTTTAGAGGTCAAATTTTTTATTTAATATTTTTAAATAAATATATATTAATATGTCGCAAAATTTTTTAAGGGGACGACAAATACATTTCACTGTCATATTATGACAGTGAGGCGTATTTGTCGTCTCCTGAAGAATTTCACGAATGTAGAATACAACATATTAGAACGTGGGTATCTGACATATTTGGAAATATTCTCAAAAGCTTCCTAGAAGCTCCATAAGAAACCGTCTAAGAACATTCCAAAAACGTATTCTTAAAATGTTCTTAGGATGCTTTTTAGGTTCTAAGAATATTATTCCGGGTCATATCTTCCCACACAACACCTAATATTGCTAATATATTGAAAAGCCGTTTAAACGCCAATATTGGTAATATAATATTTGACAAATATTACATTAATATTTATCAGATTGCTATAGCTTGTTGTTTTCTAAATATTGTATAAATGATTTATTAATCATTTGGAAATATTCAAATGTAGTATCCGATGAGTTACGAAATATGACGAAAAAGAACGCGGGAAATCATCATTCCCTTCTTTATCTCTGCATCATTGAGCATCCATTTTGCATATTGGTGATTTGAATTTTAAGACTAATTCTTAGACCATTTAAGGTGAATTACAGAACATAAGAGGTGAATAATAAAAGGTGCAAAACGATTGTAAGTCTATAAAACTATATATAGTGGCAGTATCTTCACAAAAAGGTATGTACCTACACATATTTTTTTTTTTAAGAAAATAAGGGGAATATAGAGTTAGCGTGCCTACTTGTTGCTGAATAATCGAATTAATATACAATTTGTGAACTGTTTCCAATTGACTCTCCTGAAAAGTTGCAGGTCATTGAAGAGTCTCTTGAGGATGCAAATTTGCGAACGAAATTGGTAAGAAAAATAAATCATTAAAACTTGACATTTCAATTTAACATTCTAGGCCAAAAGATTCTCCATGGTTGGTGGTGAGGCACCGAAAGAAGTAACAAGATCAGTTCTGTAGGTACCTAATGGTTACCAACAAATTGGCCGCACAGTACAGTTTTGATGGAGGAAGAGGAAAACTAATATTTAAAACTGTTCCAGTTACTGTTAGGTAATTTTAAAAGTTATAATAAAACTTTATCTAAATTACAGTAAATTTTCAGATTCTGTAAGAGCAAATATCAAAACAAAGGAGGCAACAACTGCTGATATATTAAAGGAGCTAAGGCAATGGTTGGCTCAAGCTCCGTTCAGGAAAAATGAAAAATAATTATATAGAAAATTAGAATGAATAGGAAGCACTGTTCCAAAAAAGTGTTTTTTTTTGTTAAACATGTAATATTACATGTATTTTTGTTACCTACATTTATATTTTTATATAAATAAATTATTTTTAGAAAATTTTAATTTTTATGTGAATTAATTCCAATATTAAATAAACATTAGTAATATCCTTTACTATTTAATAAATATTTTGGTAATATTACTAAAATATGCATAAATATTTGCAAACCAATTTCCTCAATGTTTTATTAATATTATATCATAACATTTCTACAATAGAGGTTTTGGGACATCTGAATGTTGTAGGAATATTGAAATAACATTAGGCATTGGGTAAACAATGTTTATCCAATAATCATATCAATGAACCTTAATATACTGGCAATATTTTTAAAATATTTTTGTGTTGTGTGGGTTCTTAGAAGATTCTTAAAATCAAATTTTGCTATCAGGGATTGTGTTACCTTCAGGAAATAATCCTCTTCCTTGGCCAAATTACAAGCTTTGATTCTTCTTATATCGTCCATCTGTTTTTCCCTTGCCTGTATGAGATCTTCTCGTTTCTGCTTCTCTTTAAGTGCTTCAGCTAGTTCTTTTTCGCGCCATTCCCGTTCTTTCTAAAATTTAAAGTCAATGTATAAAAATTAGTTTAAATTATGATTAGTAAGTACATCTTCCATCGCTTTTAAGGCGTTTAACTCGTCCAGTTGTACCAACTTGTCGGCTTCTTTTTTGTTTGCTTCCCCCATCCTCGCCAACTCTATTTCCTTCTTGTGCTTTTGTTCTGCCATCTCTTTTTCCCTTGCCTCTTCGCGTTCCTGTTTCTGTCTTAAAAATTCGCTAATCTACAAATTATCATACAAGTTACATCAAGTACATTCATATATTAATATTTACTCTCATGTCGGCAATTCGTTGCTCCTCCTCCCGCTTCTTCTTGTACATTTGCACCTCCTCGAACGATTTTGCGTAATCTTTCCTCATTTTCAGTTGCACCTGGCGCTTCTCTTCTTCCTCTTCGATTTGGGCCTTTTGCAAGGCCTGCCTTAATTTCAGCATTATTCTGCTCTCTTCTTCGAGCTTTTCAGCAGCCACTATCTTATTTATTTCGATCTCTTTTAATTGACGACGGACACCTTCTAAAGTCCTGAAAGGGGGCGCCGTTTTATGTTTTATTTAGGAATTATTCTTATATATGAGTCAATCCAAATGAAAACACCAAAAATGAAGTTAAAAGTGCGCTGCATTATTTTTTATTTTAATGAAAAAATTTGAGGATGATCTTTTAGGTATCATAATATATTATATGAAAAATCGTTTAGGTATCATAATATATATTATATGAAAAATCGTTGCTGTTTTAATTTTTAGTTGCTTTATTTTTAATCGGCACCCTTTAGAAACCTGAAATCGTGTCAATTTCTTACTCTCTTATAAGAGGCTAAAACTTTTTTTCTGTGGCAATTATTGAAATGATTGTAATTTTATTTTACTGCCTAGTAATTACTAGGTATTACTAAGTATGTTTTCAATATTAATTATTATTATCTATTATTATTATATAGAAGGTTGCTTTTTTTCAGGTATCAAGTACTTATACGATAGAAAACGTAACTATTATTTTAAGTTTCTAGACTATCATTTTCTTTATTAAAAAAATTATTGAAACTTGATAATTTTCAAAATTAGCCAATTTTGCCCTCAGAAATCATTATGTTGAGGAAAAAATAAAAATCTGAAACTTTCAGGAAATTTCCTGAAAGTTTCAGGTGTACCTCATGAGGACTACATTAATGTAGTCCTCATGAGGTGCACCTTCATCTTTTCAGTCTAGTTAGTCTTGTTTTGTTATTTTTATCCATGTAAAAGATACAGTGGCGTATTTAGGATTTAGCTCCGGGGGGGGTCCAAAAAAACTAACTAAATATGTACTATGCTATGCATTAATACGTAAGTAGTTGATTTTTGATTTTAATGATTTTATATTTAAATATAATTAATAAATAATATAGTACGTTGACAGTCTTGAGATTTTTATTTTTTTTTAACTTTTTTTTGTAATAAAAATAATAAAATATGTGCGCCCGGGGGGGGTCCGGACCCGGCGGACCCCCCCCTAAATACGCCACTGAAAAGATATAATAATTTTTTTAATGCAGTTAAGAAGCGATATTGTTAGTTTTATTTATAATTTAAAATTTAGATGGCTTTGACAATTCTTTGTCAATTCATGTTTGGTAGAGAAATTTCAGAACTGTCAAAAATATTTTATAAATATTATAAGTTTGTGGTATTCCTTTGGTGATTTTAAAATTTTTTGTATAGGTATAACATAATATGACATATTATAAAAATAAAAATCTGAAATTTTCAGGAAATGTAGTCCCCACCTTCATCTTTTCAGTCCAGTTGATCTTGTTTTGTTATTTTTATTCCTTTAAAAGATATATTAATTTTTTTAATGCCCGTTTAGTAGCGATATTTATAATTTAAAATTTAGATGGCTTTCATATTTGATGGAGGTGTCAGAACTGTAAAAAATATTTCATAAATATTATTTGTGCGTATTTCTTTGGTAAATTTTGTATATAACATAATATGTCATAAGTATTATGTTATATACAAAACTTTTTAAAATCACCAAAGGAATACCACAAATAATAATTAATTATATTTTATGTATTGTATGTATAATCATATATATAGGTATATGATTATATATTATATAATGAACTATTTAATTGGCTAATTGGTGGTGTTTAAAGAAGAAGAATGTAAAAAATATATTAAATTAAAAAATCAAGCAGCGCACGCCATTTGGTGTTTTTATTTGGAATGACTCATAATATCACTTTAACTGTTAACACATATTATGTGTTAACAGTTAAAGTGCTGTTTTCAATTAGATAAAAAATGTCATATAAGAATTTAATTTAATTTGTATGCCAAACTGTTATTTTTAATTTAGTGAATTTAAAATATATGTTTCTTATATTTGTTTTTTTTTTAGTTAAACACCTATTTTTAATTCGTAAATTAAAAATATCATAGGAAAAATTTGTAAATGTATTAAAAATATCATAATATCATTTTATTAAATTAGCAGATATTTTTAATTGAATATGCTATTTTTGAACCCCCCTGGTATTCCAAACTAATTATGTCGCTAGATGGCGGCACAATCGTGGCGTTTAAAATATCAGGGGTGTCCAAACTCCCCAAGCAGCATTTTAAGTTTAAATAACAACAAATTTACTACTTTAAAGTATTTTTTACGGTTAACCAAAACGGTTTTATAACGGTATAGATACGAAAAATGTCTAAATTTGGGGATGGTTTATTTCGTTATTTTACCTACTTTTTGATCTACTAAGAGAATAACGTAATAAAAACAATATAAATACCACAAATTTACGTAAAAAGAACTCTATAATTACTGTTTGCTCTCTCTTTTTAAAACATTGACATTCGTAATTTCTTTGTTCTTTTAATTTATATTTTACCAAATGGTACTTACAAAGTAATAAAGGCCACCCTAGAGTAAAATTAAAAAATATAACTTAAATTGTCAAAACTAATAATATTTTGCATTAAAACGCACATTATTTTATTGATAAAAATAGGCACGATACATCTTAAAAATTATATGCCCTCTAAATATTTTACGGTTTTAAGAAAAATTATTGCTTGGGAAAAAATTCAACAAAACTTAAAACCCACAAAATTTTATAAAATCTTTTAAAAATCATTTAGTTTTAATCATTTTTTAATAACTTATTATATTTTAGAAAAATATTTATGAAAAAATATTATATAAATGTTTAGATAAGTAATGGATGCCATCTTAAAAAACTCATTATGGCGACCTGAAAAAAAAATTCCCTAAAGTTTTATTTTTCCTTGCTTAGTCAATATTAATAGTATTTATTACCACTAATAACCCTAAAAAATACCAGGCGAATAGGAATTAATTACGGTCATAAAGTAGTCGTAAAATTTACCATTACGTAAAAATTCTGACGTTAAAATAAAACTTTTTAAAAAGTTTTACTTCAAAGTAAATCTTTAGTTAATTTAACAAAATATTTACTTAAATTAAGTAATATTGCCTCAAAGCGCTTTTACTTAAAATGCTGCTTGTGGTGATATTTTTTATTTAGAGAATTATAAATTTGTGTTTAGCAAAAAAATAGCAAATATTATAAATTAACTAAATAAAAATATCAGTTTGCCACAAAAAGGTTGAATTAAAATTTTAAAAAATATATTGATAAAGTACTTTTGTTTATTTTTCTCCTCCTCTTCTATCTTCAGTTTTTCGGAGGCATACCCTTGCTGTCTGAACTGCTCCATCATCAAATCCAATCTATGATCTTCATCTAGCAGTTCTTTTTTGATGAGCTCTTTCTCGGCCAGCTGCGCGTTTCTGACGAAGTGGCATTTCCTGGCTAAAATAAGCCGGTTCGCTTCTTTTACTCTCTGATCCTCCTCGATCATCATTTCGTAAGATCTTCGCAACAGCCCTTCGTTCTTCATTTTTGCCTCAGATTCGGCGGTATCCAACGGGCTACCTCTAACCGCTTCCTGTCTGACGAAACTTTTAAATAACTGCTCCTTTCTTTGGGTGCTTTCGATTTGCGTTTGGATTTTTTTCTGCTCAGCCTCCTCGATCAAGGCCATGCGATCTTTTAACGTTACAACCTGAATAAAAAGAGTCGACTCTTTTTTATTAGTTTTATTTTTTATTCAGAAAATATTTTTATGTGTTAACCCTAGAGTAATTAGATAAAAAATATCACAGGAATTTTTATTTTAGTTAAGTAATTAAAAATATTTATTTCTTATACATAAGGGTGAATCTCACGATGGTGTTACCCCGTGATATTTAATAAAACTAAATGAGTTTGACCTACACTTTTATTGTGTTTTAATCTTTCATAATTAAGTAGATATTACAGCTCAGGTTCCACATTTTTAACCGCAATTAATTATTTTTTACAATGTTTTAAAAGTCTAAAATCTATCCTCCGTGACTTTTACTCTTTCTAGGTTAACCTATGTTTTCAAATATCTGAGGAAGTAAAAGCATACTAAAAATATCAGTTCACGAAGTAAATTATAATTTGTTTGTAAATTATAATTTGTTTATAAACACATCCAAAGCAATCGAATCAAATATAAAATATTATTAAAAATTAAAAGAAATAATTTTTATAACCATTTATGTGGGTGTTACAAAAATTGATTCTATCCTCCGTGAATCTGTTTTTGCTTTAAAAAGTTTAAGTTCATTAATTTGCTATTTAAAAACCTAACCTACCTAGTGTAATATCTCAGTAAGTAGATTTTTTTTATAAATATTTTATGTATGTACAATTGTATTTTTTTTAAATATTAGGGTGTCAAAAGATACAATAACTTATTTCATATATACAAAGGGATGTTTAAAAAAACATACGAATCCTAACCTCCGTGAAGCTATCTTCCGTGAAGCTCTAACATTCAAAATGTATGATTTCTTAAAATTCTTGCATTAGTGCAGAACCACTTATGTTATGTTATTACTACCTGGTGGCTTCCCAAAAACCCCACTCTAGACTAACAGTGAAACAAACAAAAATAAAAAATAATCATTTTCACTTGGGGGACATCTCAATATATTCACCCATATGTATATGTATTTTTTTGCTAAACACATATTTTTACATCTATAAATTAAAAATATCATAGGAAAATTTTTTAAATGTATTAAAAATATCATAGGAGATATTATAAATTCGATGTAGTTTTTATTTTTTATTAATGCAGATATTTTTAATTGAATGTGAAATTTGGACTCACGTACGTCGTAGATCCTAATGATTGTGCCGCCATCTAGCGACAGAATTAGTTTGGAATACCAGGGGTGTCCAAACTTTCAATTTTGATTTAAAAATATTACATTCAAATAAAAATATACTATGATATATTTAAATCACACTTAAAGATTAACACATAAGAATAAAAAATAAAACGTCGCCCTATAAAGGGCAAACAAAATACCTAAAATAAAAATATAACCTATTTCTTACATGGGCTTGATTTGTAAGTCTTCGGAATTCTGTTTTGGGCCATATGCCTGCAATATTTTTTCCTGGCATTCTATCTGGCACAATTAGTATTCTTTCGCCTTTATCCGAATAAACTTTGACGAGTTCCTTGTCCTCCAAGGCATTTTGAATCTTCTGATGTATGAATTTATGGTTTAATTCGTGCGGACAATCCTTAATGCTGCGAAAACAATTTTGGTACTTAATATTTAAAATATTTACTTACATGCATGAATAATATACTCATGGTCGCCTGTCAGCTTTTTCAGTTCCTTAGTTTTGGGTTTAAATTTCCCACTGCTAGCCATTTCCAATGTAAAAAAATTAGTAGAGCAAGATTTCTTGTAAATTTCGCATCGATCAAGCGTCGCCGTAGAAACCGCGCGAAATTTCAAATTGTGACGTTGCAGATGGCGCTCTGTAATTTTTGACATTTTGCAATAACAATAAATGACAGAAAACGTGAAACGTCAATTTCTAATGTCAATAAAATAATAATAATGTAATTAATGAATGATTTTCAATTCGTATTCATAATAACAATAATTTATTCAGCGTAACCAGTATTGTTTACATTTTTTTAGCCTCTTCATGTATTAATAAAATAGGTAAGTGTTAATTTTACTATGAAAAACAAATAGTACTTATTATTAATTATCATTTGAATCAATCACAATAGAAAAAACTATTTACGTAAACGAAACTACATGAACGACGCTTCTCAAACGATAAATCATTTTATGCACTTAACCTTATAATCAATGATTTGCATTATAGAAAGATTTAATGTTTTTTTGTCAAACGTGCTTAATTACTGCTTTTACGTTTTAAATGACGAATTGGTCGCTAAATATGTTTGCAAGACTTTATATTCACTATACTTAACCAAAAACAAGTGGGTATTTACCAAATCTAATCTATGGGCTTTTACAATTTAAATTAAGTTTACTGGTATTATATAATAAAGCACATGAGCTTTTTATTTTAGGATTTTGAATCAATAATGTTATATTGTACAGGTTTTTTTTAGGAAAATGGTGCAACGATCTTCTTGTGTCCATTTCGGAGCATCCACAGACATTCCAATAACAAAATATTTAAATTCCTTGGAGGTAAGTCTCAAAACACACCAATGTATTTCAAAATTACAGTTTTGTTTTTTTTATATGGGATTTAACGTCAACAATTTGATGAACATTTAAATAAAAATGTAAAATTAACCAAAGTATATTTATATACAATACAAACATAATCAAATGTGTCAAATTTCAAATAAAATAAAAATTTAGTTGATATTAAAAATGTTACCATGATTTTTCTCCTAATAATTTATTATTTTGGTATTTCGTAAATTCTTTCAAATGAAAATTAAATATTGATTTTACCTTTCAAAATAATATATTTATTTGAATGGAGCAAATTAAAAAATATTTAGGTAATAAACTTCTTGGATTGAGCAAAATTTTTGACATTTGAATAAAAATAATTAAGGTTATAATTAAGGTTATAAGGTTATATATCTATCTGTCAGTTTCACTCTTATTTTCTGAAAATAATAAAATACAGGGTGTTATACAAGATTTTATATTAATTTTAAAAATTGTAATAATTTAGCAGTATAGGTATTTCACAATTGCACAAAATCTAATTTTTTTAGAAGACACAGTGTGCAGATTGTGACTATAAAGGACCAAATTTATGGATTTGTTTGCATAAAAACTGTTTAAAAATCGGATGTTCTGAACAAACCAATGACCATAGTACCAAACACAACACTGTAAGTAAATTTATGATGTTTTTTTTTTTTGGTTAACCTTTTGACATTTTGGCATATTTAATTGATGTTTGAACAAAATTCATTCAGTTACAGTATGTACAAGATAGTCTAATGTAAAGTAATTAAATGGAAAATACTGTTTTAGAACCAACCATCTCATTCAATTCATATGAACTTGTCCACAAATCGAATATGGTGCTACAATTGCCAATCGGAAGTGTTTGCAGAGACGGCTTTTAATTCCGGAATGGAAAGCGATGCAGAAGCAGAAACTACAGCAACCACAAAATCCAAAGATTCCGGGCATGGAAGTTATAGCACTCTGAGAACGGACACCCCTGACAGGAACAGCGTTTTTGTCTTTGAGCGCAGTGTGGGTCTTAGCGTTGGTAAGTTTTTAAAATATTATTATTCTCTTTTGAAATTTATCCAAATTTCTATAAAATTATTTGATTTTTAGATTATATTGTCGAATAATTTGAAGATCACACCTAAAAAACTATCTAAGTCACAATATTAACATTTCAGGAAAATAATATTAATAAAAAAAAAATTTATAAGGTTTTTCAATCAAATAAAATATATTGTTTTAGAGTAAATAATATTTACGAAATAAAATATATGAAAAAAGTGCTGAGAAAAATTTAACTTGTTTTTAGGTTAAATGTTTAAAAAAAATTTTGTTTTAATGCCATTTAGGTATAAGTTGAATGTTTTCAATAAAATAAAATATCCTGTCTTAAAGCAAATATAAAGAATGAAATAAAAAGTGTCAAGTCACAACAGCAACATTGAAAAATGTAAACAACATATTTTTTCTAAATTTATTTACAAATAATTGCAATTTAGGTTTAGTTGTCAAATAAAAACCCTAAATTGGCCACCATGGAGCCAACACTGAATAAAACAAACTAAACTTGAGAAAAATATTTTATTATGGTATGGTATAAGCTGGTTTTCTAATGCTTTTGGGATGTTTCAATCCCAGGCCATTTCATTATCAGCAGCATGCTGCAGTTTAAGTTTCTGTTATGGACTGTCCCTAAAGATCATTAGCTTCCTTGTCTTGGCACATTTTCTGCACAATGCAAAAAGAAATATTTAATTTTGTTTTTCAAACTTTATTTTAATTTCTTACACTGCAGTACTTAAGTTTTTGTTACAGTCATATGCATATCCTGGTTTTGTTCTATTTCTTGTACACTGTAATCCAATTTTCTTCTTATAGCAAATATCTTCAAAGTAAATGGAACAAATACCAGCTACAAAACAAACAAAAATATTACCCTAAATTATTTTTTATTTATATATCTGTCACAGATAATCTGTGTTTACAATAGGAAAGTACCTCCAAACAAACTACTCTATTTAATTGTTTTTAAAATAAATCAAACATCAATTTTTCAAGGTCATACTAAGGAAATGTATTTTTGTTTGTTTTTTATAATGGACAAAGAGTTTTTTGAGGTACAGTTGTATTCAATAAAAAAGCGTACAAGAATTAGAATGAGAGAAAACTGTCAAAATAATATTATTGCTTAAAACCGGCTTATCACTGACATAAGTCATTAAAATAATTACTATAGGTTATAAAGAGCATTGACGTCGTTGGTTAATTAAATAATATTACAAAAATTATTACCTTTTAATAATGAAAAAAACAAACATTAAAAAAAATTTAATATTTAGTCATGCATCCCTGTTTTTCTATTACTTGAGCCAATCTATTTGGGATGAACTGAATTAAATTTAATACAATATTTGGATTAATATCTTCCCAGCAGTATAGTAGGTATAGTATAGTTGCATAGTTTCCCATAAATCCTCAGATATCCCAAAAAAGCAGCATCCTGTTCAGGGGTGGACATTTTGGGACGACCTGAACCAACTTTTTGGTTTAGTAAATCTTCCTGTTCCCAGCGTTGCTTAATTTTTAATATAGATTTTTTATTTCTATTATACCACAGTACGAATTGACCATTCTTCTTCGATTCTTGATACTATTTGAGCCTTTTTTACTGACGAGGCATTTTTATTTTCTCCTGTCAGTTATAGTGACTTAAGTCAGTGGAAAGCCGGTTTTACGCAATAATGTTGACAGTTTTCTCTCTTTCTAATTCTTGTACGCTTTTTTAATTAATACATCTGTACGAGTAGATAAAAAAAATTAAACTGCGGTTTCACCGGAAAACCGTTTCAGGCATGAATGGCGACGGTTCGGAATCCAGCGACGAAGACGATGCGGCTTACGCGAGCGTCGAAAGGCCTTACGGCCTCGTCGGCTTGCAGAACATCGGCAACACGTGTTACATGAACGCGGCGTTGCAAGCTCTCAGCAACACCGAGCCTCTGACGAAATTTTTCCTCGATTGCAACGCGGCCGTTCACGTGCTCTCCGAGGGCAGAAAGCCGGGCCTCAGCCGCACCTATCAGGCCCTGATGAAGGATGTCTGGGTCAAAAAGAACGGCGGATACGTCGTGCCGTCCGGTGAGAAAATAAAGCTCGATTTATAGATTGCCTTCCTCCCGTAGAACATGAACTATGCTCCACACCTCAAAGTCCCACCACGTGACCACGTACGGAACGCAGTCTTTTGAAAATTTGGCATTTAAGGCTTTTCAGGTTATGTATTAGGGTAATTCATTTCCGCAAAGTTTTTGTTTAAAATGCATGTAAAAAATATATATTTTTTCAAATTTATAATGCTTACCCACCTTTGACAATAGGCGCATTTTATTGAAAGTGGAATGGAATAAAAACAGAATGATTCCCGTTTGCAAATTCATTCTGAGCCCTGTCACTTTGCCAAAGGTGGGGGAATTTATGAACCTAATAACCAATTGTGTGGATTGTGACCTCAATTTTCTTTTTAAAGTTTAAAAATATGGATAACGCACAGTTATTACTTGCTGGGTTTATTATAAACCATAATAGTTTTTAAAATTGGCGGTTGTTAAATGCATTTTTTCAGGGGAATATCCCCCCACTCTGCCTCATTCTGAAGATTCCAAACAAAAGTAAGGAATCATCGGAATGACATTAATGACAGAAGAATCATTCTGTGACTCAAAAAAACAACCATTCATTTAAGGGAGAATAGGGAGAATGGGCAATAAAATGCAGCTATTATTGCAAATCGGTTTAATACACCATATGCGGAATTTCACGCTCTTTAAAATTGCTTTTGAGTTTTTTTTGTAACTCGCATTGGTTCACCAGTAGGAGTCGTCAAAGGACAGTTTTTGAAAAAAATCGTTTTTTTTTAATTTTTTCTAACAAACCGCAAAAAGTAGGGAGAAAAAAGGGCTGAATCATAAAAAAAAAGTTATCCAACCAATATTTAATGAATTTACAGCCATTTTTATAACTGAAAACGTAAGAAATTGATAACTATCAACCCATAATGTTATTTAGATTGATTTTTTCTATTTATTATCATTATACTTTCCTACACTAAGAAGTTTTTTAAAATTATTGATTTCTCACTTATAATACAGATAAATTCATAAAAAAACAATAAGAAAATTGTAACGTGGATTTTGCAATTTTTCAACATTTCTGTCATATAGCAAAAAAATATAAATGAAGATTATTTAATTTTTTGAAGCGAAATTTGAAATATGTTACATAACCTTCTGTATATTCCGATTAAAGTTTTGTTGTTTTTTTTATGAATTTATGTGTTGTTTTTATATTCATTATGAGTGAGAAATCATAATAATTTTAAAAAAGTTCCTAGTGTAGGGAAATATAATGATAATAAATAGAAAAAATCAATCTAAATAACATTATGGGTTGGTATTTATCAATTTCTTACGTTTTCAGTTATATTCATTAAATATTGGTTGGATAACTTTTTTTTTATGAATCAGCCCTTTTTTCTCACTACTTTTGGCGATTTGCTCGAAAAAATAAAAAAAAAACGATTTTTTTCAAAAACTGTCCTTTGACGACTCCTACTGGTGAACCAATGCGAGTTACAAAAAAACTCAAAAGCAATTTTAAAGAGCGTGAAATTTCCCATAAGGTGTATTAAACCGATTTGCAATATTGTCAAAGGTGGGTAAGCCTTAGAAATTTGAAAAAAAATATATATTTTTTACATGCATTTTAAACGGTAAAACTTTAAATTTAAATAGTAAGTGCTTAAAATTAATATTAAGAACTCAAACTTGGTGAGAATGTTTTTTCCTATATGCAGATTATTATTTTGCCTGAGCACCGAAAAAAAAAACGGAAATGAATCACCCTAGTATAGATTCACGTACGGGATTGTATTGTTCATCTTCTACGGGAGGAAGGAAGGAAGGCAATCTGTAAATCAGGCTTAAACGTCATTTCGAAGTGGATTTTACGTTTTTTTCGTACGCAGGTATTCTGTACGGCATCAGGAACGTCCATCCGATGTTTCGCGGCTATCAGCAGCACGACACGCAAGAATTTTTGAGGAACTTCATGGACCAGTTGCACGAAGAGTTGAAACAGGTGGCAGCACCGGAGCCTGCCGTTGGCAACGATGGAGATACGTTTTCTTTGGCCATGGACGAGCCAGCTTTAAGGTAAGTTAAACTTCTTCTTCTTCTTCTTAAATTTTATGGCCTTTAGCTTCTTAGGAAACTATTTGGCCAGCTCACTATGTTTTGTGTTTTGGTAAAACTTGAAGGCCCCCAATTAAGTGGATCTGGATCTATCCATACCTTCAAGTGGGAATTTATTTTGGTAGTTTTAAATAGTTTGAATTAAGGTAGTTTGTCTGTATAGATTGTATGCAAAACTTGCGATCAAAGGCCTATTGCGCAAGCGTTTTTTTAGACAGTTAAAGACTCTTGCAGGAACAAACCTTAAAAGTAAAGGTACATTTTGTTTGTTTTTATTCGGAATTTGACAACGTCAAAGGGTTTAGTTGGCAAATTGAGTAAAACAAACTAATTTAGTAAAGAATATAATTTTGTCATATGTTTATACTTACATTTTGAAATGGCAAATATACGCTAAAGAAGTATCGCTAGTAGCGCCACCACTCGGCTGTTATCATCGTAACAAAAGTACAACTTTTGATAATCAACTGTCAAACGCGTGTGTTACAAACGAATGTTTTTAAGAATAAAGCCGGAAAATGTTAAAAAATATCGAAAAAAAAATCGTTGCTCGATTTGTTGTTTTCCAATAAACAGTGTTAATCCAAATGAAGAAAATTTCATACAGTCCCTGTAAATATAAATTGCATCTATTAGATACAATAAATACACATTTTAGTAGTGATTGACGTGAAAAGTGTAAACATTTCAATTCAGTAATAATCGTCAAACAAATAAGTATTCAGCATTATTAAAAGCGTTGATTAAGAATTCTTTAAAGTCTCCACTCAACGGTAAAATACTATTATATTATGTATTATATATAATAATATGTTGCCATGAATTCGTAGGTATATTTTGTTGTTTAAAATGCAGTTGTCGGCGTTTTTTAGAGAACTCAAATATAAAAATGGTTGATTTTAAGGTTATGTTTGTGCAAAAATTATTTTTTACTAATTTCTTAAAAATGTCCAAACTTAAATATAAATTATATTAGGTAAAGTTATAATTAGTTAATTCTGCACCAACAAATCTACTTACCGAATTGGACCCTTTGGCAAAACATGAAAATGCAACGATTTAGTTCTTGAATTTTATTTACAAATAAAAACACAATAATTCACCATGATCCCTTCGATAAAATGCACACACTAACGTGACTATATAAGCATTTAAGCGTTGAGTTTCTTAATCAATGATATAAAGAATAATCAATCGAAATCGAGTACTAAACCAGTTTTTTAGTTTTTTCTTTGCAACGTGTACAAATAACGTGCGCGATTTAAGTAAGTAATGAAGGACAAAAGATCATTTTTATTGTTATGAACAATATATAAACAATACAAATTATATTTTTCCTTCCCTACTTAAATTGGATATACTGCATTTTAGCGTTGTAGGGCTCCATCTTATTTCCACCACTTACCTCTATTTTGATTTTTTTTTCTACACAACGTTGAATTGAGGTTAGGTATCTAACTTTTCAAATAGTGAAACAAGATAACAGATACAAAATGAAGTGGCGGAAATAAGAGAGAAAGCACTACCCCTCATGTCTGGGAAGAGTATACATTCTCCTATTTTTTATATTATGGTTCCAGTTATGATTCCAGTGAGGGAGAGTATGAGACTTGCGACTCGGGGGTTAGCGAAAGATCCAGTCTGAGTGACGATACAGAAAGGCCGGCTGCAAGTGCTAAAAGAAGATTGAGCAGGTGCGGGAGCCCCAATAGAAGACAGAGACCTCGGGTGCAAAGCTGCAGCGTTATCGGTAAGAAAACACAACATTTAATTACACAAGTCTTAATATTTATTAAAAATGTCCATTTAAAATCACTTTAGCTCGGTACAGCCTCTTTGCCGGCAAACTTAATTTCGTCGAAGGCTTTGCGAGCCCTCTTCAGCTCCTCGTTCATTGTTAATAAATCCTTAACTCTGGAGTATTTTCTGGCGTCCTTTCTCACCAAAAACACGATATCCTCCACTTGCACCCTGCCCGTTCTGCCAATCTCCATCGATTTGTGCGTCATTTCGGTTATGAACTCGATGACCAGGTCCTCGATGATGTCCACGCTCTCGGTGTAGGGGTTCTGGTCGTCTCCGAACCCGAACATCATGCATCGCAGCTCCTTGCTGAACAAGCGTTTCCTTCCGCCCGCGCTGCTAAACGCGAGAGTGGTTTCAGCGTTGTCTTCTTCGTCGAACGTCTCGAAGTTTTCCTCTGCCGCCATGGTTTTGTTTGTTCGCCTTGTTTTGTAACGTAAATCGAAACTAATTCGTTAAAAGGTGCAGTGTAAACACAGGATTTGTGACAAAACAATATTTTGACAGTATAAAGTTGGGTTATTCTTCTTCTTCTTCTTCAACTGTCATGTGATATTGGCGGAAAATTTAAATGATTTTTTTTTAATTAATATAACTTATTTGGGTGATAGTTTTTTAATTAATTTATTATTTTCACCCAAAAAAAAACGGTTTTTAGTAACTTTTGTAAGGTTTAACTAGAATAAATGGATTTTTTTAAATGGGCCCTTAGAAAAGAAATAAAATGGTCCCCTGGGTCACAAGTTTTGCAAAAAAATATATTTTTAAAATGATTAAGCATTTTTATATAAATTTTTTTAATATGTTATTAAGTTGTGACTTACAACTTAATAACATTAAAAAAACTTATATAAAATTGCTCAATCATTTTGAAAATATATTTTTTGCTTGTTAATAATCCTTTTAAGGTTTTATTTTCACTAGGATTTGATAAAAAAAGAACATAAATTTATTCAAAACTAAGTAAAAGCAAAAACTATGTTGTATTTCTCAAATTTGTTTTAATATATTTTCTGTATTTAAAAAATGTCCATTAAGGAATTTGAAAATAACCCATATAGAATGTTTTGCAGAAAAACAATATATAAGTAAAATTTACTACAACTTTTCATATATATATTTTAAAATATAAGTTTTACATACTTATATTAAAAGATAAGATATACACTTTTTTTTCAAAAGCCGCTACAATATCAACTCATTTTAATCTTGATATAATATTGCGTCACGTGTATATTTCATTTTAAATTTTATATGGCTTGTACAGACTTTATTGCGTCCTGCAGTGTTGCCAAATTGTAATGGCCCAATATTGTATTAAGGATGTATATATATATATATATATATATATATATATTGGAAATAGTCTAAGCGATCATGAAATACAAGTTTTGCAAATTAAAACTTGCTTAAACACTTTTTACAAAAAAACACATTTTACACAAAAAAAATTGTTGACATTGAGTCAATAAAAAATGATTTATTGCAATTCAATGAAAGCTACAGACAGACTGATGATATAGATTATAACTACAATAAGTTAAAAATGTGTTTTACAAATAACACAACAAAAAAAGAATTAAAAAACAAATATCGAGCAAATACGAAACCATGGTTCAATAACGGAGTTCTAAATGCAATTAATCTAAGAGAATTTTATTTTGAACGCTTAAAGAAGTATCCTGAAAACTCATTTTTGGAAAAATGGCATAAAAATGCGGAAAAAATGGTAAAATCTGAAATTCGAAAGGCAAAAACATCCTATTATGAAGAAAAGTTTACAAACAGTGAAAAAACACAAAAAAACCTGGAAGACAATAAATGCGATAATAAGGAACTGTAAGGACGTACTACCATACCCGCCCTAAAAACTGGAAACATAGTGACAACAGACAAAAAACAAATATGTGATGATCTAAACAAATTTTTTGTTGAGGTTGGTAAAAATATAGCTGCCAATACTCCAGATGAACCACTTCAACTCCACATAGAGTCAAAATCTCAAAATAAATTTGAATTTAATAGAACAACACCAGAGGAGATAGAAAATATATTAGATAAACTTGACAGTTCTAAGGCAGCTGGCCACGACGAAATAGACGCAAAGACAGTTAAATTGTGTAAACTAGAATTAAGGTGTATTTTGTGTAAATTGGTAAATCAATCGTTGAGTGAGGGTAGAGTTCCAAAAGAAATTAAAATTGCTCGTGTGTCTCCACTTTTTAAATCTGGCGATAAAGAATCTGCTAACAATTACAGACCTATTTCTATAATATGTGTTTTTGCTAACGCATTGTTAATAACAAGCTAAAGAATTATTTGGAGTCTTCACTTTTTATCTTCGTGCCAGTATAGGTTTAAAATGTGCAGTGGTATTGGCGTAACTAGCCATCTGGCCCAGGGGGGGGGGCTAGGGTGGGCCTGTTTTAGTGACTAGGAATTTTTAAAAAAGTAAATCAAAAGTTGTCTCCAAAAGGCACAAATACCAATTTTTTTGATCAAACACTTCTAATATGTTTAATAAAATAACAAGGTAATTTTTAATATACCTAAGAATAAAAAAAACTGTAAATAATATATAAAATAAAAACCTTAAGTTGGTATTGGAAAAACGACAAAAAAGTACCGCATGCATTTTATAAAATAAGCATTAAATCAACTTTAATTTCCTATTTGGTTGTGAAAATAATTCCAGAATCCGATCAGCTGTAACATGTTCTTTAACTAAATCTTTTTCGATGTTTATAATGGAAACATTTGCGAATCGAATTGAGTCATTGTAGTTTTGGTCCAATTTTTAATCCGACGCATGGCAGAGAAGCTGCGCTTACAACCAGCGGAACTTATCGGCAAGGAAATAGCAACTTGAATTAATTTGTAGGTAGTGGTTTGGACAAAAGTCTTTTTTAATATGCGTTTTTATTGATTCTAAATTAGTTTCCAGATTTTTTAGAGTAAGCATATATTATACCACCAATATCTCGGTTTCAAGCATACTCACATTAACACCGACAATAGAGGAAATTCCTCTGAGGAATACTTTTTAATAAAATCTCGGCTTTTATTAAAATCTAACTGAAATAATGCATCTGCTGCTTGCGCCAATGGTAAATTTGAAAATCTGCATCCATAATTAGTTGGTTAGTTTACAAACTAGCTAAAGCTTGGCTATTTTGTGTTACTAGAAATTTTGGTTTTCATATTAACCAAACTGAATTGGATAGTATACAAACTATCCAGCTATTTTAGTTTCCCTAATAATTTCAAGTATTAGCCAAGATCCTTGGTTATTTTGTAAACTAGCCGCTAATTTAGTTGTAAATATGTTTTCAATTAAAATAGCTGACAGTTTCGCTAGTTTATAAACTATCCAAGTTTGCACATTAGCCGTAACATATACAGGGTGAGTTTTAAGTTGACGCGTTCCTTTTAATAATAATAATTTATTGCCCAACAGAATACAATATTCCAATTACAGGACAAAATATGTATTTATAACAACATTAGTAATATTTAATATGCCTAAGCTTAACAATAAGGAAAAAATAAAGAAAATTAAACAATATTATAACAATAGAAAATATATATATATATATATATATATATATACCCGTATACACATATAAACAAATACATACATACATATATCATTGTTCACGTACACTTGAAACTATTTCCCTAATGCTTGAATTAAACAAATCACAGTTACCACATATAGAATTAAAGTTATTGCACATTACTTGTACTGGAGATTTCAAATGCACGTTTGTTCTCGAAAAACTACAATAAAATAGTTTCATATTTCGAGCTCCTAAGCGGGGTATTAAAATATTAAAAAAACCTAAAATGTGACTAGAGTCAATCTGATTATTAAAAAGTTTCCACAAAAATTTTAAACTTGTTTGTCAAATATGACATTTTGCATTGTTTATTTTGGTATTTTTATGGTTATGTTTTTCGTTAACAATACCCAGGACCGGCTTAAAATTTAATTAAACTTTGATGGGCTATAACTTTTTTATTTTTGAGTTTTGATAAAAAAGTTACTTAAAATATTTATTTGTATATCTGATTTCTACACGCTGTTCAAAGGAACGCGTCAACTTAAAACTCACCCTGTATTATTGTCAATTTGACAGTGTACCTATCTCAACTAATATTTATTTAAAAAAAACTTATATTTTATTCAGTTAATTTGGTTCTATAAATTTTTCCATCAAAATAGTTAATACTGTAGTTTTTGTTTCATAATTTCCCTGGTTTAAAAAAACTCTTTTAACTTTTATTGATGGTAAAATTGAAACCTCCTATGTCGTTTAAAGACTCTCAACCGAGCGCCGCCTCGTCGCAAACCTGCGTGCCGACGCAGAAGAAGCAGGCGAAACACCGCTCGATCATATCGGACATCTTCGACGGCAAGCTGCTCTCTTCGGTGCAGTGCCTGACGTGCAACCGCGTCTCTAGCCGCGTCGAGACGTTCCAGGACCTGTCGCTGCCGATCCCGTCGCGCGACCACCTGGCCGTGCTGCACGGGCGCTCTGCGCCGGGCGCCGCGTGCGCCGACGCGCTGGCGCCCGTGCAGGACGGCTGGCTGGCGTGGATGCTGACGTGGCTCAAGTCGTGGTTCTACGGGCCGACGGTGACGCTGCACGACTGCCTCGCCGCCTTCTTCAGCACCGACGAGCTGAAAGGCGACAACATGTACAGCTGCGAGAAGTGCAACAAGCTGCGCAACGGCGTCAAGTTCAGTAAGGTGAGTGAAACTTTTAGCCACGCCCACGATATTGGGGTATCCTCTTTTTTGCATAATCGCAAGCAATATCTTGTTATTAAGCACCAAGAAAATAATGTTATGTCTGATGTCACGGCAAGTTACTTGGACATTGAGATGGGGGTGCCTCAAGGCTCAGTTCTCGGTCCCAGGCTTTTTATTTTATACGTTAATAATCTTGAAAAATACTTGAATAATAATTTTACTATGTATGCTGATGATTTGTCACTTCTAGTCTCAAATAAATATAATAAAAGTTTATTAGAGGATTGTAATAACGTCCTAATAAAAGTATCCGATTTTTTTAACAAACATAAACTTTATTTTAACACAAAAAACTACATTGGTGCAATTTCACAAACAGACATTGATAAAGATGTTATTGTGTCCACTGATGTGTAAAATTCTTGGGTTTATGCATAGACAAAAACTTAAATTTTAAACTTCACTGTCAAAGTATCATTGGCAACTTGCATAGAAAGGCCTATTTATTTATCAATCTTAGAAAGGTACTCACTATTTCTCAACTAATAAATTTATATTATGCCCATATTGAATCCAGACTAAGATACTGCATTTTTTCCTGAGGAAGCTCATCCCTTTTTAAAAACGTTTTTATTTCACAAAATTTTTTTTTAAGAATTATAGCCGGTTTTAAAAATCAGGAGTCATGTAGACCAGTTTTCAATAATTTTAATATTTTGACTTTGTCTGAGTTGTCTGTTTTTGTTTATAAAAATAAATCAAAATTTTATCTAGTCAGCAATGTACAGTTGTATTCATTAAAAAAGCGTACAAGAATTAGAATGAGAGAAAACTGTCAACATTATTGCGTAAAACCGGCTTTCCACTGACTTAAGTCACTATAACTGACAGTAGAAAATTAAAATGCCTCGTCAGTTAAAAAGGCTCAAATAGTATCAAGAATGGTCAATTCGTACTGTGGTATAATAGAAATAAAAAATCTATATTAAAATTAAGCAACGCTGGGAACAGGAAGATTTACTAAACCAAAAAGTTGGTTCAGGTCGTCCCAAAATGTCCACCCCTGAACAAGATGCTGCTTTTTTGATATATCTGAGGATTTATGGGAAACTATACAACTATACTATACCTACTATACTGCTGGGAAGATATTAATCCAAATATTGTATTAAATTTAATTCAGTTCATCCCAAATAGATTGGCTCAAGTAATAGAAAAACAGGGATGCATGACTAAATATTAAATTTTTTTAATGTTTGTTTTTTTCATTATTAAAAGGTAATAATTTTTGTAATATTATTTAATTAACCTACGACGTCAATGCTCTTTATAACCTATAATAATTATTTTAATGACTTATGTCAGTGATAAGCCGGTTTTAAGCAATAATATTATTTTGACAGTTTTCTCTCATTCTAATTCTTGTACGCTTTTTTATTGAATACAACTGTACATAATTTTAATACAAGAAATATCAAAAAATTTTATGTTCCCTCAACAAAACGGGAGATAAAATTTAACTCGCCAGAGTACCTATAGGTTTAAAAACATTTAATAAATTGCCAAATTCTATAAAAAAATCTAAAAACATACATATTTTTAAAAATAAATTAAAGCAGTACTTATTATCTCTGTGTTTATATGACTTATCTGAATTTTTAAACCAGTAATCTGAATTACATATATATTTTTTTTTTTAGTTGTACCTATGTATTTTATATGTACTTTATTTTATTCTAGTTTAGCCCTAAGTTAGTTTTAAGTCTTTTATTGTGCTATTTACCGACCATTCCTATACAAATACTGTTTGTCAATTTGGGAAAATAAAGATTATTATTATTATTCATTAAATACTTTTATAAGTCCGTGGTTTTATTGTTTTTTTTTTAAATTTTATACTGATTTTAGTAAAAAAAACATTTATAAAAAATATTCAAGTATTTTCACTTTTATTTATTTTCATTTTCGCTGCTGTTCGTCAACTCTAAAATGCGTAGATGGGAACACATCGAAAGGGGAATCCCCAAACTTAAACATTTTGACAAAATAATTTTTACTACGCTTTAAAAATATCTATAATTTTGTTTTAAAATTGACTTTTACGGACGTTTTTTTTTTTAATTTTTGGTTTTAAAAATTCTTTTAGGAAAATATAAAAAAAAATTCAAACCGACCTTTAACGTTTTTTTTTAATTTTCGGAAAAAGACGAAAATGTCTTGATGTCATTTTTAATTTTTTTAGAAACTGAAATTTTTTGCAAATTTACTGAAATTCATCATTTTTAAATGTACTTTTCAGAAATATAGAAACAAATTATTCAGACCGATATTTTGTAATTTTCGGAAAAAAACGAAACTTTCCGTTTATTGTCATTTTTAATTTTTATTTTTTTTAGAAACTGACATTTTCTGAAAAATCTTTGAAATTTTTAGTGGCGTTTTTTTATTTTCAATTTTTTTTATCTGTAAAAAAATAATTTTCACTAAACTTCAAATATCTACATATAACTTTGTTTAACATTGACTTACAGGGACTTTCTTTTTAAAATGTTTGTTTTTAAAAGTACTTTTCAGAAAAATATAGAATCAAATTATTCAGCCCGATATTTTGTAATTTCCGGGAAACTGTTTTTTCTGCAAAATCTCTGAAATTCTTAGTGGCGTTTTTTCATTTTCAATTTTTTTTTCGTAAGAAAAAAAAAATTTTTACTTAACTTCAAATATCTACATATACATATGTTTGTTTTTAAAATGTACCTTTCAGAAAAATATAGAAACAAATTATTCAGACTGATATTTTGAAATTTCCGGAAAAAAACGATTTTATTATTATTTAATTTTTAGTGGCGTTTTTTCATTTTCAATTTTTTAAATTGACTTATGGGAAAGTTTTTTTCTTAAAAATTTAAAAAAATTATTTAGACCGATCTTCAACGTTTCTTTTTGTGATTTTCGAAAAAAACGAAAATTTCTCGATGATTGTCATTTTTAATTTTTGTTTCTTTTTTTTAGAAACTGACAATTTCTGCAAATTCTCTGAATTTTTTAGTGGCGTTTTAACATTTTCAATTTTTTTCATTTGAAAGACATTTTTTTAAATTGACTTTTTTGTTTTTAAATGTACTTTTCAAAAAAATATTGAACCAAATTATTTAGACCGATCTTCAACGTTATTTTTGTAATTTTCGGAAAAAAAATTTCTTGTGGATTTTTTTTTTTATTTGACTTTTTCTGCAAATTCTCTGACATTTCCAAAGTTGTTTTCTATTTTTTAACTTATTTTATTTCTCATAATACGACTCGGGGATTTTTAGGGATATAATAATCATCAAAAATATTTCAATGTTTTACGAAAAAGTAAGAAAAAAAATTAAAAACTAGTTCCAAATATTTTTTAAGGACCTTAAAAAGTTTGAAAAAAATAATAAATGAAATAATAAATAATTTTTTTTTATATATTTTTTTGAAACTAAATTTTTTCAAACTGTAGTTCTCTCTACATCCTTAAAAATCCCTAAAGTGGTATTATGAGAAATGAGGTGAGTTAAATATTTATTTTTTTTAATAAAAAAATAGAAAACGAAGAAACGCCACTCTGAAAATGTCAAAGAATTTGCAGAAAATGTCAGTTTTCGTAAAAAAAAAGAATAAAAATTAAAAATGACCAGAAATTGTCGTTTTTTTTCCGAAAATTAAAAAAAAGATTCAAGATTAAATGTTTTCTATATTTTTCTGAGGAGTACATTTAGGAGTACATTTTTCTATATTTTTCTGAGGAGTACATTTAAAAACATATATTTTAAAGAAAAAGGTCAATTTTTTTAAAAATTCATACCTTTTTTCGGTTGAGTAAAAATATTTGAAAAAGTAATAAAAAATTGTTTTGATATGGCAGAAAAAGATTTGGTATGGAATGCCATATTTTTTAATCAAATACTCAACCATCATTGGTCATAAAGTCCTTAAATTTCTCGAAAAGGATAAAACCGGACAAAATGTTCGCGTGTAAGCAATTTAAACTTTAAAAATTGTCGAATTTTTGCCAAAAAAAAATGTGACCAATATTTGATTAAAAAAATATTTACTACAAAGTTGTTGGCTCCCCGTTCAATTTGCCTTAAATAATATTTTTAAATGTTGTTATTTTATCTTGTAAAATAGTATATTAAACACTTTTTAAGGTTCTGCAACTACCGGAAGTTCTTTGCATACACCTAAAACGGTTTAGACACGAATTAATGTTCAGCAGCAAAATTTCCTCCGCCGTCAGTTTTCCCCTGAAAGGACTCGACATGCGACCCTACCTCCACACCGACTGCACCTCGAACGTATCGAACTACGAACTGTTCTCCGTCATATGCCACTACGGGACCGCAGGCGGCGGCCATTACATCTGTTTCGCCTACAACTCAGGTACCGAACAGGGTTTGTTCCACAGACCACCAAAACAAATGGACGGCGCGCATTGCCATTCGATAACAATGCTTTGTTTGCGGTCAACAAACGGTCACAGTCTAAGCGTCAAATTGGAGATAGAATTTTATGTTTTCTTCCAGTGACGTATGATATGTAAACTTTGCTTACTTACCTATGAAAGGATAGATTTGGATTTCTTTGGTTTGTTTTTTTACAAACAGTACACTGTCGCACCATTTTTAGTAAAAAATAATGTATATAAACTCAATAAAACACGATAGAAATACACAAACGAAAACCACAGATTATAAAACACAAAACAACAAGCTGTCAACCTTTTTCTATGCTGTCAATATGACGAATTTATCAACGTTGTTAATATTTAATTTTAATAATTGTTAAATGATTATTTTCTTTAAATAGAGAAAAATATATATAAGAAAATGATGAACAAATCCTTTTTACAATTTTTTTATTATTCAAACGAAATACTGGTAATTTTTAATGTTGAACGTCCAAAAAGGCGTGTAATATATACTTCTGACAACGTTGGAAGCCTTGTTTCTTTTGACGGTGTTTAGAATGTGAAAGTATGCTTTACTCGCTTTTTAAACGTAAACAAATCCGTCCATTTGTTTTGGTGGTCTGTGGTCTGTGATTTGCCTTATTGTCGCGCATTTATCGCTCTGCAGGTTATTGGTACGAATTCGACGATCAATACGTGACCAGAGTGACACCGGAAAAAATTCTCACCTGCGAAGCTTACGTGTTGTTCTACAGGAAAGCCACGTCCTCGATGGAGCCCATCAAAGCCGAAGCTATGAGCATAGCCGAAGAAATATCCGAGGAGACGCAAAGACCGGTGTATATCTCAAAGCAATGGCTAAACAGGTACGATACTTGAAAAAGGACAACTAACAAATATTAGAAATATTCCCGAACACCAAAACAAAACACAAAGTGCTTAAAGTACCTACTTTTCGCCAACGATTTTGGCATCTTCAGAAACGAAGTGTAAAGCCTGAATTATAGATTGCCTTCCTTCCTTCCTCCCGTAGTCGTGCCCGTACGATTTGTGCGTCTTGTAAAAAGTCAATTTATAGATTTCCGTGTAAAATTCCGTAACCTTGCGCGATGACACCTAAAATGGTTGACATTTGTTTTTGTTTATATTCTGCGTTTTACCCATTGTGTGTAAATTTGAAAGATAATCATTTATATATTAGTGCAGTGATCACAATTTTATTTGCCCAGGCAGCTTGTTGTATACTGCCCAACTATGGAGAAAGGCAGTAACTGCTTAACAAGAAATTTGTGGGAAATTAGCATATACTACATTTTTATAAAATACTATAACTGGCACTACGATTTAAATAAACATTTTTGACGTAATTGTCACCATTAACATTACCCGTTATTAATTTTAATTAAACTTAACAATTATAGATACTTTAAAATATTAAAATAACTTCAAAATACGATTTTGTTAATAAAATATTTTATTCTTTGATTTTTTTTATTACTATAATTGCAAAATATTGTCACAAAGTATTAAAAATTCTTACACGGGAAATGTTAATGGTGACAATTACGTAATGTTCATCTTCTACGGGAGGAAGGAAAGAAGGAAGGAAGGCAATCTATAATTCAGGCTTAAGGGTTAAACTGCCAAGTGTCACTTTTAGAGAAAATAGGCTTACCAACCGTTCCTTTGGTCTATTTTAGGTAAGATGAGTGCGCGTAAGTGGCCTCGCTTATCTCACTTTTGCTTGGCTCACTTCAAAAATGAAAGGAAAGCACCTATAAATTCTTTTGCATAGTTTGTTTCTCCTAAAATTCTCCAAAAACCTCCTGAATAAAATTAGTAATTTAACCGCGCGAGCCGTAAAATCACGACCTTTTTCAGGTTCTATTATTGCGCTGAACCCGGCCCGATAGACAACAGCGACTTTCTGTGTCGACACGGGGCCGTAGACCCGGAGCGCGGCCTTCAAATTGACCACCTGGCCGTGCAAGTGCCCGTCGAGGTGTACGAATATCTGCACTCGAAGTTCGGCGGCTGTCCGACGTTGCCGGACGTCCGGCTGTGTCCGGCGTGCGAGGCTCTCGGCAGGAAGATCGTCTACGAGACGGAGACGATGCTGAAGCTGAGCAGGGAGATGCGCAGCTGCGACGTGCCGCAGACGCACTATTTGTCGACGACGTGGTACAACCAGTGGCACACGTTTGTGCAGAGGAAAACGCTGGAGCCACCCGGGCCCATTGATAACGCCAGAATAGAGCAAAATCAAGGTAAGCAGTCAAATCTTAAAGAAATTTAAATTTTGAAGTTTCGAAAAATTTTACCCACTTTATCGTTTTCCACTCGTCAAACCCTTTCATTTGATATCCATATCAAGGAGGCAATCCACAGCCACCAATTTCCTACGCCACAAAATGGAATGAAATAAAGAATTTTTTGATATTTTATAAAAAACAGTTTGGTAATAAAAACCTTTTTCAGCAAATTTTCGGAAAAAAACCCGAAAATATCTCGTTGATTGTCATTTTAAACTTTTGTTTTATTAGAAACTTTGACATTTTCTGCAAATTTTCTGAAATTTTAAGTGGCGTTTTTTTATTTCTATTTTTTTTTCAATTGAAAAAAATATTCAGAACTATCGTTTATTTTTTTTATTACATTTTCGAAATTTTTTAAATATTTTTTGAATACCTACCTCCGTTTTTTAAACTTTGACGTTCTCTACATCCTCAAAAATTCCCAGAGTGGTATTATGAGAATTTTTTTTTCTTAAGCAGGCAGTCGCCATTGTACTCGCAAACGATAATTTTGAAAATTTTAAAATTTCGAAAATTTTAAGCCTCCTTGTCGTTTTCCACATCAAGGAGGCAATCCACAGCCACCAATTTCCTACGCCACAAAATGAAATAAAATGAAGAATTTTTTGATATTTTATAAAAAAAACAGTTTGGTAATAAAAACCTGTCTTTTTATCCTTTCTGAGCAAATTTTCGGAAAAAAAACGAAAATATCTCGTTGATTGTCATTTTAAATTTTTGTTTTCTTTTTTTTTATTAGAAACTTTGACATATTCTGCAACTTTTCTGAAATTTTAAGTGGCGTTTTTTTATTTCTATTTTTTTTCAATTAAAAAAAATATTCAGAACTATCTTTTATTTTTTTTCTTACTTTCTCGAAATCATTGAAATATTTACCTACCTCCTTTTTTAAACTTTGACTTTCTCTACATCCTCAAAAATCCCCAGAGTGGTATTATGAGAAATAGGTTAAGTATTAAAAAAATAACCATTAAAAATTGGTCAGAATAATTTTTTTCTATATTTCTCTGAAAAGTACATTTAAAAACAAAGTTTAAAAAAAAGCCTTGATAAGTCAATTTTTAAAAAGTTATATTTATTTGAAAAATTCCCTAAAAGTTATTTTTCGAACGTTTTTTTATTACGAAATAAAAGGGCTTTAAGGATATTTTCTCGAAAAACCCTAGAACACGTAAACTGAGACACAAGTTGAAGTATTTTTATACAAAATTTCATAAAGATTGGTAAAGGCGTTTTAGAGTAAGAATTTTTTTACTTATGCGTTAATTTTTTTAAATCTGAACCAATCATGGTGAATTTTCTAGTAAAAACACACCTAATTCCAGTTTAGCGTTAAAAAAATAATATACTAGTAAAAGTGGGACATGCTTTTAATTGGACTCTATTTAGGATCTAAACGAAGCCGCAAATGAATTGAATAAAAAACTTTAATTTGTTTTATTATTTAATCGACAATTTTGGCTGAAACTTTTTTATTTTTTACCCTAACAATTTTCAGAATTTGTTAAAAAATTAATTTTCAAATATCTATAAATTTTTCAAAAATTGTCTTATCAGGACGTTTTTTTTTTAATTTTTGTTTTTAAATGTAATATCAGAAATTTTTTTAATTTTCAGAAAAATAGGAAAATATCCCGATAATTGTAATTTTTAATTTTTGTTATCTTTTTTTATTAGAAACTTTGACATTTTCTGCAAATTCTTTGAAATTTTCAGTGGCGTTTTTTCGATTTCTATTTTTTTTGTAATTATTTCTCTACGTCCTCAAAAATTTCCAGAGAAGTTTTTAATAAAAAATAAAAAATTACAATCGAAAAATTTGTTTATTCCGAAAATTAAAAAAATAACCCTTAAAAATTGGTCTGAATAATTTGTTTCTATATTTCTCTGAAAAGTACATTTACAAACCAAATTTAAAAAAAGTCTTAATAAGTCAATTTTTAAAAAGTTATATTTATTTGAAAAATTCCCCAAATTTTATTTTTCGAACGTTGTTTTACATTATTAAATAAAAGGGCTTTAAAAATATTTTTTCGAAAAACACGTAAACTTTGACATTTTCTGCAAATTCTCTGAAATTTTCAGTGGCGTTTTTTCGATTTCAATTTTTTTGGAATTTTTTTTAAACGTCATTTAAAAATTATTTTATTTTTTTTCCAATAATACAATATTACATTATGTTGGACAAAACTATCTTCTATTTTTTTTCTTACTTTTTCGAAAAACATTGAAATATTTTTGATGATTACCACTTATTATTTTTTTTTCAATCTTTGAGGTTCTCTACATCCTCAAAAATTTCCAGAGCATTTGCAAAAAGTTTCTAATAAAAAAATAAAAAATGACAATCATTGAAAAAAAATTTCCGAAAATTAAAAAACTGAGATATCAGTATTTTTATACAAAATTTCATAAAGATTGGTAAAGGCGTTTTTTTTAAATCTGAACCAATCAAGGTGAATTTTCTAGTAAAAACACACCTAATTCCAGTTTAGCGTTAAAAAAATAATATACTAGTAAAAGTGGGACATGCTTTTAATTGGACTCTATTTAGGATCTAAACGAAGCCGCAAATGAATTGAATAAAAAACTTTAATTTGTTTTATTATTTAATCGACAATTTTGGCTGAAACTTTTTTATTTTTTACCCTAACATTTTTCAGAATTTGTTTTCAGTTGTTTTAAATTTTTGTTTTTAAATGTAACATCAGAAATTTTTTTAATTTTCAGAAAAATACGAAAATATCACGATAATTGTAATTTTTAGTTTTTGTTTTCTTTTTTTATTAGAAACTGACATTTTCTGCAAATTCTCTGAAATTTTCGGTGGCGTTTTTTCGATTTCTATTTTTTTGTAATTTTTTTTAAACGTCCTTTAAAAATTTTTCAGAACAATCTTCTATTTTTTTTCAATTTTTGAGGTTCTCTACATCCTCAAAAATTTCCAGTGAATTTGCAAAAAGTTTCTAATAAAAAAATAAAAAATGACAATCATTGAAAAATTTGTTTTTTCCGAAAATTAAAAAAATAACCATTAAAAATTGGTAAGAATAATTTTTTCTATATTTCTGTGAAAAACACATTTAAAAACAAAATTAAAAAGTCAATTTTTAAAAAGATTAATTTATTTAAAAAATTCCCTAAAAGTTATTTTTCGAACGTTCTTTTTATTATTAAATGTTTTCTCGAAAAAAACGTAAAGGTTTAGAGTTAATTTTTTTAAAATTATTATGTGTTAGTTTTGAAGCGCCGTGTATATTTTTTTAAATCTGAACCAAACATGGTGAATTTTCTAGTAAAAGCACACCCAATTCCACTTTGGCGTTAAAAATAAATAAATGAGTAAAAGTGGGACATGCAGGGTTCCCAGCATTGTTTTGTACTTTTTTTTTATGATTTTATGACAAATTTTTCAAATTTTATGACATTTTTTATGACAAGAATTTATTATTTCTAAAGTTATTTAATAAAATAAATGTAATTTTTTAACGGTTTATTATATAAAAATAAATATTTTTTCTCGCATCAAAATAAATATTTCTGCTATAATATTTTTAATATATGTTACTTTAGTATTTTATTATAATAGGTATTATAATCTCAAAATAAATAAAACCAAAAAGGTATACAAATCTGAAATATTGGAGGCTCAAACAATGATTAACATGGGTCTCAAAAAAGCAAAAAAAAATAGTATATATACCTATGGTACTATTTTTTTTTGCTTTTTTAGACCCATGTTAATCATTGTTTGAGCCTCCAATATTACAGATTTTTTAAGAGTAGTTATGTAGTTATTGTTAAGGTACTTCGATAATTTCTTATTTCCTTCAGAAATAATATTTCTTGTTATTTTTAACTCTGCTTCCTTACTTGCCAAAATAGTATCAATTTCTTCAAGTCCTTCTTTGTGCCTTCCTTAGTAAAGTAATATAGCATTGAATTTACTCAATGAATATAGTATAAAAATAAATTTACCTTTCTCATTATTTATTTCAAATTTAAAATTCATTTCCTAACCTAACTTCTTTTTCCTTCATAGTATGAAGTCCATACCGTATGGACCATACGTCAACAACCAAGGCCATATTTAAAACATTTTATTGCGTTTTATTCTACAGGACCGGCTTTAAATTTTATTTTACAAAATTTCCATTTTATAAAAAAGATCAAAGGTGAGAAAATTGTTAAAAAATAATGAAATTTTATGATTTCTATGACAAAATGTGAATTTTATGACATTTTAGGACAATTTAACCAATTTTATGATATTTAAAAATTTTATGACAAACGGGAACCCTGGACATGCTTTTAATTGGTCTCTATTCAAGATCTAAACGAGGCCGCAGAAGTGACCGAGGACATCTGGTCGTTCTTCCACGGCATCTACGGCGGCGGGCCCGAGATCCGCATACATGCCAACTGCGACTGCGAGTCCGAATGGCGCCGTTACCAATCGAATCGTCGAAGCGACAAACCCGACGACTCGGACGACCGTCGGCTGCACTCGCACGGCGAGCCGATGGAGACCGAGGGCGCTTCGGCCGCGGCGACGGAGGAGGGGGAGGGAGAGGACGAGGAGGGGGGAAGAGCGCCCGCCGCGATCGAGAAGTCGGTCGAGAACGGTCACGCGATCGGCGTCGGCTCGGACCCGAACGTCGACGACGACGACATCGACGAGGAGGAGGCGAACGAGATGAGGAGCAGCGCGAAGCACCGGCGCAGGCGCATCAACCTCACCGGCTTGTAGTCGCGTTTGGTGCGCGCGCGGCGCGGCAGTTTTAAGCAATAAAAATCGTGGCGTTGTCTCGTCAAGCAAGAATGGTAAGTTCGCTTTTTATTTTCAATTAAAATATTACAGTTTTTTATCACGTCTCCAGTCAAAATTGCTATTCTCTGAAAATGCCAGATGAATTTGGAACACTGCCCACATAACACAAAATTATTGAATATTTGAATCGTCTAATTTCAAAAGCGGCCATCTCCTTTGAAGAATATTTTAAGTAAACGTCAAAAAAACATTCTAAACAGTAATGGGTATAAAATAAATATATTTTGAAAAACTTGTTCATATGGTAACTAAAAATATTTTTTCTACAAAATAAGTAACCAGATTTAAGTTTTAATTAAAAAAACATATATTTCAAAAGGGAAATTAAGTACATTTTTGTACTTAAAACATCAATGGAGATGACCGTTATTAAAACTAACATAAAACTTTAATGAATTATTTTCCTTGCAAATAGCCGTTTTTGTTGGGATATAATTTTGCACTAATATACTACGTAATATTTCGATTTTATTAGTGTAAATAACTCATTAAAAAAAAATTGGAGATGGCCGCTTTTGAAATTAGACAATTCATTTTTAATAAACGGCCATTTCAAGCGCGCGAAACGCATGAATTACAAAACTGTTTTTATAAAAAAAATTGTAGATTATTTATTATATAATATTTTGGCATCAAAATTGTCAAAAATATTCTTCTTTTATTACGTTATAGAATAAATAAAAAAACTCAAAAAATATTTAATAAAAGTAGACTTAATTTTAATAATTAAAAGGTGTGGACGGGACAAATAAAGATTTATCTTGTCCCATCCACACCTGTCAATTATTGAAATTATCTCTACTTTTATAAAATATTTCTTGCGATTTTTTTTATTTAATGTATAGCACAATGAAAGAAGAATATATTTGACAATTTTGATTCAAAAATGATAAATAATAAATTACCTACAATTTTTTTTTATAAAAACAGTTTTGTGATTTGTCCCGTCCGCTTGAAATGGCCGTAAATGAACTTTATCATTTAAATGCTTCCAAAATGTTTTTACAACATTTAGATTTTATATTTATACAATATTTTTTCACAGCATTTTTAAAACATTTTTGTAAATGTTTTAGATACATTACCTTATATGTTATTAATCACAAAAATATCTGAAAATATTTTCAAAATACACTCACAGGCAAAATAATCGATCCACACTAATTTTCGATGAATTTCATTCTCAAATAACTTTTTTATTTGATGTCGGTTTTAAACGAATATTAAAGAAAATTGTAGATAAATTAATGGAGAATCGCTCACGTTTTAAAAAATTACTAAAAAAATAGACGTACGTTTATAATATACAGGTTTAAAAAAAAAAATAAGTTTTTTACCATAAGTTTTAGACACTCTGTAAAGTGGCAAAACCGTATATTGTTCTAAATTAAGTTTTAATTATCAAGACACATCTATTCTTAACAGTTTTGTTTTTGGTTCACCTCGATATATTTATTTTTGTGGAAAATATGGATTTTTAGAAAAAAAACATTGCAATTTCCAATATTTTTTCTGTACAAACAACTAGGTTGCCATGGTCCATCCATAGGCTATGGAGGACCTTAGTTCTTCGTACTGAAAAAATATTGGAAATTGTAATATTTTATCTTAAATCCATATTTTCCACAAAAATAAATATATCAAGGTGAACCAAAAACAAATCTGTTAAAAATACATGTCACTTGATAATTAAAACTTAATTTAGAACAATATACGGTTTTGCCAATCTACAGAGTGTCTTAAACTTATGGTAAAAAACATATTTTTGTTTAAACCTGTATATTATAAACGTACGTTTATTTTTTAGTTATTTTTAAGTTTGTGAGCGATTCTCCATTAATTTATCTACAATATTCTTTAATATTTGTTTAAATCCGAAATCAAATAAAAAAGTTATTTGCGATTGAAATTCATCGAAAATTTGTGTGGATCCATTATTTTGCCTGTGAGTGTATATATACAGTTCATTACATATTTATTTTAACAATGTGCTGTAAATGTTAAAAAAAATTTGCTTTTATATTTATAAAAGCTGTGTGACCCAATACTTTTTTGTACTCAATGTTTGGGAGTTCAAAAAGTAGTGGTATGGTATTCTCATATCAGATATACTAAAACAGTGAAATACCATAGCTGGAGATCTATTTTTTGCACACTAAAAATACAGAACAATTTAGTACACGTCTTAATAAAATAAAAAAAAAACGTTATTTTTTAAATAATCGATATAAATAAAAGTAAAATATGTAAAACAAAAATTCTTTGAAAAAAAAACAATTTTTTTCCTTCCAAGTCTTGGGTTTTAGTTTTAAGTTACTTTTTAACTTCTTTTATCTAAATTTATCGCAGTTTCGGTTTTCGGATTTTTCCGGATGGAAGCTAAAGATAATTCAATTTAAATTAAAGTCTTCGGTTCAATCCCGCTCGGGGAAATTACTTTGTTTGATTTTACAAATTAAAAAACAATATTGATTTTGGTTTTCTAAGCGATTTTATTAGGTTTATGTTTGTTTTCTGTTAATAATAAATTTAATATGGCAATAAAATCTTAAGGTAACGGCGCGGTTTATAAAAAGCAATAATATTCTAAACAATTAAAATAAATATAATACTTACTAAAACTTTTAATGAACTTTTCGAAAAGTTTATAAATATTGTTAAATAACTTAACAATATTTAGGAAATAATATTTACAAAAAATTGCGAAAAAAATTTTGAAAAATATTTACGTGATATTTATGAATGTTTCAGAAATATTTACGCGTAACATTAAATTTTATAGAAATATTTTTCCCTAATTGTTCGAACATTTCATCAACCTTTCATTTAGAAATATTGTTCTCCAAACGGCCTGACAACATTTTGAAAATGTATTGTGTTATGTGGGTGTAATTGATTGTGTTGATTGGGGGCTTCATCACCCATCAAAAAGACCCTCAATTTACAGAGAAATTCTTCCTAAAATAAAACAGTTTTTCATCCACTAGGCATTTTAAACTATTTCACAAAATCAGGTTTTTATAAGTTATTTAAAAAATCCTCATAACTTATTTTTGTTGGATTTTGTTGAATTTTTGATATTGGAATAAAATTCTCCAACGGTTGTCACCTTTGTAACAAGAGCACCTTTTTTACGTGAAATTATCTTGAAAATTATATTCCAAGATCGAGAATTCTAAAAAACTCCACAAACCTTATAGGGCATTTCAAATGGTATTGTACTTATATTTTGATGTATTTTTTTTAGGTAAATGACAAGTGATAATTTTGGTGTTGGTTGTTTGTTCTTCTTTAATGATAATTGTACGACAATTTTATTTTATTTAATTAAGTGTCTTTAAACCATTTTACAAAAAACAACCTACCAAAGATAATAATAATTTACAGCATGTTTTTTCCAAAATAAACAAAATGGTTTAAAAACATGAAACACAAATGTACATAAATAAAAATGGAAATGGATTATAATTTTTGTACATTCTTTAATTAAAGTTAGTTGTAGTAGAATAATATATTAAATTGTGTAAAAACTTTAAGCCAAATTAAATAAATATAAAAGGCTCTCCCTGATTGTAAATACTGTGTACAAAGTAATTACGTCGATATTTTTCCAAGCCAAAAAGATTAATTTATGACCAGTATTGTTCTACTGAACATGGAGATGATACACAATATTTTTTTTTAAGTTGAATAAAAGTGTGCTCAATAATTCCACATAATTAGTTTTCCCGTGTACCTGAACTTTGTTCTGTTTTTCTATGATAACCAATCATCTCCGTGATTTTTCCAAGAAAATGCATTTAATGTATCACCGTTGAAAAGTATCTCGTTTTTTTGTTTTAGCAACATAAATTTTGTTTCGCACATAAAACGAGATTTTTATATTTTCGGCGGCGATATTTATATTTAATGGTAATTTTTCACTTAAATATTATGTGTATGGTGTACGCAGAATAATTTAAACATGCTATTTTTAATTATTCTGTGGAAAAAAGATAGGAAATTAAATAATTAAAATGTATATATTTTTAAACAAACATTTATTAATTTGTTTTTTATACCATTCAATAATTTACAGATGTATATAACATTTTTTTGTTATATTTTTTCTTGTGATGTTTTTTCTGTTAATTATTTATATAATTGTTATATTTCCTTAATACTTGAATGGTTAAATTTAGATAAATATACTTTTTTACTTGATTTTTTAATCTATTGCTTCTAGTAGATAATTGTTTACACTTCACCACAAAATTGGTGGTGAACCTAAAAATTATTATTCTTTCTGTTTAATAAAATATTGAATTGCAATTTTTTGTTTTATTAAAAGAATTCCAGGGATAGGGGAAAGGTAGGTAGAGAATAAAAAAACGCTCAAACTGAAAATTTCTATTAGCTACAAAAAGATCTAATTAATACATTTTGGTCTTGCATTCATAACATGACTTATTATTATATAACAATATTAACATGTACTGTATATGATTTGCATGGCTATTAAACAACTTTATTTATTTATTATAATACAGTCGGAAACTTTATTTATATTAAGTAATTATTTTGAGTAGCACTGTATATTAGAGTGGGCGAATATCCGCTTTTTTCGAAATTAATTTGGTAACAGCAAAAATAGGAAATTTAACTGTTGCATAAATGTTGCAGTTTCAGAGATAATTGCGATTTTATTTTAAAATTGTCATTTTTTAACAAAACTTTCTTTTGACAAAATCTACTTATTTTTGCCTTGTCAAAAATGATTTAATTTAAAAATAAGTAGCTTAAAAATCTTACAATTAATTTTGTTAAAAAAAATTACAATTTTAAAATAATAATTATCTCTGAATCTGGGTCATTCCACGTTACTCGGGGATTTTTGTCCCGCCCGTCACAATTAAAAATTGTGAGTAAAAATTACACGTTATAAAATTTGTTTAAAAATATTGTTTTATTATGCTTTTAATAAGTTATAAGCGCAATAAAAATAATATTATAAAATATTAATTTTATAACTTGTGGTTTTTACTCACAATTTTTAATTGTGACGGGCGGGACAAAAATTACCGAGTAACGTGGAACAATTAAAAATTGTGAGTAAAAATTACACGTTATAAAATTTGTTTAAAAATATTGTTTTATTATGCTTTTAATAAGTTATAAGCGCAATAAAAATAATATTATAAAATATTAATTTTATAACTTGTGGTTTTTACTCACAATTTTTAATTGTGACGGGCGGGACAAAAATTACCGAGTAACGTGGAATGCCCCATCTGCAATAATTTGTAGACAATTAAATTTACCAAAAAAAAATTCAATATTTACGTCAAAATTGAAAGGGACCTTTTTCCTAACAGAGGGCGTAATAGTATATTACACTACAAGGGCAGAAAGTGTGAGATTCCTGCGGCTTCGCCTCGGGCATCATGGCGCGCAGTTCAGGACTCTCACACTTTCTGCCCGTGTAGTGTATACTATTTTTCTTACTACCCTGCAGAAAATACGGGAAAAAATTAAATGTATATAAAAAAATTTGTGTCAAAATTAAAATCTGACGTTTAATTTAATTCTGACGTTTACATTCAAAATCAATCAAACTGTAGCGTTGTCATGGTAATTCAGCGGTGCCAATACAGTAAAAATAAAAGGTTGTATTTTAATTAACAAATTACTACTTTATAACAAATAAAAGTACCATTAAACACTTAAAACAACATAAAAAGTAAAAAAGTAAAAACATAAATTGTTTATTTGTTGTTATAATTGCAAAATTATGGTTTAAAACTGTCATATTTTTGTGTTTCTCATGTTGGCAGTACGAAATTTAAATGTTAAGCACGCGACTAAAAAATTTTTACTCCCGCTATTAGAGTGTGCGCGTATAGCTTGACCAATGCAAGAAACGTAAACTTTCTGCCGTGAAATCGGGGACGAAACAACGTATTTTGAGTCGAGGTAGTAAGAAAAAATATTTTTGCTATAATAAAATTAATTTCAAAAAAAGCGGGTATTTGACCCACTATAAAACTTTTAAATAAGTTAAAATTGATAAATGAGGTGGGTTTGTTATTATTGCTATTTATCAAGGATTTATTTAACATTTTAAAATATTTTTTCTGGAATATTGTGATGTCCAGCAACTTTCACAATATTACAATAATAATTTGTACAATTATTAACTCAACAAAATAAAGTTTTAGAAAAATAATATAAAATATCCTTTAGTATGTAGGTACATCATATAAGTTTGTATTATATATAAGCCTATAAACTAAAATTGAATACATTTTTTGTTAACACAGTTAAAGCAATGAAAAATTGAAATAGTTAGGTAGGTTAAGTTTGTAGGTACAATCATTGGCAGTGTAGAAGTAAAAAATCCTGATGTTTTCGATTTTTATTTGCGCGATTTGTCCGTTATTAAATTTAATTATTACTGAAAACATCACATACTTCACAAGGATAAGCAAGATGATTATTTATATATCAATATTGTATGTATAAATTCCTATTAGCCATTTTTATCTACACTCGCGTGCAAAAAAATCGGCCCACACAAATTTTCGATGAATTTCAATCACAAATAACTTTTTTATTTGATGTCGGATTTAAACGAATATTAAAGAATATTGTAGATAAATTAATGGACAATCGCTCACATTTTAAAAAAATACTAAAAAATAGACGTACGTTTATAATATACAGGTTTAAACAAAAATATGTTTTTTTACCATAAGTTTAAGACACTCTGTAGAGTGGCAAAACCGTATATTGTTCTAAATTAAGTTTTATTTATCAAGTCACATCTATTCTTAACAGTTTTGTTTTTGGTTCACGTCGATATATTTATTTTTGTGGAAAATATGGATTTTTTTAAAAAACATTGCAACTTCCAATATTTTTCTGTATGAAGAACTAAGGTTGCTATGGTCCATCCATAGGCTATGGAGAATGACAGTGACAGTTTTATTGAATCATCCCATACTTGGACATGTCATACACGGCTTTTAAAAGCTATCAAATTGTTTTTTGCAAATTAATGTTTAAATTTTGAGGTGTCTTCTTACTTTATAAAATGGATATGTCTCCGACTGATGTTGCCAGAGCTATTAATTTAATCCAGGATGGACGGTCACAGTATTACGTGGCAAGTGTTTTAAACGTCATAAGAAGTAAAGTACAAAGGGCAATATCAGTCGTAGTCATTTTTAAAAGTAAGAAGACACCTCAAAATTAACACATTAATTTACAAAAAACAATTTGATAGCTTTTGAAAGCTGTATATGACATGTCCAAGTATGGGATGATTCAACAAAACTGTCACTGTCATTCTCCATAGGCTATGGATGGACCATAGCAACCTTAGTTCTTCATACAGGAAAAATATTGGAAATTGCAATGTTTTTTAAAAAAATCCATATTTTTCACAAAAATAAATATATCGAGGTGAACCAAAAACAAAACTGTTAAGAATAGATGTGACTTGATAAATGAAACTTAATTTAAAACAATATACGGTTTTGCCACTCTACAGAGTGTCTTAAACTCATGGTAAAAAAACATCTTTTTGTTTAAACCTGTATATTATAAACGTACGTCTATTTTTTAGTATTTTTTTAAAATGTGAGCGATTGTCCATTAATTTATCTACAATATTCTTTAATATTCGTTTAAATCCGACATCAAATAAAAAAGTTATTTGCGATTGAAATTCATCGAAAATTTGTGTGGGCCGATTATTTTGCACGTGAGTGTATAATCACTAAGCCTGAATTGATTAAAAGCAATTTAAAACTTTAAGGCATAATAATATTATAGATATTTTTATACATGAGGAAATTCCATGAACACATATTATTTTTCGTGGAATTACCCATGGCTTGTTGATTTTTTTAACATAATATAGCTATTATTTATGAGAATTTTTATTTTATTAAAAATTATCCTAAATAATGAGTAAACAATATATTTTCTGTTCCATCGGAATTTGTTTATTTACATTTGTCATAAATTTCAATTCTTTGTCAAAAAAAAAACACAAAAGAGGCATATACACAACACCGTTTAAAATAAGCAGTGTTCAAAATCATTATTGCTTAAAAACTTTATAACAAGAATACTAAGCCACTTTTTATATTTATTCGTTGTTAACTATGATTTCTAATATGGATATGCCCCAAACGTAAAATAATAAAATCATGTATTTACAATAATATATATATATTTGTTTAATATACATACACTTAAAATTAATGGTTATATTTTAATAATAATAAAAATAATAATATGAGAATTTTTAGCGTTTTACATAAGTACGTTTAAAATAAATTAATAAATAAAATTTAGTTTTAAAATTATTAGGTATAATAAAATTTAAAAAAATGAGAAAGGTACAAATTGTTTAAAATAATACTTATTATAGAGACCATCTTAAGGTTTATAAAGAATCTATTTTATTCCAAGTAAATTTAGTATATGGTAACTACATTTATTATAAAAACCAAAAAATTAAATTAAAAAAAAATTATTTTAAAACTGCCATCCGTATAAAATTATATCATTTACAATAAAAAACAATTTCCAGAATGTGTTTACTGTCTAAAAAAGTTAATTTAATTTTGGAATTTAATAATAAGAAATATTAAAAATAGAAAATGTAAAATAGAAGAACACGTGTTATAAGAATTATCAACCTTCTTTTGTTTTTACATAAACCTCTTAAATTTGTTGGTTGATATTTTTGATACAAATTTTTTACACAAAAATTGTAGATGACAATACCAAAAAACTTTAAACCCTGGCCTTAAATAACGAAGACAAAAAGGTTGAGATCTACAGCCTTTTTTACGTTGTCCATTTTTTTTACGTTGTCCATTTTAAGAAACACCGTGTATATAAAATAATATTATTCAACCACTTTTTTACTACTTTGTTTTTAAATTATCGCCCTCTTTTGTTTTCATCTTTGAGGTTAATATTTTTTCAAAAATTTTCATAAATAAAGGAGATAAAACAAAAGCTCAAACAAAAAATATTTATTTGAAAAGTGTCCTTTTTTTGTTTTTACATAAACCCCTTAAATTTGTTGTTTATTTTTTTTTAACAATTTTTAAATTTAAAATTAAATATTGTAGGTAACTTAAAAAAACATTTTGGAAATTGTAGTTATTAAAATAAATTAATAATTACTTTATTATTAGTTTTGATTGTAAATTATGTATTTTTGGGTTAAGATTTCATAACATTGTTATTATTGTTATTTTGGATTTAACGTCAAAAATTTGGGGGTTTAGTTGGCAAATTCTAGGGACCCTAAATTGAGGTACATTTGAGCTTTTTTTTTTAAATTATCGCCCTTCTTTTGTTTTTATCTTTGTTGGTTAAAATTTTTGTTAAAAATGTCAATTCTAAAAAACTTTTTTTTTAATAGGATCATAAATAAAGGAGATAAAACAAAAGCTCAAACAAAAAATATTTATTTGAAAAAAGTGTTAGTCTAACGAATTATCGATTTTTTTTGTTTTTACATATGTAAACCTCTTAAATTTGTTGGTTAATTTTTTTGAACAATTTTTAAAATTAAATATTTTAACTTTTTTAGAAAAAATCATTTTGGAAATTGTTGTTATTAAAATAAATTAAAAATTAATAATTTTTGTGTTAAGATTTCATAACACTGCTATTATTGTTATTTTGGGATTTAACGTCAAAAATTTGGGGGTTTAGTTGGCAAATTCTAGGGACCCCAAATTGAGCTACATTTAAGCTTTTGTTGGTTAAAATGTTTGTTAAAAATGTCAATTTTAAAAAACTTTTTTAATAATACGATTATAAATAACGCAGATAAAACAAAAGCCAAACAAATTTTTTTGATATAATTTTTTGAAAAAGTGATATTTTTAATACTTACAAATTTTTAAAAAACACATTCTGGAAATTGCTCTCATTAAAATAAATTAATAATTAATTTATTATTTGTTTTTCATTGTAAGTGATTTTTTAAGATTTTATTTGCTAGTTAATAAAATTTTTAAGTTAAAAAAATATTTTTTCTTAATTTAAATTTTTTGTATTTAGGAAACTAAAAAATTTGGGGGAAAATTACATCACATTATTCTGTGGAAAATTTTTCAGTTTTATCAGTTTTACTTATTAATAACGCCAAAAGTTTGAGTAGGGTACTATAATCTAATTTACTTGGACATTTGTGCAGATTCGAAAGCTCCATTTAAAAAACCTAATTGAGCATTTTAAAAACGTCATGGCACGAAATTTGATAATCGAAAAACAAATTCATAACAAAGAAAAAATTTGTCAGTAAATTGCACTTCATACCGTACAAGTCACCGTTGTTAAAATGAGATCGTTCTATTAAAGTCACAGCAGGTGATTTTGTGCGCATTCAGAGAACAAACATCGTACTGTCAATAAAAGTAATAAATTACCGGTTATAAGATGCGTAAGTAAGCTAACAACAGCGAGAGGTACCGACCTGTCAAAAGTGCAGATGATGTCGCTATCCTTTTCTGCTGGATACTCACGTTTGCAGCGCCGTGGTGATCTCGTCGTGAATGGTGGCCAGCTCGTGGATTCGCGAGGCCAGCTGCGAGTTTAAAGTCAATAGGACTTGCTTCTGGGATTCGTGGGCGCCGAGCGCGACGTCCAGCTCCGACTGCGCCAGTTTGGCTTGCGTTTGCAGCTCCTGGTTGTCCTTCTGCAAAGCCTTTCGAGAAAACGCGTTTTTGTTTATCATTTCGCTCTCGGTTGGAAGTTAGTTTTTTACCTGTATGTCCGAAGCTTTGTGCGCCAAAGTCAGTTGCTTTACTTCCATGTTTTTGGATTCTAATTCAGTCTCTAGTTGCTCTACCCTGATTCGAAGTGATTGTATTTCTTTGCGGAGCTCGTCGCCAATATCCCCACCCCCTAAAATTGGTTTTATATCATGATATTAAAGATTTAAGGCAGGAAAAATGAAATTGTTAATTTGGCGTTTTTATAAATTGTCTATTATGTCATTTTTGCAATGAAGATAAATTCAAACAAAATCTGTCAACTTTTATGACAGAATCTAGTGCATTTCTTTCAAATTTTAGGTTATGTGCTCAAATTGTAAGTATCTTAACTAAGAGAAGTGCTTTTGGATTTATTTACACAAATTGAATGTTTAAAGTTTAACCTGTGAACTTGTCCTAATTTCATCTGAGTAAACAGAAAGAAAAAAATCGATGAAAAAATTAATTTTGTGGGTATGGAGTTTTTAAAATAGGTACTAAATTTTCTAATCATTACTTAAGCTAATATCTGAATGAGTAAATAAATACAGAAGGGTATTAGAGCTTTAAGGGCATACAACTTTTGTATTTATTGAGTTTTTAATTATTTATTGCAAGAAAAATTTTTAGTAATCACCATCACAATTTTGACCCACTAAACACGAAAATCACACTCAATTTTTTTTATGGAAGCGTTTTTGAAATATTAATTTTCAATTGTTTTTTTTTCAATTTTCGGAGGTGTTTTGACGTTTTTGAGTATAGCTTGAAATCTTATTGATCGATTTGGTCAAACAAGCCCTTAAATTGAAGGTATTTGAGCCCTCTAAAACTTTCTTTTACATACTTTTTATATCGGATAAGTATTTTGACGCTAGCGATTTTAATAACTTAAAAAATTCGTTTTTATATCAAAAATTGAGGTCGAAAATTTACATATCGTCCTGGGAAAGGTTTAAATCAAACAGATAACTTCAATTTGATTTTTTTTCGTGAAGTTGACATTTTTACAAAAATAAACAAGCTAATGTTGATAAAAATACATGGGAAAATGGCGAAGTTATGAATTTTTTAGTGGAAGACCAAAATTCAGCTTTTTGACGATTTTTATTTTATTTGGTTCTTTTATTTTGTAATATGTTTATTCTTTAATGAAAACTTAATAAAGTGCATGATTGGATTTTTTTGAGTTTTTACGTACTTTTTTCACCGAAAACATTGTTCAAAATTTAAATTTGACATGACTCCGCAAACGTGAATTCTTTTGTTTCTCGTGTTGGCATAGTGACATTTTACTGCTATTTTTTGATATTTCAACAAGGTATTTTTATTATGGTTTTATTTAGTTCATTAAAAGTGTAAAATGAGTAAAAGAAGTAGAGAGTTCGAGTGCGTAAATAACCCGCACAATCTGGGCGACGTAAGTGATGCGCACGGAGAACGTTTTTACCAGCAAATGAAGGCTATGGAGCGACGGTATCACGGCTTCTGGGATGCAGCCATGATGGGTGATTACATTTGGTCCCTCATACGATAAACGAATTTTTTTAAACCTATGCTTATTACAACAAAATAAAACTTTAAATTCAATGTTCAATATTTGTTGTTTAATATTCAATATATAATTTAATTTTAATATTTAATGTAAAAATCAATATTCAATATTAAATTTAAATTTTATATAATACAAAAAATGAAAAAACGTAAAAAAATTCTCAAAAAACTGAAGAAGAAAATAATAGTGAGACATGGTGGGCAAAATTCCCTCCTCTAACGAGCCGCCACTGTTTTTGTGGTTGCACACAAAGTATAATGTATGTACCACAGGAAATATAATAATTTTATTAGACCTTTTTTTGATGCGTGCTTTATGTTCTGTTTTACGTAATACCTATTAAAAAAACAACCCTATTTCCTGGTAACTCGCGATTTACATAACATTTCCCAATCCTTATGCATGAATGACATGTGGCACACGCGTTTTCTATCGCTTCGAAAATTATATTGTAAAAACCGTAATCGTAATTATTTGGATCAATAGCGGCATGTGAAAGCTGTCTGCGTATACCTAGTAATAATAAACATGTGGAGCAACTATGGACGCGTTAAGTAACGCGATTTTTTTACCTTTGCTATTTTCGAGATCCATCTGATGTTTCGCCTTCATTCGCATGTTCTCCTCCTTCAGGCTTGCCAACTGTCTCTTCCACTCGTCCACGTTGGCCGTGCTCTCCTGCAAGGCACTCGTCAACCTGGCATTGTTGCTTTTCAACGTTGCCAGCTCTATTTCCCATTTTTTCGCGTTGGCCGAACTAGAACGTGTATATTTATTTACTTACTTAATATCTAACCAAAAAATGTGTAATAAGATTTTTTTTTAAGAAATGGGCAAAATACACACAGGCAAAATAATCGATCCACACAAATTTTCGATGAACTTCAATCGCAAATAACTTTTTTATTTGATTTCGGATTTAAACAAATATTAAAGAATATTGTAGATACATTAATGGAGAATCGCTCACATTTTAAAAATTACTAAAAAATACACGTACGTTTATAATATACAGGTTTAAACAAAAAGATGTTTTTTACCATAAGTTTAAGACACTCTGTAGAGTGGCAAAACCGTATATTGTTCTAAATTAAGTATTAATTATCAAGTCGCATCTATTTTTAACAGTTTTGTTTTTGGTTCACCTTGATATATTTATTTTTGTGGAAAATATGTATTTAAAAAAATTTGCAGTTTTGTTGAATCATCCCATACTTGGACATGTCATATACAGCTTTTAAAAGCTATCAAATTGTTTTTTGTAAATTAATGTGTTAATTTTGAGGTGTCTTCTTACTTTTAAAAATGTCTCCGACTGATGTTGCCCTTTGTACTTTACTTCTTGTGACGTTTAAAACACTTGCCACGTAATACTGTGACCGTCCATCCTGGATTAAATTAATAGCTCTGGCAACATCAGTCGGAGACATATCCATTTTTTAAAGTAAGAAGACACCTTAAAATTTAAACATTAATTTGCAAAAAAAAAAACAATTTGATAGCTTTTGAAAGCCGTGTATGACATGTCCAAGTATGGGATGATTCAACAAAACTGTCACTGTCATTCTCCATAGCCTATGGATGGACCACAGCAACCTTAGTTCTTCATACAGAAAAATATTGGAAATAGCAATGTTTTTTTAAAAAATCCATATTTTCCACAAAAATAAATATATCGAGGTGAACCAAAAACAAAACTGTTAAAAATAGATGTGACTTGATAATTAAAACTTAATTTAGAACAATATACGGTTTTGCCACTCTACAGAGTGTCTTAAACTTATGGAAAAAAACATCTTTTTGTTAAACCTGTATATTATAAACGTACGTCTATTTTTAAGTAATTTTTTAAAATGTGAGCGATTGCCCATTAATTTACCTACAATATTCTTTAATATTCGTTTAAATCTGACATCAAATAAAAAAGTTATTTGCGATTGAAATTCATCGAAAATTTGTGCGGACCGATTATTTTGCCTGTGAGTGTAGATACTTCACTTTTACATTAAAAATTATTTAAATAACCACTATAGAATCCTTAACACCCCATATCAGAAAATTTAGCTTGCCATATCAAAAATAGAATGGTTCTTGCTGGTTAAGAAAGAACTGTATATTTGTTAATTGCGAAGTTAAAATAATAGTTGCCAACGATGCACAACAAATATATACAATTTTATATCCACTATTAACAAATAACCCATTTCAAATAAACAATAATTTGATAAGTAATCATATTTCCAGTCGAAAGAGAAATTACAATTTGCAACAGTCTTACAGGATGTTTGGTAAACATAGACGAAACAATAGATTTAAAATCAATAAGTGTGAACTTCGTTAAAACAAAACTATCCTTATCTATTTCACAGTTGTTTTAACATTCTGTGTCGCAGGTCGACTTTTGTGCTGACATTTTCCTGGCAGCGTTTTATTTATGAACTAAAATAGGTAGGTAGTTTGGATTCGGTATGCCATTTTATTGCGCCAGTCGTAGACATAAAATTTATACTCAGCCTTTAGAGATTACAAAAAATATGGGTGGACATAAAATGTATTCCAAAGCATATTTTTATAAAATATCTTGTTAACAAACTTAATAATATTATATGTTTAAACTGCATGAAGTTTTTTTAATAAGACTCGTTCTGATTATTGTTAAGAATAGTTAAAAACTCATAGTGTAATTATTTTAATTAATATTTCGAATTGAAAGCACAATTATTGTAAAATGTGAACATGCAAATAAACAATTTATTTAAATATGAAACATTTCCTAAAAGGAATGTTGAAATAAAATTACAAACCAATATTACTTATTATTGTTACAAAAATTAACAAGAGAATTTACAGAAATTATGTTAATTAGGTTTTATATATTTTTTAAATTCCATCAACTTATAATTATTATTATCTTGGACAACTCAACCCTTTTACTCCTCGTTTGTAAAAAAAACCTTATCAAACTGTCAAATGTAAATTTGTAGGTTATGGTAAATTAACCTTAAAATTGAAATTTGACAGTTTGATGACAGTCCTGATAGAATATGTTTTTTTTAGAAAAGAGGAGTAAAATAGTTCGCAACGCGCGCGCCATCTGGTGGACATTTAAAGCACAGATTATACATCATTTTTAAATAAATTTTTTTACAAAAGAGAGGAAGGCAGAAGTCTACGACTTTGTTCAATTGCACAGCTAAATCGCGCACGTTATTTGTGTTTTACGTTGCAAGGAAAAAATTAAAAAACTTTTTTAGTACTCGATTTCGATTGATTATTCTTTATATCATTGATTAGGAAACTCAACGCTTAAATGCTTATATAGTTACGTTAGTCTGTGTATTTTATCTAACGGATCATGGTGAATTATTGTGTTTTTAATTGTAAATAAAATTCGAGAACTAAATCGTTGCATTTTCATGTTTTGCCAAAGGGTCCAATTCTGTAAGCACATTTGTTGGTGCAGAATTGACTAATGATAACTTTACCTAATATAATTTATATTTAAGTTTAAACATTTTTAAGAATTTTGCACAAACATAACCTTAAAATCAACCATTTTTATATTTGAGTTCTCTAAAAAACGCCGACAACTGCATTTTAAACAACAAAATATACCTACGAATTCATGGCAACATAATATTATATATAAAACATAATATAATGGTATTTTACCGTTGAGTGGAGACTTTCTTAGTCAACGCTTTTAATAATGATAAATGCTGTTTAAATTTAGACGACTTATTTGTTTGACGATTTTTACTGAATTGAAATGTTTACACTTTTCAAGTTAATCACTACTAAAATGTGTATTTATTGTATCTAATAGGTACAATTTATATTTACAGAGACTGTATGCAATTTATTTCTTCATTCAGATTAACATTGTTTATTGGAAAATTCTGATTTTATTTATTAATGTAAAATCTTATAATTAGTGGCGATCATGTTTTCAAATAAATGTTGTGTAATTAACAAATTACAACAATCTAATTAAAGAACACACGATTCTAACGAACACAACAAAAAATGTTTTGTTAATTGATAATTTACATTTTTTGCTTCGATAACTTTATACGGTTTCCTTCTTATTAGGAAATGCATTTGTTGAGGAAAATTCACGATTTTTCTTATCTTTATTTGTGTATTATTTAATTATAATATTTTTAAAAAATATTCTTAATAAAAACATGACGTTTGAGTTAGAAACGACCAATCTGGTAATGTGGAATGGGCCCAAAAATAGAAAAATCTGTTTTTGAAGTATTTCTTCATAATTATTTATGTAAACAATATTGAAATATAATCTTATAATCCAATAAAAATGGTTGGCAAAGCACATCAAAGTAAACAAAGCATTAGAAATGGAAAGTAGTTATAGGGGGGTCGATGATTATGGAACACAGCAAGGGGGGTTATCACAATGCATATTTTCTTCGTTGTTTTGTATAAAAACGAATTGCCATTTTTGGCGGTATCAGTTTACCATTTGCATCCTCACCAAAACATGACTGTGGCCACCAAAGTGAGTGAGCGGATAAAAAGTGCCAGTGAAATGAGAAAATATGCAAAAATAGGATTACAGTGAAATATTTATTTTTTATTTGGATAATTATTTTTTTTAATAGAATTTATGTGTATGTATTTTGCATTCTAACATTTATTGTTGTTTTTACAAACTACCATTTTAAAAATAAATATTAAATATTATTGCATATTTTTAAACTAAAAACAACAAACAAAATCTACTATAACAACTAATTAATCTCTTTACTAGTTACTTCTAGTACTAGCTCTTTTTGCTGGTGCCAAAGCTGGTTACCTAGGAGGTTATGACGGAGGTCATGGAGGTTATGAAGGCTATGGCGGTGGACACCATGAAGAATACCATGTAAGTTACATTAAGAAGTTTTTCATAAATTTTTTGGCATGGAAAATTGTACTATTATTTAGCTCCTTTCAAAATTTTACTGGGATGAAATTTGCCCTAAAGGTTTTAATTTAGCAAATCATTTTGCCATTTTTGAACCAGTTTCATGTCAATTAAATGATTTGTAATCTAGGTTGTCTACCTACAATCGAATAGAGCAGAAACTCCCGTGATTTTGCGAATTTGAAAAAATGGTAAAGGAAAGTTCGTCTTGAAATTTTAAGAGGAATTTAGCACGCTGTAGCTTAGATACAAAAGGGGTATTTGGTACATATTTTACCTCAATGGACGTATTATTATAGTAGGGTAAATCACATAGTTATTGGACACTTAAGGAATGTTATTTATTTCAAATTTATATATGCCGTTGTTTAAAGATTTTAGTTTTTTTTTAATATATAAAAAGGATAGTTTGTTTGTTTAAACTTTATTTACGTTTACTTAAAAATTTGAACTTTTAATAATAGTTTTATAAAAACATGCAAAAAAGTATAGTAATTGGACATCTTATATAGTAATTGGACAAATGGATCATAGTTATTGGACATACAATTTTTATATAAACAAAACAACTTTACATCAAATAATATCAATTTTTAAATATTTTTTATAGATAAATTGCTGTTTTAGGTAAAATTTTTTATTTCGTTTTTGTAAATATCATAAAATTCATATATTTCTTTCTCGGATTCCTCATCCCTTTTCTGGATTCTGAAGGTAACTACTAATTCCTTGGTCTGACTTCTGAAATAGTTTGTTGCAAATATCATTAAGTGTGGTATCTCTAGTTTGTGAAGCATTTATAATGTTTAGGCCGGAACAGGATGATTTATATATATATCTAATATTTTTTCGGTTGGTATGTTAAAAGTATTTTCCGAATTTATTAATTATTTATTATTATTTTATTATTATTTATTATTATTTTGCCATTAGTTTTCTATCATGCACTGTATTTAAATCACTGTTATTCTGCAAGATGTCCTGTGACGAAGAAATCACTAAATTAATTACTCTCTAAAAATGAATTAGTCAAAAATGTCATAGCGAAAAAGCAGCAACTAATAATTCTCGTCAACAGCAATTTGTATCCAGGAAATTTAGGAGTCAATTCCTATACACAGCCCTGCTCTTAATAAAAAAAAACAAAAATCTTACCACCAAAGTAACGTGCGAACTTTTTTGTCCAATATTGGACCCAAAGTAAAGTAGTTCTATATTATTACGGACTGAGATAGTTATAATTGTATACAGCGTCATTTAATAGCGTCATCTAATAATTTGACTATTTAATAATTTAACTATTTATAGAACTTTTGTTTTTACAGTATTAATGCTAATTGTCCAATAACTATAAAGTGTCCGATAACTGTCTACTTTACCCTAACCAAAACAATTAAAATAAACTAAAAAATATTTTTATGTTTTAGGAACCAGCCAAATACAGCTTCAACTACGCTGTGCATGACCCGCATACAGGTGACGAAAAACAACACCAAGAAGAACGTTACGGTGACCAAGTCAAAGGCTCGTACTCTCTTAAAGAAGCCGACGGTACGACCAGAATTGTAACCTACAAGGCCGACAAACACAATGGATTCGAAGCAGTGGTAAGTAAAAATTATTACAATCGATATTTTTTGTAGTCAATTAACTGTATTAATACGCTAAAGAAGTATCGCTAGTAGCGCCACCACTCGGCTGTTATCATCGTAACAAAAGTACCACTTTTAATAATCAGCTGTCAAACGCTGTTACAAACGAGTGTTTTTGAGAATAAAGCCGGAAAAAAATATCGAAAAAAACCGTAGCTCGATTGATTGTGTTGTTGGGTGTATTTCGAGAGGAAATCCTGCATTGAGTTTTTACCGGTTTTCCAATAAACAGTGTTAATCTGAATAAAGAAATAAATTGCATACAGTCTCTGTAAATATAAATTGTACCTATTAGATACAATAAATACACATTTTAGTAGTGATTAACGTGAAAAGGGTAAACATTTCAATTCAGTAAAAATCGTCAAACAAATAATTCGTCTAGATTTAAACAGCATTTAGCATTATTAAAAGCGTTGATTAAGAAAGTCTCCACTCAACGGTAAAATACCCATTGTATTATGTATTATATATAATATTATGTTGCCATGAATTCGTAGGTATATTTTGTTGTTTAAAATGCAGTTGTCGGCGTTTTTTAGATAACTCAAATATAAAAATGGTTGATTTTAAGGTTATGTTTGTGAAAAAATTATTTTTTACTAATTTCTTAAAAATGTCCAAACTTAAATATAAATTATATTAGCTAAAGTTATCATTAGTTAATTCTGCACCAACAAATGTACTTACCGATTTGGATCCTTTGGCAAAACATGAAAATGCAACGATTTCGTTCTTGAATTTTATTTACAATTAAAAACACAATAATTCACCATGATCTCTTGGTTACTAACGTAACTATATAAGCATTTAAGCGTTGAGTTTCTTAATCAATGATATAAGGAATAATCAATCGAAATCGAGTACTAAAAAAGTTTTTTAGTTTTTTCCTTGCAACGTAAAACACAAATAACGTGCGCGATTTATTTAAAAATGATGTACAGTTCGTATGCTTTAAATGTATTGTTGACAATTCTTAAATTCACGCAATGCTTTTAAAGTCCACCAGATGGCGCGCGCGTTGCGAAAACCCGATACTTCTTTAGCGTATTGCTCGCTTCGTTTTTGATTTAAGAAAACGTATACTCACTATCAAAAAATTCCGAAAACTACTTAATAGTAATATTAAAAAAAAATAAACATAATATGTTATTGGTCAGGTAAATAAATGATGGGATTGGATAAACACTGTATGTATAATTTTCAAGACTTCCCAGGAAAGCTTATGTAAAAATTTAAGTGAATTTAGGTAGGGTCAATTTTATTATATTTATGAATTAATTTTGATCTATTCTCGTATAAGTATTTTGAACAGGATTTGTAATATTTGTATATAATCTATTTTTACTTTTAGGTTCATAAAATTGGAGAACCAAAACAAGAGTATAGTTATGGAGGCGGTTATGGTTACGGTCACGGAGGGGAGGGTGGTTACGGACATTACCAATAAACCTTTTCAGTATTCTAAAAAGTGGAAAACAAAACACTCTTGAAAATTGTAGGCTGACAAAAATGCAATTAAACTTATTATCATCAATGAATATTCAAAATTTTACGAATATGTCATGACCTGGATAAAACAATATTCAGTTGATGTATAAAAAACACAAATTAAATATTCAACTGTGTTTTGATTTCCATAACAGTTATTGTGATATGTTTTGTATTTTTTTAGTTAAATATTTTTGTACATCAATTTAAATTTATTTTGCACTTTTTAAGAAAACAACGCAACAATAATACAACCTTGTTAAATCGATTTATATTGTTAATTAAAGCTAAATAAAAATGCTAATTTCATTATCTAAACCTTGCATTTCATTAACATCTTCATGGAATAATAAACATCTGTCGTATGCAAATTCAATATCGAGTATTACGCTACAGTGGCACACTGCTCTTTCTTTGATTTTTATTGAAACGGTTCAATAAGCCGATCTCGTACATTTCAATTTCCTGTGATGTCTCGCCGATTCATTGGACGAGTTTTTCAGCCTTTTGGCGTACAAAATGTAGCGAGATATTTATAAAACTTTTTTAAAGTTTTTCAAGGCTTAATAAAAGTTTTATAACCAATTTAAAACTTTTATTTTTTAAATTATATTTGATTTGAATTTTACTCGTTTTAGTTTTTTTTCTACAAATTTAAATAAAGGTTAAAGTTTATGATTTAGGCAGGAAAAAATATTTGTAGGCAGTACAAAAATAATTTAGATGATACCCAAGTAAACAAACCCACTTATATCCTCAGAAAAAAATATAATGACAATACTTTTAATTTTGATCTATTTTAAACTTTGACCTAAGATATCAAATAGATAGATAGATATTAAATAAATGGTTTTATTAGTGAGTTATGAATTTTTTAATTATTATTATTAAATTAAATCTGATTTTTTTAAGTACCCACGATTTTTTAACTAATATTTAAGTTTCCTTTGGTTTAAGTTTTATACATTATTTCATTCGGTGATAATTATCAATTGCGCACCATGATCACTTTTTACTTTCCAGATTAAATCCTTTAATTTAAACAATTATTGTACTATTTTTAATAAAAAAAAAACATTATTTTGTCAATTAATTAATTTAATCCTAATTGAGGTATAAAAAATGGTATTTAGTTATAAATAATAATTATTATTGAGGTATAAAGAAACTATATATACGAAGATTAATTTGCAAACAAAAAGACCTCTTTTCGTTAAGCAGTTATTCATAATGGATTTTTTAACAGTGAAAGAAAAAATAGAAATGATTTTGATTTATGGAGAAGCAGGCTGAAATCTTGATGATGCTGTTAATATCTACGCTCAGCGTTTTCCGGAAAAAATTCGATCACGTACTTCATTTCACCGTACAGTCAAGCAGTTTACTACAAACGGGAGTGTTCAACCGAAAAAAAGAGTTCGTCGAGCAACAGTCACAGGTGGAAATAGTGAAATTAATGTATTAGCAGCAACGGCCGCTAATCCTCATGCAAGCACACGAGAATTATCTAGAGATTTGGGAATATCCCAGAGCAAAGTTAGCAGAGTATTAAAACGAAATAAATAAATAAATTTAAAAAATAGTATTTTATTTAAAAATTATTGGAGAATCGTATACAGAAGAAAAATCGATCAAAATTGATTTTTTTTAATTAAATTTTATTATAAATATAGTGGCTGATCCGAATCTGCAATAAAAAATAGGGTGTTCCATTGGAATATTAATTGCATTACAATTCTTATCTCGAGTTTGATTTACCGAACAGTTTTTAGAATTTATTTTAATATGTTAGCTGGACACAACAGACTATTGAACAGAAATTATTTAAGAAGTTTATTTATAACTTTTTTGTTCGGAGCTGCATACTTTTAATTCATTCAAGTTGAATTACTGGGTCAAAATTGGCTTTTTTACAAAAAAATTATAAACAATCCACTTAAATTTATATTTTTTTTATTAGTCTATTTTTCCATGTAAAGTTTAGCTAAGACTTATCATACCCAATAATTGTACATTTAATTAATTTTTTAAATAAATATCGCAGAAATATTTAATTGCATAGGTACTTGCATTGCATATTTAATTGCATACTCTGACTATTACATAACCTTGTATTAAAATACATAATTTGCTTCCGGACATAACATTTTCAATTCTATGCAATTAAATAATGATACGGTTGAAAAATAATAACATATTTAAATCAAGTATTAACTTCTTAAAAATTAATCATCAGTTGTAGCAAAATGTAAATAAAATTACCGCATCGTTACATTATAATATGAATATAATAAATAAAGTATTTAGCATAATTAGTTTTCAGTGCATAGTTAATAGAAAATATACACCATTAAATATTGAAGCAGAAGCACCGCTAAAATAATTTTCTTACTACCTCGACTCAAAATACGTTGTTTCGTCCCCGATTCCACGGCAGAAAGTTTACGTTTTATGCATTGGTCAAGCTATACGCGCACACTCTAATAGCGGGAGTAAAAATTTTTTAGTCGTGTGCTTAACATTCAAATTTCGTACTGCCAACATGAGAAACACAAAAATATGACAGTTTTAAACCATAATTTTGCAATTATAACAACAAATAAACAATTAATGTTTTTACTTTTTTACTTTTTATGTTGTTTTAAGTGTTTAATGGTACTTTTATTTGTTATAAAGTAGTAATTTGTTAATTAAAAAACAACGTTTTATTTTTACTGTATTGGCACCGCTGAATTCACGGCCTACTGTTATTTATTTATCAAGCTCTTCAAATGGAGATAGGTACATAAATACACATTTAATTTTTTCCCGTATTTTCGGCCGGGTTGTATTTTCGGCCGAGGTAGTAAGAAAAATAGTATACACTACACGGGCAGAAAGTGTGAGAGTCCTGAACTGCGCGCCATGTTGCCCTCGGCTTCGCCTCGGGCATCATGGCGCGCAGTGCAGGAATCTCACACTTTCTGCCCTTGTAGTGTAATATACTATTAATGCATTTTCGTTTTACGCGTCATTTAAATAGTTTAACAAACTGGTACTAATTTTAGAAATGTATTTATTGTTTTAGGTAATTTTGGAATGATTTCAAGTGTAGAATTTTGTTTTAAAATTCCAAATTCGTACAATTCCCATGTTCTTAAGACCTCACCCTGATAGCACACTTTTTTCTAAGAATTTTTTCCAGTGAGAATATTCTTAGGATCATGCTATATTTCTTCTAAAGAACATGCTTAAAAGACCTATAGCATGATCCTAAGAATATTCTTAGTGGCCTATAGGCAGGTTCTTAGAAGGTTTAAAGTTTGTGGTAAAAATTAGTCTACTCTAAACATATGCTTAGAATGTTAAGAAAGTAATTGCTATAGAAAGTTCATTTAGGAATATTCCTGTTAAGCATATTTAGTTCAGTTACCTATATAATAGTAAAATATACCATTAATTACGTATACAGGTATATACCTAATTAGTAATTAGTATTAAATACTAAGTAAAACGCAATCCAAAATATTTTTTATAGTTATTTGTCAAATTAAAACAATATTCGATAACAAAAATACTTTTACTATAGGTATTTTATTTTATGTTAAAAATAAATATTTATTAATTTGTATACCGATTTTTTATTTCTGAATTAACATTTTTATGTATAATAATCCTAACTATCTTCAACTTCAATCTAATCTGACTTATCCCACAAAATTTTCCAATTTTACTTTTTATGAAATAATGTCATACAACTTATGGTTTAGAGGTCAAATTGTTTATTTAATATTTTTAAATAAATATATATTAATATATCGCAAAATTTTTTAAGGGGACGACAAATACATTTCACTGTCATATTATGACAGTGAGGCGTATTTGTCGTCTCCTGAAGAATTTTACGAATGTAGAATACAACATGGGTATTTGACATTTGGAAATATTCTCAAGAGTTTCCTAGAAGCTCCATAAGAAACCTTCTAAGAACATTCCAAAAACGTATTCTTAAAATGTTTTTAGGATGCTTTTTAGGAAGGTTTTAAGAAGCTTTTAAGAATCTAATTGCATCATTAAAAGGGTATCTATTGAATGTTTTAAAAGTCCCTAAGAACATTCTTAGCAATATGGGAAGGTTCTAAGAATATTCCATTATTCCGGGTCATATCTTCTTAGAAGATTCTTAAAATCAAAAAATTATTCCGCTTGAAAAATCTTTAAGGTAAACATTCAATTTTCTTAGTTTCTTTAAGGTTGGGTTAATTCTAGATTCCTTTAGGCCATATTAGTATCTGTGATACAATTGCTGTGTGCAGTCCCGGTTGCACAGTATGTACCGATTGCGGCAAAGGCCACGTCGTTTGACGGTGTGGATCACCTGATGTTCTTACATCTCGCCTCTGTTGACTTATCAACCGAGCATATAAGCTCAGGAAGTAATTTGTTTTGATTGTGTTCCACTACACAAAGTTGCCCGACACTGATGAGACCCAATAAAGGTCGAAACAGCTGTCTGTCGGTATTTGAAGTTGGTGGAACGCATTCAAAACAAAAAACTTTGGCGAGGTGTAGGTTCAATGTTTTCTTATGAAAAATCTTTCTTACCTTTGTGCGAGGGCCAGCTTGAGTCTGTCGTTCTCGTACTTGAGCTGCATGTCGACCGGATTGGCGTTGGTGCCCCCGAAGGAGCCCTTTTCCGCCTTCAGCACCTGATGGCTGGGGCTCTCGTTGCTCTGGATGGCCGAAACCGAGTGGCTGCGGGGGTGAGGGATGTCCTCGGCGTCCAAGGATTTCGGGTTGGGCGTCGACATTTGTGCGCTACCTAAATTAAAAGAACGACACGACTAAAAATATGTTTATCGTGTTGTTTTAATCGCGTGTGGTTTTGGTTTCGTTGAATATATTATTTAAATTATTATTTTCTTGGAAATATTGACAAAAAAGAAAAAATAATATAAACAAGGTTGGATTGCAAAAAAATGCAATTAAAAAACCAATAGAAATAAACGAAGAATGAAACAAGGTAGTTAAACAATAAATTAATAAAATTAAATAAAAAATGACGTTCTTATTTTCTGAAAAACTAAACTTTCTACTTAAATATTAACATTTAAAAAAATAAATTGCACTAATATAAAAAAGTAGTTAAATATGGGTGACTACGGCCCAGGAGATAATAATCTTCGCTTTGAAAATAATTTATATAAAAGAAATTAAAATTTTATGTGAACACACGCGAATGTTGTCCAATCATTGTACTCCAATGGTGAATGGGTATTTTGTTAAAGCCACTGGACGTTAATACTTGTAGTGGCTTGAAGAAAAACTTTCATGATTATTGCTATCTATTTTAAACCAAAGATTTTTGACAAAAAGCAAATAATTTTTATTTTTTGTTTTTTATTTCCGCCTTATTTTTTAAAATTTCAAATTTGATCTGCTTAGCTGAAAATAATATGTAAGTAATTTAATATTTGTAAAACCAAAAACGTTACTTTTTTACTTCAAAAATGTCCATAAGGCGATGTACTTTTTCTGCCATTGAGGCATTTGGCATAACTTCATCGAAATGAAGTTTTGCCCTTAAAAGTTCTTTTACTTTAGAATCTGATATTATTTTTGGCATAAAGTTCTTTTTTTTATATGGACTGCGGCAACGTTGCAAATTTAGGGTTTTGGTTGGTAAATACAGTTGTCAAGTTGGTCGCATTGATTAAAACAAACTAAGCTAGTTATAAATCTAATTGTGGTTATGTATAAATTATTGTAGGTTACATTGTGCAGTTGTCAAGTTGAGTTGTCGAAATTCGTGGTTAAAAATGCAATTAATTTGGCTTTGGTGGTGCTTGGATGAGTAAAATCATATAAAAAAGTAGTTAAATATAGGTTGCTTTACGGCCCAGAAGAGAAAGAATTCCTAGCGGATAATAATCTTCGCTTTGAAAAGAATTTAAATAAAAGAAATGAAAGTTTTTTGTGAACGTAAATGTTGTCCAATGGTGAGTAATGTGAAAATAATGTGTGATGTAATATTTATAAAACCAAATTTGTTACTTTTTTACTTCAAAAATGTCCATAAGGCGATGTACTTTTTCTTCCATTGTGGCATTTGGCATAATTTCATCAAAATGAAGTTTTGCCCTCAAAGGGCTTTTTTTCGTTGCTATTATTTTTGGCATAATTATCTTTTTATTTATAATTGGCAAGTAAATTATCAATAATAAATATTTGACAATGTCAAAGTATTTAATTAAATTCTTTAGCAGAAGTACCATTTTTAAATACTAAAAATACTAAGTCAAACTGGCATAAGCCACCAACCTAACAAAAATACACGAGTCCAGATAAAAAATATGAACTGTAATTAAAATTATAAAAAATTATATATTCAATAATTTTTAAAAACCTACTTCAATTTTCTTTTACATTAAATTTTAAAACATCTACGATTAAAAATTAAAATGCAGAATAAATCAAAGTTAAAAAAAAATTAAATAAAAATATTTTCTAAAAAACTTAAATATTTCATGGAATATGACTTTCTATATTTTCTTTGTATTTTTTATGTGAGTACTTTTAAAAACGAAATAATTATCTGGATTGGTCAGTAAAATATCAGTAAAAAATAGTTTTTATATGAATTAACTTACCTTTCATCACTGGTACAACTATTAAAAAAGAAAACAAAATCAAATGAAATATGTAGGGTTAGAATGAGGTTAAAAATATATACATGCATGAATATCATTTATACCTGGTGGCTCCAAGAGATTGTCAACAGGATCCGGCCCTGCATTGGCAGCCCTTGATGTAATGGGGCTTGCATTTGCACTGGTGAGTGGCGTAACTGCAGAACCTCCGTTTGCGTTTTCTTTTATCATTGCAGATCTTGTCGCCTCTTTTACTTCGTTAAATTTATCGATAAACTGCAAAAAAGTCAGACCCATTCAACCCCAATACTTTTGCCGCCTTTTAGATAAAAATCTATTACCATCCCTGCTATATAACACACTTTATTCTAAGAATGTTTTTTAAACCTTCCAGTGAGAATATTTTTAGGATCATGCTATATTTCTTCTAAGGAACATGCTTAAAAGACATATAGCATGATCCTAAGAATATTCTTACTGGCCTATAGGCAGGTTCTTAGAAGGTGCAAAGTTTTAGTGGTATAAATTAGTCTACTCTAAACATATGCTTGGAATGTTAAGAAAGTAATTTCTGTAGAAAGTTCATTTAGGAATATTCCTGTCAAGCATATTTAGTTCAGTTACCTATATAATAGTAAAATATACCATAAACTACGAATAAAGGTATATACCTATACTTAAGTACCTAATTAGTAATTAGTATTAAATACTAAGTAAAAAACACATAAAAATATTTTTTTATAGTTATTTGTCAAATTAAAACAATATTCGATAACAAAAATACTTTGACTATAGGTATTTTATTTTATGTTAAAAATAAATATTTATTAATTTGTATACCGATTTTTTATTTCCGAATTAACATTTTTATGTATTAAATACTAAGTAAAAAACACATAAAAATATTTTTTTATAGTTATTTGTCAAATTAAAACAATATTCGATAACAAAAATACTTTTACTATAGGTATTTTATTTTATGTTAAAAATAAATATTTATTAATTTGTATACCGATTTTTTATTTCCGAATTAACATTTTTATGTATAATAATCCTAACTATCTTCAATCTAATCTGACTTATCCCACAAAATTTTCCAATTTTACTTTTTATGAAATAATGTCCTACAACTTATGGTTTAGAGGTCAAATTGTTTATTTAATATTTTTAAATAAATATATATTAATATGTCGCAAATTTTTTAAGGGGACGACAAATACATTTCACTGTCATATTATGACAGTGAGGCGTATTTGTCGTCTCCTGAAGAATTTTACGAATGTAGAATACAACATATTAGAACGTGGGTATCTGACATATTTGGGAATATTCTCAAAAGCTTCCTTTAGGCTCCATAAGAAAGCTTCTAAGAACATTCCAAAAACGTATTCTTAAAATGTTCTTAGGATGCTTTTTAGGAAGGTTTTAAGAAGCTTTTAAGAATATAATTGCATCATTAAAAGGGTATCTATTGAATGTTTTAAAACTCCCTAAGAACATTCTTAGCAATAAGGGAAGGTTCGAAGAATATTCCATTATTCCGGGTCATATCTTCTTAGAAGATTCTCAAAATCAAATTTTGCTATCAGGGATCCTGATATAAATATTTAGATAGATAATTACCTTTTGTAACTCAGCTTCAGAAGAGAAACCTAGTCCGTAGACGGTGTTTGCTCTGACGTCTGACCATTGGCCGAATTTTTGTGACGTTTTCGTGAAGGTCATGTTGGGCGTTACGGTGCTGTTGATTACGGCCTTTTGGCCCTCGACGCTTATGATCCGGTAAAGTCCCCGAGAGGAATCGTAAAAAAATGATACCGAAACGGCGGTACTTGAAGCGGGCATCCATGACCTTTTCGTTTTGGGGTCAATGTGGAAAACATGAGCCTTGCACGTAAAAATAGGTTGTTCACTGAAAAAAAAAATATGGCTCATTTCACCCCAAATGTTTTGTCAAAATTTAAATTAGCCCAAAGTATCTTTTTTCGTTTACAATACGAAAAAAATTACACGTATATTTTTATTTCAAAATTGTATGAAAAATTTTAAACTTATGATTTTTTTAAACTAGAAAAATTGATCTTTATAGAACCGTTTGTAAAGTTCATTTTTTTTTATCTGGACTGCGGCAACGTTGCAAATTTAGGGTTTTGGTTGGTAAATACAGTTGTCAAGTTGGTCGCATTGATTAAAACAAACTAAGCTAGTTATAAATCTAATTGTGGTTATGGATAAATTATTGTAGGTTACATTGTGCAGTTGTCAAGTTAAGTTGTCGAAATTCGTAGTTAAAAATGCAATTAATTTGGCTTTGGTGGTGCTTGGATGAGTAAAATCATATAAAAAAGGTAGTTAAATATAGGTTGCTTTACGGCCCAGAAGAGAAAGTATTCCTAGCGGATAATAATCTTCGCTTTAAAAAGAATTTATATAAAAGAAATTAAAATTTTTTGTGAACGTACCTAAATGTTGAATAATGTGAAAATAATGTGTTATGTAATATTTATAAAACCAAATTCGTTACTTTTTACTCCAAAAATGTCCATAAGGCCATGTACTTTTTCTTCCATTGTGGCATTTGGCATAATTTCATCAAAATGAAGTTTTGCCCTCAAAAGGGCTTTTACATTTGAATTCGTTGCTATTATTTTTGGCATAATTATCTTTTAATTTATAATTGACAAGTAAATTATCAATAATAAATATTATTGTCAATTTGACAGTGTCAAAGTATTTAATTAAATTCTTTAGCAGAAGTACCATTTTTAAATACTAAAAATACTAAGTCAAACTGGCATAAGCCACCAACCTAACAAAAAACACGAGTCCAGATAAAAAAAAATGAACTGTAGGTATTAAAAAAAATTGCTTTATTTTTTGACCACCTAAATTTGCCTTATAATAATATTAGACATGTATTACAATAGAACATAGAAAATAGAATTCATAACTAATAATGTATTTTATTTTAAATAAATGCATTATTCATGTATTATAAATTTAGAATCATATTATGTAAAATTTTTATAAACAACAAAATTCCCTCTACAAATGTACATAAATTACTAACAAACAAATTATTAATCTCTAATGTGTTAATAATAATCACAAATTACACACATAATAAATAAATGCAATATAATGCGTAAACATGAATATTTAACTCATTATTCTATTTATTATTTGAACGCTTCCGCATCTCGCCCTAAATAATTGCTATTTTAAATTCGAAAACATCTCAAGAACTCTTGATTATTCAATTGAGCCAAATTAAAACGGATTAAAACTAATTAAAAGTATCCAATTCACCTGTACTTAACTGATTGCTTTATTAATAGGATCTGATTTAAAAAATATGTTTTTCACAAACACAATCAAGTAGTGATTCTAAAATAAACACAAACAAACCAACATAACAGCAAAATATGAAATTTATTTATAGTTTAATATTGCAGAAGAGGGTGTATTTCAAAAAATAAAATAAAACCTACTTCTAACAGAAACACCTCTGCTTTTTAATGATTTTACAACAAATGGTTTAAAAAGTATTAATATTTACCCCATAGCGTCCTTTCCCGACGTCATTGAGATAAATATACACAATACAAAACCACAATTTACATTAAAAAACTGTCACTGTCATTAAAATCTGTCAAGGAAGCTGATTTCTCGGGCTACCAACGTGATGTAGTGAAACTTCCCTGGAAATATTTACCCATAAACGTTTAAAAGCTAGAGGGATATTTGAACATCTCTTATCTACTGATAATGGCATTTCATTAAAAAATTATTACTAAAAATATGCATATTATGTTGTGTTTATTAAGATTGTGTTACAATTATACATTAAAAATAAATTATTTGTAATAATTTTAAATGTTTATTGGTAATCTGGGGATTTTTAGTGTGGTCTAGGGAATTTCTTTTTACATGCACATGCGTTCGGATGTTGCGCCCTCTAGCCTCTTTCTTAGTTTACTGTCGTTGAACACGTTTCTTTTCGGGACGAATTTTTACTAAAAAGGTAAGGAATAAGCTTAAATTTGGTGTTATTCGTTTTAAAAAGTGTTTCTATATGTGTTAATCTTTTAATTTAAGTAAACATGGGTCGTGTACGTACAAAAACCGTAAAGAAGGCTTCCAAAGTCATTATTGAAAAATACTACACACGTTTGACGTTGGATTTCCACACCAACAAACGTATTTGCGAAGAAATTGCAATCATTCCGACCAAACCTCTTCGCAACAAGATTGCCGGTTTCGTTACACATTTGATGAAGAGACTTCGTCACTCTCAGGTTCGTGGTATTTCCATCAAATTGCAAGAAGAAGAACGTGAACGTCGTGATAACTACGTACCAGAAGTGTCCGCTTTGGAGCATGACATCATCGAAGTGGACCCAGAAACCAAGGAAATGTTGAAAATGCTGGAATTCAACAACATTTCCAACTTGCAATTGACGCAACCCACAACAAACACATTCACTAGACGTACATAATTTTATATGTTATAAATAATGTAAGGAAATAAACCACGCATTGGTAAATATACTCGTTTTATTTTTACCATAATATTACAGATTGTTATACTCTAAACTATGGGTCTAGCCAATACGACCATATCCAGTTTGTTTCTTCCGGTGGCACTTGAAACACTTCGTGTGACTGAAATATAAAGAATATAATCAAAATGTTACTTAATTTAGGATTCTTACAGGCACTGTTAGTATTCTTCCCATTTTTTTCACAAACGTCATTATACTCTGTAATAAACCTTCTGCAATCGAATTTAATACATATTTAAATACACCCTCATTATTATTCCTTGCTTTGAACATACTTTGTAAAGTTTCAGTGACAAACATCACCCATATTATAAATGACACCATTAGTAGCCCGCACAAACTTCCAACAAAGAATAAAAGCAGCATCGTCTTACTATGTGGGTCTAAAATGTGGTTAATAGAATCAAAACTTAATGAATGTAAAAGTTACTTCGGTTGGTGCTTATTTTTGCGTGTTTGTGTGTTATTATCGAGTCAACTTCGGTACCGTCATCGTATTTGTAGGTTTTTCTATCGAAAGTTACATTTTCTTCTTTTGGATCTAAACATGCTTCAGATTTTCTCACTATTACAGGTAGAGTCCAAGTTCTTTTCCACGGTAATTTTAGTACAGAGTATTTTCTTAACAATCTTGGATCTCTTGTATTATTTGTTTCTCTTGTATTTCTAAGGATAAATAATTTTAAAACCAAATTTATTTCCCACCCAGCAAACACATTTTGTAACAAAAAAAACCTGTAATTTTCTTAGTTTCTTCAAGAAACTTTCTTGACTCATTACTGTAAAGATTAAAAAAAATAAACCTTCACCTCACCAGAGTTTTTGTTTTAAGTGAGTTCCACCAACTTCAAATACCAAAAAATAAAAATTATGGTACACATTTAGAAAAATTATGGTACATTATGGTATGCACCAAACAAATATTATGGCACAAATTATGCTATATTTAAGGACTTTAAAATTCAAACAACCAGGCATTTTAAGAAAACTAATATTTATTTTAACACAAACTTTGATAAAATAAAATAAATTAGGTACAAACAAAAAAATAAACTTTGGTAAAAAAATAATAAATTATTTTAAATTTAATAAATTAACACTTTTAATTAAAAATAATATCGTCTTGATTATTGAATAAATTATCTTTAGTTATGTAGGTATTTGCACATTTTTTCTGAGGGGTCAAAATTTATACAATTTTTTTTTAAATTTTTATACCGCTCGAAAAAATCTTTTCTTAAAAACCACAGAGGTGAAAAACAAAAGTTTGAATAGAAAAGAACATAACAGTTATAACTGCTGCTAACCTAGAACATTAATTTTCATTAACAGCTGTTTATGAAAATTTAATACTTTACTGGCAGGACTGATCGCAATGTTGCCTAATTTATTTTCGGTGCAAAAGCATGCTTAAAAATTTTAATACTTAAATTATGTTAAAACAATATTGTAAAAAAAGAAATTATGGTACTGTGTTTTTAATTGTAAAAAAAATTCAAGAACTAAATCGTTGCATTTTCATGTTTTGACAAAGGATCCAATTCGGTAAGTACATTTGAAGGTGCAGAATTAACTAATGATAACTTTACCTAATATAATTTATATTTAAGTTTGGACATTTTTAAGAAATTAGTAAAAAATAATTTTTGCACAAGCATAACCTTAAAATCAACCATTTTTATATTTGAGTTCTCTAAAAAACGCCGACAACTGCATTTTAAACAACAAAAATACCTACGAATTCATGGCAACATAATATAATATATATAATACATAATATAATGGTATTTTACCGATGAGTGGAGACTTTAAAGAATTTTTAATCAACGCTTTTAATAATGCTAAATGCTGTTTAAATTTAGACGACTTATTTATTTGACGATTATTACTGAATTGAAATGTTTACACTTATCTTGTTAATCATTATTAAAATGTGTATTTATTGTATCTTTTTTTGATATTTTTTAACTTTTCCGGCTTTATTCTCAAATACACTCGTTTGTAACCTTTGAATAAAAAAAGTCAAAGTCTTTAGCGTATAGTAAAAATGCAAACAGAAGTTGTATGAAATAAATAATGATTTGTATATTTCCAAACACGTATTGTAATTCAAATAGCAAATTTTGGATAGTAATTTTATTGATTATCTTAGTAAAATTAACTACTTTGGCTATATAAGAAAATGTTAGTAAAAATGTAGTAATTTACAAACATGTTTAACAGTGTTGTGTTTGCTGCGCAGTTTAGATGAGCTCAGAATGTTACCTTAAATAATGTTCATCTACAGCCCTTTCTTCTTCTGTACTAAAAGTATTATTAATGTTAAAATAATCCCTAATATTTTACAACCTTACTTTGTATGTTGAACTTTATCGCCATTATTACTTTCTAGATCATTTATTTTCATGTGTCTTAAAGTCTGTAAATTTTTATCAGGCTCTTCTTTGGCTTTCCTGAGAGGCCCACGCCTAAAATTATTTAATTTTGAAGATATAACGAAATTTATGTCTTGTACCTTAATATTTGAGGAGCACTAGGACATATGGGATGGACTGTTATTTTAGCGGGTGAAAGTAATAATTCAGAGTGCGAATTTAAACATGTGTTGGTATCAGTTGAATTTATTAATCTAAAATAAATCGTTTGATTTGCGTTTACTTTAAAAAAAACTTTTACTTTCGAAATCTTGGATCATGATATACGGTTTTTTTCTTTTTCTGCTGCGACTTGTGGTTTGTACATGGTAAATAATTCGCCAGGTTTCTCAGCAGTAATCTAGAATTATAGGAACTAATTTTTACTAAATAAAGTAATGATTTAATTGTTTTTTTAATTCCTTACTCTCTATCCTGTTTGAGCCCTTCATTTTTTAATGATAAATAATTTTGCTTTTGGTTATACCTAAAATGTTACTAATTTATTATTAAAATGACAGTACACTGCGCGTCAAAATTAACGCATAATAAGTAAAACAATTCCAACTCTAAAACGCCTTTACCAATCGTTATGAAATTTTGTATAAAAATACTTTAACTTATATCTCGGTTTACGTGTTTGAGGGTTTTTCGAGAAAATATTTTTAAAGCCCTTTTATTTAATAATAAAAAAACGTTTGAAAAATAACTTTGAAAGTGGTAATTTTTGACGACTTTAAAGCGCTGTATTTTTGTTACTGTTCTTTAGATTTGTACAAAATTTTCAGGGTATACCAACAAAAATTCGGTCTTTCACAGCATATTTTTTATTTACTTCAAAAAGGTATTTTTATCCAAAATTTTATAAAGATTGGTAAATGCGTTTTAGAGTTGGATTTTTTTAATTGTTATGCGTTAATTTTGTCGCGCAGTGTAAATGGACATAGGTACTGTTCTTTGATAGTTTTCTCTCGAAGATCCAAATAATCATCATTTACTAAAATTGAAAATTCGCTGAAAATGTTAATAATAATAAAAGGAACAAACTTACTTATTATTTTAGGGGAATCGGACATTCTTTAATGGTAAAATTAAACACAACATGAGAAAAAAATGTCACAAAAACGTCAAAAGGTTGACAATTAAGCTTGCTACACATTTCATCAATAATTTTGTATATTTATTCAACATTACAGTATCTACATATTTTATAGAAAATAATTTACAGAATATATAATATTATAATATATGCCCTACAATATTAAAAATAGATAGTTATTTATCTACGGAATGTATACACAGACTTCAAGTTAATTTTTAACATTCATTGAGATTACCGCAAAAGATGAAATACTATACCTTTTAGAATTATATACATAGAGGACGTTTTTACAATAAACAATCCATATTGTGCATTTAATCTCAATATTTTATCGGACTTCATTAAATTCTGCACAGCCAAAATGAAGTGGCACAATGAATTTTTATTGTAAAAATCTTCCGGGAGTAAACACATTTACAATGAGATCACAATTGAAAAATGTCGAGGTCCACAAGAAAAATCGAATTTGGTTCTAACATACTAAAATAAATGGCAGTTGGAAATTTTTGTTGTGGACCCAAAAAGTTACACTTATTTTGAGTGGTGTAAGTATTGTCTAACAATAATTCCAAGAAAGGGCACACTTAACTAGTTTCGAACTTTTTTAGAATAATTTAACTTGTTTAGAACAAGTATTTATTGTAAAAACCATAAATGAATCCAAAAATTAAATAATTAAGGGTGTAGAAAAAATTAACATAAACTTAATAATACTTAAAATTATAAAAAATCACAATGTTTAAAAGCACCAAAAAAGTACGTTTTGGAAAATTTTAAAGTAGGTATAACATAAAAAATTTAATTTTTGATTAAGCTTCATGTTCATTGCTGTTTATGCCAATAAGTGCTTCAGTTTGTTCTGAAGGTATATCATTGAACCTAAAACTAAAATTGCTACTTTGTATCATAAAATCCTCAATTATAGGATTACGATTTTGACAATATTAATTGTGGGGCAAACATGCACAAACCGATAAATAAAGTGTGTCGAATATTCGTTTTTTTTTAATTAATTAAGTAATATTAATTTATTTGAGTTAAAAAAAATATGAGCAAAAAACGTTTTTTTTTGTCATCTCTTTGAAACTTTATTTGTTTGCAATTTTGACGTACCTAAATATTGTAATTTTGTAGATTTTGTTTTGTGGGAAATTTAATTTACTTAGAAAGATACCTATTTGGACTAATAAAATAAATTTTGTCACAAAAATTACAATTTTGAAAAAAATACTTTTAAAATAAGTTTTGTTAAAATAAAATCGCAATTATCTTAAAAACTGCAATATTTATGTAGACAATTAAATTTACCATAAAAAGTAAGCCTATTATTTTTTTTTTATTAATTCAGTTTAGTCAAAAAATTACAATTTCGAAAAAAAATCCATTTAAAATAAGTTTTCTAAAAAAAATGACAATAACATCGCAATTATTTTGAAATAACAATATATATGCGATATTTCCTTTTTGGCAGACAATTCAATTTTGCTGCAAATCATATAAAAAAAATTGTATACTTTTAAAATAAGTTTTGAAAAAAAATTACAAATAAAGATAAAATCGCAATTAGGTATTTACAAAAAACAATTAAGCACATTGCTTTTAAAATAAGTTTTGCTAAAAAAATAACAACGAAATAATATCACAATTATCTCTGACACTACAATATTTATGCGACAATTCATAAGGACCTTTTTTGTAGACAATTAAATTTTTCTGCAAATTATATAAAAAAAACTTTTTTTACTTTTAAAATAAGTTTTGTTAAAAAAATACAATTTTAAGATAAAATCGCAATTATCTTTAAAACTTCAATATTTATGCGATAATTGATAATTACTTAAAGTAAGCATATCATTTATTAATTTAGTTTTGTTTAAAAAAACTTTTAAATAGGTTTTGCTAAAAAAATGACACTGACAATAACATCGCAATTATCTCTGAAATTACAATATTTATGCGTTAATTCATAAGGATATTTTTTGTAGACAATTCAATTTTCCTGAAAATTATACATTTAAAAAACTTAATTTACTTTAAAAATAGGTTTTGATAAAAAAAATTATAATTTTAAGATAAAATTGCAATTATCTCTGAAATTGCAATATTTATGCGATAATTAATAAGGCCCCTTTTTGTAAACATTAAAGTTTTGCTGAAAAAATAACAATGACAATGACAGACGCAATTATCTCTAAAACTACAATATTTATGCGATAATTCATAAGGACTTTTTTGTAAACAATATTTTTAAGTTTTGATTTAAAAAATTATAATTTAAATAAAATTGCAATTTTCTTTAAAACTATAATATTTATGCGATAATTGATAGGGACCATTTTAGTAACAATAAAATTTAAAAAATACTTTGCTAAAAAAATGACAATGACAGTAACATCGCAATTATCTCTGAAACTACAATATTTATGCGATAATTCATAAGGACTTTTGTTGTATTTTGTATAAAATTTAATTTGCCTGCAAATTATATAAAAAAAAGTTTACTTTTAAAATAGGTTTTGTTAAAAAAATTACAATTGCAAACTGCAAGATTTATGCGTTAATTAATAAGGACCTTTATTGTAGACAATTAAATTTTCCTGCAAATTATATAAAAAAAACTTAAAATGAGATCAAATAAAAAATAACAATGAAATAAAATCGCAATTATCTCTGAAACTGCAATATTTATGCGATAATTCATAGACTTTTTTGTAGACTTAAATAAAAAAAAAATTTACTTTTAAAATAGGTTTTGTTAAAAAATACAATTTTAAGATAAAATCGCAATTATCTTTAAAACTGTAATATTTATGGGATAATTGATAATTATATAATATTATATAATTGTAGACAATAAAATTTACCAATAAAAAAAGTTTTACTTAAAGTAAGCATATTATTTTTTTACTAATTCAGTTTTGTCAAAAAAATGACAATTTAAAAAAATAGTATATTAAAGTACAAGTTGCAGAAGGCCACATATTCTCGCACGAATTCGAAATTTGGCCTCGAGCGACGAAGGAGCGAGTGGACGAACGAATAAGTGCGAGAATAGCCTTCTGCAACGTGTGATTTATACTATTTTCTCGATTTTAACTTTTATTTAGGATTTTTTAATTGTTTTGTGGCCGTTGTTAGTTGGGGGATTTTTCTCGCAAAATGTCAGTTGGCAACACAAAATGACAGTTGCATGGACAGGTAGATTTATTTTTATTTACTATTTATTAATAATCTGTCTGTTTTTGTCAACTGGATAATAGGGTTTTGTGTAAGTATTGTATTATTTTTTAATATTTTCTGATATTTTTGAACAATTGTGTTTACTTTTAGCAGTGAAAAATGTCACAGGAGGTTTTACAAGCAACACCGAACATTACAATAAAAGTTTATAACTATTGTGCTAGTGATTAATTTATAGTAGTTTTGTGTTTTGTGTACTGTGGGTATATAATATTTCCAATAAAATATAGTTTGATTGACCTGTTTGGCTCATTTATTTGTTAATATTTGTTATCCTGCACAAGTTCAACCTGAACTGCACTTTTTCACATTAAACTTAAAATTTTGAATTAAAATGCATTGTTGGAGCAAACTTAATATAACAAAACAATAATAAAGGCTTCATAAAAGTGTAGTTTAGGTTGCACTAGTGCAGGATAACAAACAAAGCTATTATAAATAATCCTAAAAGTAATGAATTTGAGGTTATTAAACAGTTTGACATTTTGGGGGTACCAATACTTAAAAACTAAATGTTACCAAAAATCGTTTAAGAATGAGTTTCATTCTTCAACGATTTTGCGTGCGAGAATATGACATTCTTACATAAAAATCGAGAAAAATACTTTTAAAATCAGTTTTGTTAAAAAAATGACAATGACAATAACATCGCAATTATCACTGAAACTACAATATTTATGAGATAATTCATAAGGACTTTTTTAGACAATTTAACAATAACAAAAAACTTTTTTATTTTTAAATAAGTTTTGATAAAAAAATTACAATTTTAAGATAATTATCTTTAAAACTGCATTATTTATGTGATAATTGATAAAGACCCTTTTTATAGACAATAAAATTTACAAAAAAAAGAAAGCATGTTATTTTTTTTAACTTATTCATTATTAAATTAAAAAATTTTAAAATAAGTTTTGCTAATAAATGACAATGAAAATAACATTATAATTTTATAACATTATCTCTGAAACTACAATATTTATAAGGACCTTTTTATAGACAATTCAATTTTCCTGCAAGTTATATAAAAAAAAACATTTTACTTTTAAAATAAGTTTTGATCAAAAAATTACAACTTAAAGATAAAATCGCAATTATCTCTGAAACTGCAATGTGATAATTGATAAGGACCCTTTTTGTACACAATAAAATTTACAAAAAAAAGTTTTAGTTTATAGCATACTATTTTTTTGTCAAATAATGATAATTTTAAAAAACACTTTTAAAATTAGTTTTGTTAAAAAAATGACAATGACAATAACATCGCAATTATCTCTGAAACTAAAATATTTATGCGATAATTTATACTTTTACTTAAAAAATTACAATTTTGGGATAAAATCGCGATTATCTGCAAAACAAATAGCGCGACAAACATATTTAATTTTAATTTTAAGTTCATGTGGCGTTCCTAGGATGTTGAACAAAACAATATTTCTTTTTGCACACATTTTTTTTACCTTAAAGAATAATATTTTTGCTATTATTAAATTAATTTAAAAAAGGGAATTTTCTACCCACTCTAATATCCACTTTAACTGATTCTGAGATATTGGCCAGATTCCCCCAAATATTTATAAAAAAATATTAAAGGGGATGTTGCTCCTATTGTCAAAAGTGTTTACCGAAATTAGTAAGAATCAGTACTTTACTTTTAAAATGTAAAAGTACATTTATCGGTTTTTGCATGTTTGCTCCACAATTACTACACTCACAGGCAAAATAATCGATCCACACAAATTTTCGATGAATTTCAATCGCAAATAACTTTTTTAGTTGATGTCGGATTTAAACGATTATTAAAGAATATTGAAAATAAATTAATGGACAATCGCTCACATTTTAAAAAAATACTAAAAAATAGACGTACGTTTATAATATACAGGTTTAAACAGAAAGATGTTTTTTTATCATAAGTTTAAGACACTCTGTAGAGTGGCAAAACCGTATAGTGTTCTAAATTAAGTTTTATTTATCAAGTCACATCTATTCTTAACAGTTTTGTTTTTGGTTCACCTCGATATATTTATTTTTGTGGAAAATATGTATTTTTTTAAAAAACATTGAAATTTCCAATATTTTTCTGAATGAAGAACTAAGGTTGCTATGGTCCATTCATAGCCTATGGAGGATGACAGTGACAGTTATGTTGAATCATCCCATACTTGGACATGTCATACACGGCTTTCAAAAGCTATCAAATTGTTTTTTGTAAATTAATGTTTAAATTTTGAGGTGTCTTCTCACTTTAAAAAATGGATATGTCCCCGACTGATGTTGCCAGAGCCATTAATTTAATCCAGGATGGACGGTCACAGTATTACGTGGCAAGTGTTTTAAACGTCACAAGAAGTAAAGTACAAAGGGCAACATCAGTCGGAGACATTTTTAAAAGTAAGAAGACACCTCAAAATTAACACATTAATTTACAAAAAACAATTTGATAGCTTTTGAAAGCATGTCCAAGTATGGGATGATTCAACAAAACTGTCACTGTCATCCTCCATAGGCTATGGATGGACCATAGCAACCTTAATTCTTCATACAGAAAAATATTGGAAATTGAAATGTTTTTAAAAAAAATCCATATTTTCCACAAAAAAAAATATATCGAGGTGAACCAAAAACAAAACTGTTAAGAATAGATGTGACTTGATAATTAAAACATAATTTAGAACAATATACGGTTTTGCCACTCTACAGAGTGTCTTAAACTTATGGTAAAAAACATCTTTTTGTTTAAACCTGTATATTATAAACGTACGTGTATTTTTTAGTAATTTTTAAAATGTGAGCGATTCGTCATTAATCTATCTACAATATTCTTTAATATTTGTTTGAATCCGACATCAAATAAAAAAGTTATTTGCGATTGAAATTCATCGAAAATTTGAGTGGATCGATTATTTTGCCTGTGAGTGTATTTGTCAACAACTTATTAAAAAAAATTAAATAATCTTACCGTGGTCCTCTGGTTCGACGGCAAACGTAACTAAAGGCGCAGCTTAGAACATCAAAAACAGGGTCCCAGTGCTCCCGGTGACTGAGCAAGGCGACGGCGACGAAGGCGCACAGCATGGGAAGCGTGCCGCCGTAAAACAGCGCCGGGTACGCGACCCGCTTGAGCACCACGTCCGCCATCATGGTCATGGGGATGGTGAGGCTCATGGCCACGGTGGCCATGAGCGAGGAGGTGAGGAAGCAGCCCCACAGCCACAGCGCCTCGGATATCACGGTGCCGAGCAGCCCGTTGAGGAGCAAGAACGTCATCTGCTCGCGCGTCGGCCACTCGAACGTCTCCAGCTCGCTGAAGTGCAGGAAGAAGAACAGCGGCCAGAGGAGGAGCAGGTTGAATAGACCGACGAAACCTGCCGGTTAATTGCGTTATTTTTTTTAAAATAATACAACAAAAACAAAGTGTTAAATAAAATTATAATCCTCATATTTCTCTTTCAGGATTAACACAATTTTAAAAATATCTTAGCATCAAGAAAGAACAAAAATTTATGCAGTAAAAAATCATATTTTCTTCAAATGTGGACGGTTGCTAAAAGTTAAAAATAACCAAGTAATAGTTATTTATGTCATTAGGTTAACCTTCTTGGCCGAATGGCGTACAACATTTTATCTTCAAAGCACCTTATATAGGTCAATTTAATTCAACATCAAAGCGGCCTAACCTCACTTTTTTAGAATCTCATTTAGCTAAAGATTACATTAAATGTACAATAATTATTATTGCTTTTAGAAGCAGTAATAGTTTGACAATACCTAGCAACATGATTTAAGTAGAAATGGATTTTTGCTTACATTGAATTCAATTAATTGTTTAATAAATAGGTAGGTATCTAATTTCATTTTTTTTGGATTTTTATTTAAAAAATAAGTTGTTTGGAATGTTTAAGCTTTAATTTCACTGAAAAAAAAATCGTAGAAAAAGAATTGTGCGTGTTCTTGGTTGCCTAACCTCACTTTTTGTTTTATTACTCATATTTAATTTTACAATAATTTAATGAAAAATATTAAACATTAACAGTAAAACAAACAAATTAGTGCTTTTTATAAATAAATGAAACCAGTTTAGTACGTTAATTTCTTAGAAAAGGATTAATTTGTCAAAACAATACCCCTAGCGAGAAAAAATCGAACTAATTACTTGCCTCATAATAATTTTTATCGGCCTAGGCCATAACAAGGTATTTCTTTACCGAATGTTGACAACAATAAAGTTTAAATCATAGACCGCCTGGAGATAAAAATTATTATTTTGTATTTTGGCAAGTATGATTTTTTTCACTATTAACTATATATTATACAGGGTGTTTTCTACACCCCGTGGAAAATGTTAAAAATCGTTATTTTTTTCAATGGAACACCCTATATACATGTTTTTATAAATCTTTATAAAAAACAATTAAAAAAATACTTTTAAATCAAGTTTTGTTAAAAAAATCACAATGACAATAACGTCGCAATTATCTTTGAAACTACAATATATATATGCGATAATTCATAAGGACCTTTTTTTAGAAAATTAAATTTTCCTGCAAATTATATAAAAAACCTTGTTTTACTTTTAAAATAAGTTTTGTTAAAAAAATTACCATTTTAAGATAAAATCGCAGGACCTTTTTAATAAAATTTACCAAAAAATGTTTTACTTAAAGTAAGCATATATATTTTTTATTAATGCAATTTTGTCAAAAATGACAATTTAAAAAAAATCTATACATGTTTTTATAAATCTTTATAAAAAAACAATTAAAAAAAATACTTTTAAATCAAGTTTTGTTAAAAAAATGACAATGACAATAACATCGCAATTATATCTGAAACTACAATTTTTATGCGATAATTCATAATAACCTTTTTTTAGAAAACTAAATTTCCCTGCAAATTATATAAAAAACCTTGTATTACTTTTTAAATAAGTTTTGTTAAAAAAATACAATTTTAAGATAAAATCGCAATTATCTCTGAAACTGCAATATTTATGGGATAATTGATAAGGACCTTTTTTGTAGACAATAAAATTTACCAAAAAAAGTTTTACTTAAAGTAAGCTTATTATTAATTTAGTTTTGTCAAAAATGACAATTATGAAAAAAAACTTTTAAAATAAGTTTTGCTAAAAAAATGACAATGACAATAACATCGCAATTATCTCTAAAACTACAATATTTATGAGGTAATTCATAAGAACCTTTTTTGTAGACAATTAAATTTACTAAAAAAATTTACCAAAAAAAAAGTTTTACTTCAAATAAGTATATTTTTTTAATTTATTAATTCAGTTTCGTAAAAAATTAAAATTTAAAAAAAAAATTTTAAACTAAGTTTTAATAAAAAAAATACAATGACAATGCGATAATTCATAAGGACCTTTTTTGTAGACAATTAAATTTACTAATAAAATTTACAAGAAAATTGGACAGCAAAAATAACGTGCTTTATCAAGTCAAAATAAAATTATAATCCTTATATTTTTTTATTATAATCTTTATTTTTAGGATTAACACAGTTTTAAAAATGTCTTAGCATCAAGGTTAGACTTTTAACACCATATTTTTAGGGGAACCACGTGTGTAATATTTATACTACTTATCTCAAAAACTACTGGAGTCGCAAAAAAATTGTAAAGAACCAAAATTCATGCAGTAAAAAAACCTAGCACTTAAAAAATTGCTTTTTTCGTAACCAGTGGCTTTGTATATATAAATATATTTATTTATATATTTAATTGTAATTTTTTATTTAAATACTAAAAGATAAAATTAACTACCATTTTAATTGCATATTTTTTAATTACATAATAATTATTATAATGGCCATGAAATTGTACATAACTATTCTACAAGGAATAGACAAGATATAAAAAAAATTAAGATTAGGTGGATAAATGGATAAAATTTTTACAGCATAAATGTTTTCAACGTTTTAACTATAAGTTTTAGAAATACTTTAAACTCCGTGTGACTTGTGCAAAATTTGTATTTTTTTAGAGGATAAATAAAATAATAATAATCTTTATTTAACAAAAGCTATGGAATTTTTAAGTGACTATCTATAAAATAATCTAGAAGTTAACAATTTATATATGTTAGGAGATTTCAACAGACTATTTAAAAATGGATTTATTTTATACTAAATATTATTATTATTATAAATAATACAAGAAAATAGGACAACAAAAATAATATGTTAAGTTAAAATAAAATTATACTCCTTATATTTTTTGATTTTAGTCTTTATTAGTATATTTTTCTTTCAGGATTAACAGTTTTAAAAATAGACTTAAATGGATTAAATTAAATTTTTTAAAATCTTTTCCTGTTCAAAAATTGTAAAGAACCAAAATTTATGGTAATAATTGGTAATAATCTTATTGCAAAATAGTATACAGGGAGTTTTCTACACCCCCTGGAAAATGGTTTGACATTTAATATTTGTTAAATAATACATGTTTTGTGGGTTTATGTATGCTCCAAATGCAAGATAAAATAGGTATTTATTACCTTAAAAATAGTGGAGGTCAAATTTGTACTTTATCTTTTTTGGTATTTCATAATTACATAACTTATGTAATATTTCTTTATTAGCAAAAACTTTGTATATGAGTGGTAAATAATTTTTAAAAAGTTAGGCCAAGAGCAATTTTATTTACTTAGGGTTTAAAAAGTATTACTTGGAAATTTATAGTACTTATACAAACCTACTTAATATTTTGTAAGCTGTTCAAAATTAATTTTAAAGTTTTGCAATTAAAAACTTAAAAATATACCAAGACAATGATTGTAATAAAAATATATAATACTTACCAAAAAATAGAGGAATATCAATTTTATCCTCATGGTCCACTTTTCTTCTTAAAAATACAAGATAAGCTGCATAAAAAAATGCACTAAACAAGGACAAAACAGCCCCCATTGGAACCTGTGATTCCATAGTTAAATCAGAAAAACTGACCAGAACCTAAAATAAATATTATTAAATATAAACATTAAAAATGATGTGGGTACTTACAATTCCTGTTATACTTAAAAATACAGCCAACAGTTTGGATAGTGTAAATTTATCTGTGTTTGTTGAAGGGAATACAGCTGCTAAAATTAATGTAAACAAACTGGATGTAGATGAAAGTACATTCACCATACCAGCCTCTGTTTCTGATAAAGCTACTTGGTATGTATAATTTGCAAGAAACCACTAAAAAATATATTAATTGATTTAATATTATTAATGGATAATTAATAAAACTTACCAAGAAGCAAAATATAAAAGCAATTTTAGCTACCCGAAATATTGGCAGCTTAATGGCAGCCCTTTTAGCAAATTCCCCCGCTCTTAAGCTCGCTTGGTAAGAAAGCCTGGCTAATAAAGCCTCCGTAGCATCCGTCTCGGACATGTGTCTCACTTCTGCCAACTTATTAAACCTAACAGATCTCACGGAAGAGTCATCGCTTTCAGTCCCTGAATTTCTATCTAAAGTTTCTCTCTCTGGGGTTTTTACAGGTATATAAACGGGGTTGCTTAAGCTACTAATGGTTTCTGCATAAAAATTGTCATCTTCTTGATCTGGGTCTATGTAAACGTAATTTGTGGGTCTAGTGCACGTGTCTTTCCATGGGGGCCAAAATATGAAGCCCAATAAGTACAGGGTGAACATTGAAGTTTTGATGTAGGTGCAAAAGAAGGGCTTTTCGAATGTTTCATTGCTGTATATGAACTAAAAGGTAAATGGGATTTCAATAGAAGTGATTTGTGTTCCAATAAGACAAAAAAATGTCATAAAAACACTAATTTATTAGTATCAATTAGTATTTTCAGAACTTCCATAAATTACATAAATGATAGTTTAAAAATAAAATTCACTTTCATTGAAAAATTCGTTGATTTTACCTTTGTAAGCTCTGAAGATGAAACCCATATGACATCGACCAAAATTAAGACACAAGAGCCCAGAACTAGCCGTTGGGTTTTTGTTAACATGGACCCTAATGTTCCAGTGTCCATATTAATAAAATAACCCGGCCTTTGAAGGCTCCCTCACGAAAAAACATAATATTTATTGATATCTTCCTACTCAGGAGCAAAATGGGTGGTACATTATCGGCCGAATAGTAAATAAACACTGATCACTTCGGTAAACAAAACAGGCACTGGCGCAACAAACGTACCGTGTAATTTACAAATAAAACGTTACGTTATCATTATTTTACGAGATAACAAGTAAAATGTCAGATTTGACAGCCGTAAACGCCATTACAAAATAATGAACAAACGCCGGTCGCTAGGCAACCGCGATTGCATCGTTTGAAAATTTTCCAAATATGCTTGCGAACGGCAGACACGATTTGCATTTAAGTGCCAGTAGAAGTAAAAATAACGCAAATTATTGATTGATTCGTGAGGTTCCGTTCTAATTTTAGGCAAACTGAAGAAAGACATGCCGGTGTTTGAGCCGTTGCCGGTTGAAAGACTGAATTGGCTGATTCACTTGCAGCATATACGAGGGGAGATCAACTCTTGCAAGGAGCTCATCAAAGCGGAAATTGAGAAGAACTCGGGGAAAAATGAGTACGCTTTTTTCAAGCAGGTGATGAGTTGTTTTGTTGTCTTTTTTATATTTTACACTTGTTGAATTTAGGGCACCATTTTAAGGCAGGAGGGAAAAGTGCAAGATGCTTTGGATTCCTTTCAAATATGTTTAAAATTGAATCCAGACAACGTGGATAACATAAAGGAAGTTGCAAAATGCTTGTAAGCAATGATATTAAATTAAAGATTTAATAATTTTCATATATTTTTTTAATTTTAGATTTGAAATGAGGCGCTTTAGATTGTCTTTGGAAGCTTACTTGGAAGCTGAAAGAATCGCTAGAAGTAGAGATTGGCAAATTTATTTCTATATAGGTAACCAAAAACTCGGCAACGCTGTTATGTAACTCACACATACCATAACAGCGTTGCCGGATGTATAGTATTCAAAAAAGTATTGCTTCTTTTTTTAATGCCAAATAAAAATATAATTTTATAAAATAAATAAAAATTTATAAGAGTAAGTGGTAGATAATATCAAAAATATAAATTAGTACATTAATTAGGTGATAATTAATAATAAATTATATTATATTATATTTACTATTATAGTACCTATATCTATAATAGTATAATACAAGGTTAACTCCAAACAAAAGGGTGGAATAATACAGGGTGTTAAATGTGAAAGTTCGTTTTCTATTTTATTAAATAACTTTGGAAAGAACAAACGTTTTAGCGCTACATTTTATATCCGGGGGTTTTTCAGGACAGAAAAATTAAATTTCTTGAAAAAATCAATTTAGGTAGGTTGTAGAGGGCGCTGTCTGCGTCACTTTGCATACGTTTAAATGGTCGAATCTTTTTTGCTTATTCTGTCAGTTTGTTTATTCCCTATATGGGACGTAAAAAGGGTAATTAATGTCTTTGATGTTAAAATTTAGCCGTAATTAAATGTTCGTGCAAAAAATAACGAAGGAAGTAATTAAAAACAGTTAGACAAAGCAACTCATATCTTTTGTTGTTTGATTCCAGTTCAAAACAAAAACTGACATGCAATAGGTAATATAATGTTTATTCAAAGGAGAAGTTTTAATAATTAATCAATCAATTAATTAATGTCATTAATTTTAATTTATATTGCCACTTTGATTAATTAGTAATTACACCGTTAATTATTATAAAACAGTAAACAATAACAAGTTCGGTGCCCGTGTCGCTGCCCTGATTTAAAATTTAATTTTAAGAATCTTCCAAGAAGATATGACCCGGAATAATGGAATATTCTTGGAACCTTCCCTTATTGCTAAGAATGTTCTTAGGGACTTTTAAAACATTCAATAGATACCCTTTTAAAGATGCAATTAGATTCTTAAAAGCTTCTTAAAACCTTCCTAAAAAGCATCCTAAGAACATTTTAAGAATACGTTTTTGGAATGTTCTTAGAAGGTTTCTTATGGAGCTTCTAGGAAGCTTTTGAGAATATTTCCAAATATGTCAGATACCCACGTTCTAATATGTTGTATTCTACATTCGTAAAATTCTTCAGGAGACGACAAATACGACTCACTGTCATAATATGACAGTGAAATGTATTTGTCGTCTCCTTAAAAAATTTTGCGACATATTAATATATTAAATTTAAAAATATTAAATAAACAATTTGACCTCTAAACCATAAGTTTTATGACATTATTTCATAAAAAGTTAAATTGGAAATTTTTTTGGGATTAGTCAGATTAGATTGAAGTTGAAGATAGTTAGGATTATTATACATAAAAATGTTAATTCGGAAATAAAAAATCGGTATACAAATTAATAAATATTTAACATAAAATAAAATACCTATAGTAAAAGTTTTTTTGTTATCGAATATTGTTTTAATTTGACAAATAACTACATTTGGATTGTGTTTTTTACTTAGTATTTAATACTAATTACTAATTAGGTACTTAAATATAGGTATATACCTTTATACGTAGGTAGTTTATGGTATATTTTACTATTTTATAGGTAACTGAACTAAATATGCTTAACAGGAATATTCCTAAATGAACTTTCTATAGCAATTACTTTCTTAACATTCTAAGCATATGTTTAGAGTAGACTAATTTTTACCACTAAAACTTTGCACCTTCTAAGAACCTGCCTATAGGCCAATAAGAATATTCTTAGGATCATGCTATATGTCTTTTAAGCATGTTCTTTAGAAGAAATATAGCATGATCCTAAGGATATTCTCACTGGAAGGTTTAAAAATTATTCTTTGAATAAAGTGTGCTATCAGGGTGAGCTCGTTCGATAGGGCAGAAACACTGCGCTCTCATTGGCGGCCTTACAAATTAAATAACTCCCGTTATTTTGCGAATTCGAGGTCCATTAGAAGTTTCTGGGGAACGGAACAAGATATCGATTTGAAATTTTAAATGCGTTTATAATACATTTAAGTATTTTTTTCTAAAATATTTTAAACAAAATGACACTTCCGGTTTAACCGGAAGTGACATCAACTTTGTTATTTTAAATAGAACACCCCATATATTTTTACATTTTTAAATTAAAAAGTACAATTACTATAGCATGTCCTATACCTAAAGTGAATTGTTTTCAAATTATTAATTTTTTGGTTAAAATTTTACCAATTGTTAATTATCTCTAAAATTATTAAATTTAGGTATACCTACCTAGGGATTAGTAACATCATTTGAAAGGTTTTTTAGTTTAATATTTAATTATGTAAAGACATACCTAGTGTTACATTTAAAATATAAAAGTTATTACGAACTACAGAAGTGCACTGAGCTTTTAATCTTGTTAGTACCTAGTCATTGTAAAGTAGAAAGTCTAGACCCTAGACCGCGCAAATTGCAAGCATATGCTTTGTCTTTAAAAAGGCAAATTCATTGTCTTAATTTGATACGGGGATGAGACTCATGCGATGAGTAGTTGTAGTTGATGCTGCGTATGAAATTTAAGACGAAAACTTTTACCATTTTGTGGTCTAACTTTATTTAGACATCCGTGCGAAGCACGTAGGTAGGTATCTCAATGATAAATTACCAAGTTCATATAAACATTCTGGAAAGTTGATGAGTAATTCTGGAAACTTTGTCAGCCTATTGTTTTTATGTAAGGGGGGAATTTAAGTTTGGTTTAATGGTCTCATCTCAGACAGACATTATGGTATTTATTTACTTATACAATACAGGGTGTCCGGAAATACCGTTAATAGATTCCCAAGCAGCATTCTTGGTTCCAAAAACCATTACCAAAGTGGTGATAACTTTAAATTAGTTAAGTATACTAAAAGCTACTTTAATTTTTACTTAAAAGTAATCCTAACTGAGTAGCAATATTTTGTAACAGAAACTTCATTCTTTCCTTAAATGGTTACTATAAAGTAATAAACATTTAAGTTAAACTTGGTTGCCCCCAAGAAGACTTTGCAACTTTAAAAAGGTTTTATAAGTAAAAAAAACTTTTAAGTAAATTTAATTTGTAGCAGTTGTTACCTAAAGATTACATAATTATTTTTACTTTGTAGTCCCTTTGCAAGTTAAAATCTCGAAACTGGAACATGAGTTAAAAACTACAAAGTTAATAACTTAAAAGTTATTATTTTAGTATTTGGAACGTTTATGGTACTAACCAAAACTACCGTAAAGTAAATTAAGGTGGAAAAAAACTTTAAAGTAGCGAAAGCTACTTCAAAGGAAAATGCTTCTTATCGGCCATTTTTACGTGGTAATGTAAATAATAAATTATTTTAATTGTTTGTAAATGGTTGTTTACTTTTTAATAAATAGTAATTTTGTTGGTAATATACGGTATTAATAATTAAATATAAAATTAATAATAAATATTAAAGATTTTTTTATTTATAAACATTATTAACACGTTCACTGCCGACGTAATAGTCCGCCCATATTGCAGTGCCGATAGCTTTTTTTAGAAATTTTAGATAAAAATGTACTAAAGTTGTTTCTTTCGTTTCTTATTGAAAGGTTCTATATGAAAAAATACTAAAACAAAAAACAAATAAACAAACGCGGTAGACGCGTTGGCGGCACCCAGCGACAAAAACCATGCTATATGCCACCGTACAGAACGCGGGTCCCGCGTGCTCGGCATATTGTAAAATACACAAGAACGCGGTAGCCGCGTTGCCGGCAGTTAAAGTGTTAAATAAATAATTTGTTTATACTTAAATATTGATGAAGCGCATTTATTTTACAAAAACTAAATTCATAAGTTCACCAGTAAAATTTAAAGGGTTTATAAATTTACCTGTCTAATTAAACATTATATTAGCTTTGTTCGCGGAGCTCATCCGTGATCAATCCGCGACAACTGCGCATGCGCACTGGCAATTTTAGCGTTCGCGGTGTAAAAATCGGCAACATTTGACATTTGATCACTCGTTCGCGGAGCCTTCGGGACCAGTTTCGAACTAATTATTGACAAGTCAAAACGATCCGAGGATTTTAGCATGTACTAGCTGTCAGACATGCGTATTGTTCATTATTGTTTATTTTAGGTTATATGTTCTATATTGTTTTTAATTAAATTGTTAAACGAAAACGTAAGTTGAAATACTTATTTTTTACTTGAATTGTTCATTTCCTTGCTTATTTTATAGATGAGTGATCATCTATCATCCAGTGATGAAGATTTAGAAAATAGTTTAGATTTAATTGAAGTTCCTAAAAATACTGCATATTTTGAAGAAATTGTTCCCATGTTCGATGATCAGCTATTTAGGGAGCATTTTCGAGTTAGCAAAGAGATTGTTGATGATTTAGCAGAGCGATTTAGCAATTCTGAATACTATAATTATAATTAATTATCAGGAAGGAGATTCCCCAAAAAGTTTTGTCACAAAACAGCTGACTGATGGTTGCGGTTAAAAACGCGTTCGCGGAGATTTGTTAATTCTTGATCGGTTCCGAATCGCGCATGCGTAGCATGGTTCGTGATTATTTACCCCATACAGATACGGAACTAGTCATGGATGGGCTCCGCGAACAAAGCTATTGTTATTCTGGAAGTTATAAACTACCAGTACATATTTAATAAACGACGACATTGAAAAGCCAAGTCCGTAGTGGTTCCATTTAAAAAAGGAGGGATAGTATAATCTAATATAAGTTTGACAAAGACAGTTAATATAGAAGTAAAAACAAATAATAAAAGTAATTATAACGCTCTAGCAACTATATTGCTACGTAGGTACCAAATAGTAGCAGGGTTTATGACTATAGTGACATATTTGTTACCTTTTTGGAACTCAATCCCAAGCAGCATTTTAAGTAAAAGCGTAGAGCTTTGAGGCAATATTACTTAATTTAAGTAAATATTTTGTTAAATTAACCTTA